CCCATCATACAGCCAACATACAGCTATCAACCCGTCATACAGCCAACATACAGCTATCAACCCATCATACACACCCACCCACCCCACACCATCAACACACAGCTATCAACCCATCATACAGCCCATACAGCCAACATACAGCTAACAACCCATATGTCGACATACTCCTTATTTACAAGGGCCAAATTAACTGCTTACACCAACCTTCCATTTGTCTTTGTGAGCCCCCATTGTACATGCTCTATGTATAGAAAATCTTGTCTATAGCATAATACCAGATAACAGTTAGCTGGGTCAGTGACGTCAGCTTTCTTGTTATCTTGTGACTATTTAAAAGTTTGAACTAAACCTAAATATAACATCGGGAATTCCCAAATCCAACAAAAACATTTTTACGTAATCTGGTACGACTAAAGTGGCGACTCAAAACTTCTTCAAAAGGTCCAAAGGTAATATAAGAGGGCTGTTGACTCCACCCACTTCCGGTTATATCCGAGCATTCCTCTCATACCAATAATAATCTCCAAGCTATACTAGAGAGCTGGGAAATTCAAACTTTAAAAGGTGTGATAAAAACGTCCAACTCGTCAGACTGGGAGTGAGTAAAGTATTGTGTAAAGAGAGAGTAACTAAGTAAGGGCGGCTGGGCATAGTGCTCACCACAATATCCATTCAAATTCCGAGGTCACAGAAACAGGTGAACTCTACTTCACTTACCCCATGGACAGTCAGGTTATCAAAGGGCACTTTGAACATTGTCATTGTTTTGTAGTCGAGAGAATGTCGGGTATAGGTATACATCCAAACACGTGGAATATATACGACGCTTGATGTGGTAAATGATCTAGCGCACGACCACATGACCTAAAGGTTGGGAGTTCAAATCCTTGTTTGGGTTTCTGTTTGCGAGAAAAATCTAAGACGTCCGTAATGTGGAACAAACATCTTGTGATGGCATAAACAAAATTTAACATCTTGTGATGGCATAAACAAAATTTAACATCTTGTGATGACATAAACAAAATTTAACATCTTGTGATGACATAAACAAAATTTAACATCTTGTGATGACATAAACAAAATTTAACATCTTGTGATGACATAAACAAAATTTAACATCTTATGATGACATAAACAAAATTTTCCAACGGAACTCTTGCAGCAGAAGGTTCCATGGAGTTAAACGTCCACGAACCAGTGTCTTGGATTAATTAATGAACCGGTTATATTCAATTAATGGCAGTAGAATTCGGCAAACATAATTTTATTACAGAGACAGAAATTCTTCCGGACTCCCTCTCTCGGGTGAGGGTTCCCAGAAAGAACCGCAACGAAAAAAAGCGCAACGGAAAAAAGCGCAAAACAAAAAGCGCAACGGAAAAAAAGCGCAAACGGAAAAAAGCGCAAAGAGAAAAAGCGCAAACGGAAAAAAGCGCAAAGAGAAAAAAGCGCAAACAGAAAAAAGCGCAAACAGAAAAAAGCGCACACAGAAAAAAGCGCAAAGAGAAAAAAGCGCAAACGGAAAAAAGCGCAAACAGAAAAAAGCGCAAACGGAAAAAAGAGCAAAAAGAAAAAAGCGCACACAGAAAAAAGCGCAAACGGAAAAAAGCGCAAACGGAAAAAAGCGCAAAAAGAAAAAAGCGCACACAGAAAAAGCGCAAACGGAAAAAAGCGCAAACTGAAAAAAGCGCAAATAGAAAAAACAACGAAAAATGTGCAAAAGAGAAATTTAGCACAAAGACCTATATGGACTAGCTGACACATTTATACATTACTGTTAGGGCTGCTGTGAGAGTGTCGTGTTTGATTACGTGATCTACTACCATTTGAAAGCATACCACTACCATGTGCATTTCCATTACCACGATACAGGCGATAATCGCTTAACACAATGCCTATTATTTTCTTGGTCAATAATTATTCAACTACTATTCTCGTATAAATAAACATCAAAATATCATTGATATCGACATTACATGAAGTATCTCTCAATTATGTATTTAATATTATCATGACGCACCTACCTACGCACCTTCCCACCTACCCATTTACCCACCTACCCACTTACCCACCTACCCACTTACCCACCTACCCGCCTACCCACCTACCCACCTAAAAAGTATCGACGAAGTTCGTTAGTTTCGTAAATTGCACTAGACATATTTTTTTAAATGAAAATTCATTGACATCATTGACATATTATGTTACATATATGTTATATTTTGCGACAACCTTAATTAGTGCGTTGGGCTAGTGTGAACACTCACTTCGAACTAACTCAATTACATGCTATTTATTTCTTTTAACTTTTGTCTTTAAGAAGTACCTGATGATTTTTTTTCTGATGCCTTAAACCTTAGTCTATATATAAACAATTGTACATTTACATTGCCCCTCCCCTCTATTGTTTAGTTACACTTTTTTACAACCCCCATTATATATGTCAACATCTATTCAAAACTAACACTTTTTACAACCCCCACTACAAGACTTAGTGTCAACATCTATTCACAATTGTAACACTACTAGTCGTTGGTATCCGTTACATGTGAATTATAGGTCATTATATTTTTAATGGTATACATTGTTTAGAAGAATATTTTATAAAATAGTTATTGGTCAAAACGCAATGTACTTTACTACAGAATTAACGATATTAGTGACAAAGCAAAGAGATAACTAAATAGCTAAAAGTCCGACACATTTAAAATAACATAGGCTACTAATACCTATTAGAAAAAATAAAACCAAATTATATACATAATTAGTCAACATAACACCATATTAAATGTACACATTGATTAAAAGACTTAAATGACTCCGTTAAAAACCCGGCTTTTCAATGGTATTTATGTTGTTTTTTAAAGTAATTTGTATCAGTTTTGGCCGAGGAAATTGTATAAATTTCACAAATTACGTCTCGATAAGTAAATCTATAGATCTAAATCAAATTTTAATGAAATAGTCATTTCTTCGTATTCTAAAATTGGAAGATGACGCCATTGGTTTTGTGTACTTTCCGTACTTCAAACATATGACATGTAACGTCTTCGGTTTCGGCGTTCTTGCCCCAAATATAAACACTTTTCCGGTTGCATAATCAAAACTGTTTTTCAACATCCGAATATGCCTTTATTTTGTATTTTTCTTCTTTAAATAAAATTGTGTTTATACATTTAAAACATCTAACATATTATTTTCAAAAAAATTCCGTATCAAGTTCTCCATAAATCGCTGAAGATTCTGATGTGATGGTTTGCGAAAATATTTTGCGGAAAGAGAGAGAGAGAAGTGCTCACATGGGCTTTTATATAATCGGATCTTACAACCCCCACTATATGACATCTATTCACAACTCACAAATAGCAACCAATAAGGTGACGATTGTTGAAAGACTTGTTTAGATTCTCGGTCACCCGTATAAATAGGTACGATAACCGAATTTGCAATGCTATTTAAGGCAAGTAGGTCGTAAAATCCCCGCATCGCTTTAAAACAAAACAGAAATAGAACAAAGGATTCCCAAATATTTAGATATTTAAAAAGCCTACGTAAATTTCTTAAACCCCGTATTTTTTAAATTTATGACTAAACCACCCACAACTATAAATAGAGCAAGGGTTCCCAAAATTGTGGGCCTCGACCCCCAAAGGATTTCTAAGGGAGCGGGGGGGGGGGGGGGGGTCGCCTACTAGTACAGTAATTATTTTTTTAACTCGGCTTTCCTAACTGGACTAACCATGGAGTAGAGAAGCCACAACGTATATTGGGCAGAGGTTCTACTAAGTCTATGCAAACTTTAAAACTCTAACGTCACTTAACAAGAGAAAGCATCCATTAGACACTAACACGGATTTGGAATATTTCGTCGGCATGAAACTTGGCAGATGGCGGGAATTTGATCGAACATCAGACACAACAGCTTTAGTGAAAGTCGCAGAGCGCCAAAAACAAAAACCTGGAACAGTTTGTGAAAACTCTTCAAACCCTGCTTGATGAAGATGGTGAAATTAATTGTTGGGGATTCCAGTAAAGATAAAACAAATATCTGTCAAATTATACCATTCAGTTGGGTGGTTCAGGAATTCCGTATACTTTAAGGAGCAGATTTAAGAAGAAATCATGGTATTATCATTGTTTTCTTTTGAGGTTGTAAGCTCATATTCTCGGGTTGTCGTGAAATATATTTATTTAGATGACATCATAGAGTAGTTTCGATTTTCTAGTGGACTTAAAAAGGATTTTAAAAAATTAAATATTTTGGAGATAATAAATACGTTTTTTTTTTTTTTTAGATTCTGTGAATAAAGTATAAAAACATCCGGGGCTTTGTATGGACGGTACACCATCATGGGCCCCCAGAAAAACTATTTAAAACATGCTAACACTGGATTATCTTTCGGTCTCCTTTAAAATTGTTCCGACTCCAGTGGGCCCTACTTCATTCGCTTATAAAACTTACAACGGCTCTGCATCTTTTTCTCGCCCTCTGTTGAAAGACGTGTATGTAGCCACGGATCCTATAGGAGAGGTTTCTCTTTTCCACACAGCAGTACGCTGGTTGTCAAAAAACAAGTTGTGAACCTTGTTTTTTAATAGAGATGAAATCAAATTGTTCCTAAGTACCATTCACACTTAAATTTTATGATGATTGTCTCTTGTGTTTTAGACCATTTGTTTAAAAAAAAAACTTATGGTGAATGACAGAAAGTTACTGTTTAAAAAAAATTCACCCGCGTATTTTGAAGCAGGTTGCTGACGTGATACATACATTATTGTTATTAATTAATTAGTAAACATATTTTTTTATTCTAAAAATCATTGTATGTCTTTTTTCAATTGTATTGGGTCGCGGGTAACTTGGCCATCATAAAACGGTATAGCCACTATAGCCACTTGAAACAGTAGGGTAGGCCCCTAACCTCTATAAATACAGCGACAATTCTGATTGGCTAGAAGGTTTATTAAAAGCCCCGCGAGCTAGTCAAGTGTAGAACGAGGCAAACACCAAACACTAGTCAGCTAGGTGATCAACTTCTACACTAGTTCAGTTGTTCGAATCGTGCGCAAACACTGCTGGTTCATACTGTTATTCAACTATAGACATTGCTACTGTTATACAACTATAGCCATTGCTACTGTTATACAGCTATAGACATTGGTATTTTTATACAACTCTAGACATTGGGACTTTTATACAACTACTAAAATTTTACTGTCGTACATCTGTTGAGATCGTTACTGTTACACAACTTTGTCAGCTGTTGCCTAAGTTAAAATATTTTTTGAAGCCATGCGGCTCTTACTTCACTTCATTTCATTGGTAAGTTTTTTTTTTATTTATCTTGTAAATATTTAATTATACGGATGTTTACTCGCTATTTTTAAAAAAATGTAATCACTGATTATATTTAGTTGGTTTACAGCTGTATTACAACTGTGCTTGACATGCTGCTAACGAGTCCTGTGTGGTACAACAGCTGTTACAGCACGGCAATATTCAATATTAGTTTAGCTCCAGTGTAAACATACAAACATAGGTGTACATGGTATGAGATACAGGGGCGGGTTCAAGGGCAGGCTGCACCCCCCCCCCCTTTCCATTTTAGGACCCCAGTAATTTCACTATCAAACAATAGCAAACATTCTCATATAATCAGCAAATATTAGCATATCGTCAGCATACATTAGCATTTAATCAGCATACGTTAGCAAACATTGGCATAACATCAACATATCCATTATTGGTTTGTGTTCATTCATTTAATCTCAGAGAATTTAGCGACTGCCGCAATAATCTGACTGGAATATATTTTGTAATGGGGGGGGGGGGGGGAGATTTATAGATCGCTTAAATTCGGAGGACCTTTTTGAAAACTTTGAAGGGAAATTTTCGTGAAATGTTCAGATAGGGAAAAAAATTTAAGTTTATCCTGCCGTTTGTTTGGTGGTGTTGTGTTTTGGTGCTAATTGCTAAGGTTGTGCTGGGTAGGTGTTGTATTGGTGCTTGGTTGTTCTGGGTTGGTGTTGTATTAGCAAGGTCTGGGACTGACACTAATATAATGAATTTCTCCTTTCAGACGCTGCTATGTGCCAGCTCACACCAACAGTCTACCATTAGACCTGGTGAGTACATGCACGTCCTTGACGTCACCTGTTGCTGTTGTCTTGTGGGTTAAATTTCTTACCGCCTATTGTTGCTGTTGTCTTGTGAAGTTAAAAATGTTGTCTTGTGATGTTAAAACTTTTTGTCGCCTATTGTTACGTTGTCTTGTTATTTAAAAACTTCTTGTCGCCTATTGTTACGTTGTCTTGTGATGTTTAGCTAACTTTGGTGCTGTTGAAAACACCCTCGTGTCCTTTATAAAACAGGTGATAAACTTTTGAACCATAAAATCTGCTTGTGTGTAGCATGTGTTGTGTGTAGCATGTGTTGTGTGTAGTCAGTGTTGTGTGTAGTCAGTGTTGTGTGTAGTCTGTGTTGTGTGTAGCCTGTGTTGTGTGTAGCCTGTGTTTTGTGTAGCCTATTGTGTGTAGTCTGTGTTGTGTGTAGCCTGTGTTGTGTGTAGCCTGTGTTTTGTGTAGCCTATTGTGTGTAGCGTGTCCCACGTAGCACGTAGCCTGTCAGGCAATGAATATTGTCAGGCACATGTGTAGCTGTTTGATGTGACAAGAAACAAGAGTTGTGTGTAGCCTGTGTTGTGTGTAGCCTGTTGCGTGTAGCCTGTCACCTGTAGCGTGTAGCCTGTCAGGCAATGAATATAGTCAGGCTGTTTTATGTGACAAGAAACAAGAGTTGTGTGTAAAGGGCGTGGAGTGTGACGTAATCGGTGGATGGGGGAGGGTGGGGGTAAAAGTTTAAAAATCCTCTCCCACCACTAGACTGGGACGAAAGTTTTCATTAAAATGTTTAAATAAGCGAGCCCGTGCTACATGTCTCAGGCTAGACAAACTGTGTGTGTGTGGGGGGGGGGGGGGAGGGGTGAACACGTGACACCATACAACACCATGTGACAGGACTCCTGTGTGAAAGTTGTGTCAGCCAGCCATAGCTGTAGATATAATACACAGTGTTTCTTCCAGACTTTTTAACTCGGGGGGGGGGGGGGGGGCACTTTATATTTGGGGGGGGGGGGGGCGGTGAACAATTCCCGGTGGGGGGGGGGGGGGGGGCGGACGCTGGTAAAAATATGTTTTCTGTATAAATTCCTTTATGTTGGGGGGGGGGCGTAGACTTTCTTCGGGGGAAGATGCCTGGAAGAAACGGATAGTATAACTGTTTTGAAAATTGAGTTAATATTGACATAAATTTAAATGCGGTACGTACATCTGTAGTGTGTACATTTGTTCTTTGTACACATTGAAATTTTAAAATCCTCTACACAATAAAACGTTCAACATTTCCTGAAACCTGTATTACGTGTGTGGAACTACCCACTGTATCCTATAGCTTTGTGTGCCGTTTGTCCACATATGTTTGTTCAATTATTGCGAAGTTGTGTTAACATCTCGTGCCCCCCCCCCTCCCCAGAATGGCAGGGGAAGGCGGTGGACATCTTCTTCATGCTGGACGCCTCCTCCAGTGTGTGGGTGATAGACTTCTACTCACAGCGCCAGTTCGTAGCTGACCTCATCTCTGGTATGGACGTCAGCCCCACGGGCCCTGTCCGTGTGGGGGTGGGGGTGTACGTGGAGGGGCTGGAGATAGTGGTGCCAGTAAACAACAGCTTCACCAAACAGAAGGTGATAGATCTGACGCTCCAGGCGCCCTACACCATGGGAGACTCGTACATTTCCAGGTCAGTCAAATTTGTTTCGTCATTTGTTATCAAATTAACATGGTTTTATACAGTTTTATACACGAAGAATCGAAGTTTTAAAATGTGTAGATCTGACTCCAGAGAGAAGACACGAATGTATTTATAGAATAACATTTGGCTTTTGTGGGATTAATGCCATTAATACAAAAGAGATCACTTACTTGGTTATTTACTGGAGCGTGAAAGTGGTTTTGTTATGAGTGGTCAATAGACTAGAGAAGTGACCTTTCGTGCGGTCAGGCCAAGTGACCTTCCCTTAGGTCAGGCCAAGTGACCTCTCCTTAGGTCAGTGTATGACCTCTGTTTCTCTCACCTGTCTCCACAGAGCCATGAAAGGTCTGCGAGAAAAAGGTTTACCTCTGGCCATCAGACGACCAAACGTACCTGCCATAGGTGTGCTCATCACTGACGGATCATCCAGGTAAGTTGTGTTTGATTACAGGTGTTTTGTGTGCGTGTGTGGGGGGGGGGGGGGTGAGCTCCGTCCAGGTGAGGTCATAAGGTGCAGACTTGGTGCAGTCTTCAGGTGACGCACTAAAGTGCAGACTAGGTCTTGTCCTAGATTGACGCACATAATGAAGTAACTTACCCGTGTGATAAACTAAAATTATCGTGACATTAATAATTAATTTTTTCTCGCTCTCTAATTAGGTCAGTCCCGTAATTATTTATACACCCACTATAATTAAATATACACCTTCTGTAATTAACTTTCCACATATTACTATAATTATTTATACACCCAATCTGGCTATTTAATCTTGCTGCTATGGCTTATGGCCATGTCAAGTAAACTTAACCCAAACCATTCCTATATCAGGAGCAGGTAACCCTCGTAAAGTTCATCTCCGGCAGACGTTAAGGTGTGTCATGTTACAGATCGACACCTCAGTACCCCACCCCCACCCCACCCGGATATAAAATATTTCCGTCATACAGAGGCCTACCACGGGTCACCCTCTCGAAACTTGAAAGCCAAATTCAAACGACGCAGTGTGCGGACGTCCTGCCCACTTGAGATCCCCGGATGTGATTTGGTGTTAATCACGGGCACGCGCAAGCCTGTGGGGGCTTGATTGGCGCGTGCTGGATGTCCGCTTTGTAGGGAGGACGTGAGCAGTGGACCATGTAGGGTCACGTGACTCACATCCTTGTTGGTAGCTTGCCTTAAATGACGTCCCACCCCTACCCCATCTCACCAGGATGGATATCTCTTGGTGATTCGATACCTCCAATTATCTTCGTTTGTCCAGGATCGATATTTCTTGGTGATTCGATACCTCCAACTATCTTCATGTTTGTCCAGGATCGATATCTCTTGGTGATTCGATACCTCCAACTATCTTCATGTTTGTCCAGGATCGATATCTCTTGGTGATTCGATACCTCCAGCTATCTTCATGTTTGTCCATGATGGGTATCTCTTGGTGATTCGATACCCCCTACTATCGTCATGTTTGTCCAGGATCGATATCTCTTGGTGATTCGATACCTCCAGCTATCGCCATGTTTGAAGTGAGGTCTATATTTAGCTGTCCACAAGTCAGCCTGATGATGTTTAGAAGCTTCAAGTTGTATCTGTCTCTTGCAGATGTGTAGATACCATCAGCTGATGTTAGATAATATTTAAGTGGCTTCTGGTTGTAAGAGGCGGGGGGAGTTAGCTAGTGTGTGGTGCGTCCTAAACGTCCCGAATTCAAACATTGGGACAGCAACCCATCTAGGAGAGATAACTCTAAAATCAAGCAACTGCTGCCTTGCAGATTTTTCGTGAAAGGACATAGGCTACGGAAGCAAATCCAGAAACAAAATTAGACCCGTTTTGTGCATACCTTGATAGACACTATACTTAATTGTGTTAAAGGAAATCCCTTCCAATATTACAGTTTTGAACGAAGACAAAGGAAGTGTCCCACCTGCCATGCTTGTCAGATGTCACATGTCAACTTTTCTCTTGCCCCCCCCCCCCAGACTGCGCCAGCTGACCGTGTCAAATGTCACATGTCAAATGACACCTTTTCTCTTGTCTCCACCCCCCCCCCCAGACAGCGCTAGCTGACAGTGTCAGATGTCAAATGTCACATGCCACATGTCATATGTCACCTTTTCTCTTGTCCCCAGACAGCGCCAGTTGACCGTGTCAAATGTCACATGTCACATGTCATATTTTCCCTTGTCCCCAGACAGCTTCAGTTGACCGTGTCACATGTCAAATGTCACATGTCAAATGTCACATGTCATATGTCACCTTTTCTCTTGTCCACCCAGGCAGCGCCAGTTGACCGCCGACTACACCAACCTCTGCCAGAAGGAGGGCATCTATATCGCCACCATCGGGGTGGGCGCCTACGCTGACCAGCGGGAGCTCAAGGACATGGCCAGCGATCCCAAGGCCGACTACTTCTACTACGTCGATGCCTTCAAGGATTTGGCCAGCATTAAGGACAAAGTCTCGGCCAACTTGGCCAAAGGTAGGCATGGCCAAATCTCTAGTCTATACAGACGGGGCCAAATCTCTATTCTATACAGACGTGGCCAAATATCTAGTCTATACGTATCTTAGCGCATCTCTGTAACCCCCCTCCCCTCCCACTTTATTTTGAAATGATGTTTCGATTTTTTAATATTTCAATTATCCAACTGTTATTTCATCAACCCTATTTAACATTGACGTCACAATGGTCTTGTTTTATTTTACAGCCGAACCACTTCTATCCGACAGTTCAAGTAAGTAAATGTTTCCATATTACTTATTTTCCATTATCAATACATGTAACACATACACATACACACACGTGCACATAGGTACACACACATACACAAGATTGATATTTTTGTCATCACTTCATCCTTTTCATTCGATGCCCCTGCTACAAAATCTAGCTGTACTCTACTTCCCCTGCTAAAGTCTAGCTGCACTCTACTTCCCCTGCTAAAGTCTAGCTGCACTCTACTTCCCCTGCTAAAGTCTAGCTGTACTCTACTCCCCCTGCTACAAAGTCTAGCTGCACTCTACTTCCCCTGCTACAAGGTCTAGCTGTACTCTACTCCCCCTGCTACAAAGTCTAGCTGTACTTTACTTCTGCCTGCTACAAGGTCTAGCTGTACTCTACTTCCCCTGCTACAAAGTCTAGCTGTACTCTACTTCCCCTGCTACAAAGTCTAGCTGTACTCTACTCCCCCTGCTACAAAGTCTAGCTGTCCTCTACTCCCCCTGCTACAAAGTCTAGCTATCCTCTACTCCCCCTGCTACAAAGTCTAGCTGCCCTCTACTCCCCCTGCTACAAAGTCTATATGCCCTCTACTTCCCCTGCTACAATGCTGTTCTCTACCCCACAGAATGCGGCAACACCAATGACACTGACACCGTATTCGTGTATGACAAAACCAGTCTTGGCGACGAGGGGATGAAAAACGTCCGCCATTTTTTGAAAGAGTTTATCAATGACCTGAGCATGAACTCGGGCAAAGCTCGGGTGGGGATCGTGTCCAAAACTTGTCACCAGGGGGACATCAAGCTTTCACAGGTAGGTTGGTTACTCTTTTGTGGGGCGGGGGGGGGGGGGGGGGACTTTCAGTGTTGGATACACTTTTGGTGTGTGGGGGGGGGGGACTTTCAATATTTGGTGTGGGGGGGGGGGGGGGGACTTTCAATGTTACCAACACTTTTGGTGTGGGGTCTGTGGTCACCAACTAACGATATTTAGTCACTTTTTTTTGTTGGGGGGGGGGGGGGGGATATAAGAATCGATGCCAAAGTGTACCTCGTCCTTGCACCAACAAATTTCTGTCAATACATGTGTTTGTAATGAAGACGAAACCTAAATTTAAAAATTTTTTCACCTTGAATAGAACACCACCAAACATACTAAAATTCAACACTGTTAGGTCTATGTTTATTCTCGTGTCACGAGTGACCATATTGATGAATGCTAGTTTCTGTCTACCAGTACCTTAAAAGTGAACAGTTGATCCAAGGTTTGGAGGACGACAGCGGCCCAGGTATAACTGACCTGGTCAAGCAGGCCATGAGGTATTCCTATAAGGAGGAGTTTGGTGGGCGGAGCTACGCCCTAAAGAGGGTCGTCGTCATAATGACAAAAAACATAACAGCGAGGGCCGACATTATCATGGAGCTGCTCAAGGCCAAGTTTCTCAAATACCAGGTACTGAAACTTGTCATTTTTATATCGTTGGTCAAATACCCGGTACTGAAACTTGTCATTTTTATCGTTGGTCAAATACTTAGTATCGAAAACTTGTCACTTTTGTTATATCCTCGGTTTTAGTTTACTGTTTGTGTTGGCCTTGACCTGTGACCTTCCATCCCCAGGTTTTTATCATCTATATTGGAACGGACTACGACAAAGAGTTTTTGAACAAACTTGCTACTAGTTTGGATCACGTGTTGTACACGTCATCAAGCAGTGGCCTTGCTGAACTGCTCACACCGTTTAAAAACATTTTCTGCACAGGTAACTTCCGGTTTCGTTTTGTTACCAATAAAAGACGCTAGAGATTTGAAAGTGTTTGTTTGAAAATGTTTAAATAATTAGACTAATTACATTCAAGTTGAGCATCAAAACACTAAGTATTGCTTAGATATTTTTTTCAACATTTTAATTTGTTGTTGTTTTGTTTAAGGAATCTAAAACTCTAAATGGAGAAAACAAAATGGCGTGCTAAGAAAACCATTTGCTACCAGCATCTTTACCAGGATAAAAATAGTTACAGACATGATCAAGCACGAGTTATGGCACCTGACTATCTATTGAGAACTACTTCAGCAGACGGCGCATCTAGATGTTGATACAGGCAGGCGATTGTCAGTGTCTTACGTGGTTTAGTCACATTTTAGCGCCTGAGTGTTAGTTCACTGAAAATATATTTATATTTGTAGATTTTGTATTATTGGTTTTATTTATATTATGGTTAATATTTATTTAAATCTTTTTGTTGTTTGCAAACTGTCGTAACATTCCAGCCTAATGACAATCACCAATAAATTGACAGTCACCAAATTCCAACATTCCATTTCTAGCTCACACCTTAGCTTAGACTGTAAAAAAAATATGGGCAGACGACTTTATTAGATTCTAAAGTTTTCTAAACTTGCTTCGAGGATCCGAATGACGTCAGTATGCCTGGTTTATTAATTCATTTGTCCTCAACCACAAATTTTATTGTTCCAAACTTAGCATTAGTCAGAACAAACTTGACGGTGGGGACCTTGCAAAGAATTCACATCAGTGAGGCTATTTCAAACACTAGATGAAATAAAACAAGGATAGCCTCTAACTAAACCAATGATTCTTAGAATAGTCAACTTAATTAAGTATGTCCCCTAACTCTAAATAAAAGAATGATTGTTAAAATAGTCCCGTTAAGTTTAGCCAAGGATAGCCCCTATTTAAACAAATAATTGTTCCAATAGTCCCCAGATGAATTAAGGATAGCCCATATTTGAACAAATAATTGTTCTAAGAGTCTCCAGATGAATTAAGGATAGCCCCTAAACGAATAGACCCCATTCACTGTGTGTGACTCAGATTTCTTGGAACCTGGCCCAGTCATAATTAATGTCCAGTCATTTGTCACTTCTCTTGTGTGACGTAAAATCCGTGTTGTCGCAATCTGTTAGGGTAGGGGGGGTGTAAGATGTAAATAACTAGTGCACACAATTAATTATTGCTGACTCATGATGTACCACAAAATGTTGCCTTCAAATGTTATGTTTTATTTTGAGTTTTTAAATGATGTAGATCTAAATTGTAAATATTTTTTGGAGATTTTTTCCGTGATATGTTATGTAAATAAAATTACCACATTTTTTTGCATGTAACTTAGTCTTTAACAAGACAAAAATAAATAGAATCTTAATATTTTCTGTGATATATTTCTTGTATCCCTACTAAAGGTTCAGTCAAACAAGACCCCCATCTACATACAGTGGTACCTCGACATTCGAATTTAATTATTTCCGTAACTTTGCTCCTGTGTCCATCTGCTAGTATCTCAGAGCTATTTTCCCCATTGAAACTAATTTAAAAGCCACTAATTCGCTCCAGCCTTCCTAATGGCATGCATTCCTATTTGTTGTTCGTTCCATGTTTTTTTTTCAAAGGAAAATAAATGTATATGTAATATGTTTTATAAAAACAATAAAAGAGGATGTAAAGAAATAAAGTGGTTTTGTTAAGTGCATTTACTTTGAAACTCGCCGGGCTTGAGATGGTGGAGTAGTGGTAGAGGAGATAGGATGGTGGGGGGGGGTGGTTTACTTTGTTCGCTTACTCTCTACAATAGTCTACACTGTCAATGCTAAACCCTTTCGGTCCCTTATTTACTCGTTATACACTTAATGCTACCATTAAATTAATGATTAATCCCTAATTGTAATGGACCTTAACTCAAATTCACTGAACTTATTTGTTTATGTAAATTTCCGTCACTGCATCACTCTTCAGTGGTCCCTGCCTTTATTGTTAATTTTTTGTCACTTTCAGCTTCCTTTCGGGGAAAAAAGTATGTCCAAGGTTGCTCCTATTTCAAATTTTTCTTTTCTTTCAGAGCAAAATATCGCTCGTTGAATTAAAATGACATTTTAAAATGTTTTCCCATATTAAAATAAATGATAAGTTTCATTTCCGTGACTTGTAAGCAAAGGCGTAGCGACGGGGGGGGGGCGCCAGGGGGTACATATGTCCCCGGGCGCCGACCCTACGGGCGTCAAAATAAGCTCATTTTAGCTGCTATTTTGAATTATTTAAAAAAATATATGGGAATGGGGGCGCCAAATTAAAAGTTTGTCCCCGGGCGTCGGGAGGGGTCGCTACGCCTCTGCTGGTATTGCTTACACTAAAAAAGAGCACGAAACTGATGACATCATCTTCCAAGTTTAGAATAAAAAGAAATGAACTATTTCATTCAAATGTGATTTAGAGCTATGTACGCTATGAAATGTATACAATACGATTTTCTCGGCCTAAACTTAAAAAAATTATTTTATCCATTTGGATTCTAGATCGAAAGATTCTAGATCTAGATATTCTAGATCATCTAGATCTAGAGATTCTAGATCATCTAGATCTAGAGATTCTAGATCTAGATGATCTAGATCTACGGAAAAACTAGACTTTGATGTAGACCCTACCTAGATCTAGAATCTATTCAAATAATACATTTCTATACTAAAGTATTTCAGGCCTTAATTACTTTATTGAAATCTTTGTTTATCAATGCAATTTGCTAATCTCTATAATATATAAAGCTAAGTTGTCGGGTGCCCGATAGGGCACTTCCCGGCGCCGCAGGCACTTCAAATTTGGCAGGATCTTGCCTTGGGGCGACAGAACACGGGGGCCGGTTGGCCGAAAAGTCTACGATGAGGGGGCCAAAACTGACCTCGACTGACCGGCGCCTTATATGGGCGAATTAATCAAGCATTCAAATTCTCAATGTTTTCGAAAGTCTAAGCGAAGCTGGGCAGCATGCCTAGTATATATATATATATATATATATATATATATATATATATATATATATATATATATATATATATATATGGGAAGTTTCGTTGTAGAAGGTACTGAAACAGGCCTGTTTAATTTAACAAACTTTCAAAACTAAAGTTGGAAAACTTAAGTTGTAGAGAAAACTGAAGTTGAACAGAAAACTGAAGTTGTACAGAAAACTGAAGTTATAGAGAAAACTGAAGTTGTAGAGAAAACTGAAGTTGTAGAGAAAACTGAAGTTGTACAGAAAACTTTAGTTGAACAGAAAACTTTAGTTGAACAGAAAACTGAAGTTGGAAAACTGAAGTTGAACAAAAAACTGAAGTTGAACAAAAGTTGAACAAAACAAATGTAACTGCTGCCATGATGGTGAACTGACTTGACCCACATAAGAACCCTTTAGCTTTCAAGTCGCGTTATGTTTTCCGCCAGCAGTTTAAAAGCCACTCTTGAAATCCTTTCGCCTAGTGGGTTTTTCCACTCAGAGCAGCTACTCCTACTGATAGGGTCACTTATCTTCTTTGTTGTTGTTGTTTTTAATAGATACCGTAGAAAAAATAATGTCCTAAAAGTAGACATTGGAGGGTTTTTGTTTGTTTGTGTGCGTGTGCGTGTGCTTTAACACGGTATAGTCGCTATCAATGGGGTATGGGGCACTTGAAATTTTCTGAGAGTGTGGGCGGATTAAATTTTCCGTGAGGGGGGGGGACACTGGTAAAAGTATATATTTTCTATATAAATTCCATTTCGTTCGGGGGGTGCGGTAGACGTTTTTCGTAGCCCTCCCCCAGATGAGATGACTGGTTGCTATCAAAAGCCGAAATGATATCCGCCGTTTGAATTTAGAAAACTGACTGTTGATTATTGGTGCCATGTGAGTCAGGGGTAAACAAACTAAAGAGCGCCTCCAATAGGTTTACAATTTTTTAATGCAAAATTAAATATCCAGGTCTAGCGGACGGCGTGGTCTAGTGGTAGGGCACTAGACTGCTAACCTCAAAGTTTCGAATCCGGGTTCCATCAGTAGAACGTCCCTGAGTCCACCCAGCTCTGATGGGTACCTAATTCAAGTTAGGGAAACAAAGGCAGCTGGGCACAGTGCTGATCACGTTATCTCCTTGTAGAGGAACTCTGCTTCATCTTCATATGTCTAGGTTTTTAATTTCTTAAATAATAATAAATAATAAAGTTACAGGTCCAAATTCTAGGCTCATTTTTATAACGCTTTGTCTCAAAGTGTAAAATTCATTGGCAATAAATTGGCTATCCACTCTTTACCCCAAGTTTTCACTTTTTGTCCACTTGACGCTACCTACCTAATTTTTAAAAAACTATATTACACTACAAGAAAAAATAAAAATATTTAAATATAATACCGTACTGACTATAGATATTTTTAATTAAAGTATGTTTTTTTTTTTTTACAAAACAATATTAAAAAGAAGAGGCTAAATTTGTTAAAATTCTTAGATGCTATTTATTTTTCGTTAAAAATTACAAGAAGATGAATAGTCTTCTTATGTTTTTTTTAACCAAAAACAGCATCTTCTTCTAATTTGTAACGAAAAATAGCATGCTGTTCTAATTTGTAACAAATTTAGCATCTTTTTGCCAATTTCTAACCACATCAGAGTTTCGCCCATGCATCTCTTATAATCTATATAATTTATATAGAAAATATATACTTTTAACAGTGTCCACCCCCCCCCCCAGTCCACCCCCCCCCCCCCCCCGAAGAAAGTCTACCCCCCCCCCAAAAAATTTCAAGTGCCCCCCCCCCCCCCCGGAGGAAAAAGTCTGGAAGAAACACTGATTACATTAATTCGTTTGCCAAAATTATCAGAATTAACCTAGGAGGAGAGAAGAAACACTGAACCAAATAACCTTTAAATCTGGAAGCTAGAAGATGTTTTTCGTAAAACAAAATATCAAAATGCGATTGGCTAAAAACTACTCATCTTCTACCTCAACAGTGTAGGCCTAGTGACGCATGAACTCTGCACTAATTGTATCCTGTTGTCTGATTGGTCAATTAAAATGTCACAGGCCTCCGTGATTACGCGACCACAACATTGTCAACAATAAACAAAGTGAGATGTATACAGCGTCAGTCTATTGAGCAGACGATTACCAGTTTTACAAAAGCGCTCCTTTTTTACAAACGAAATAAAAATAACAATAGTAATAATAATAATAATAATACACTAAATCAATTTGAAAGAACATACTAATTGCAGTAAATTTTGATAGAGGAACAGGATACGAACTGCTGTATAAATCCAGAGGACACATTTTATATTTTTAAAATATTCGAGTAGAAGGGGTACTAGAGAGCCAGATTCAAGTATGATAAAATTCACGTGCATGCTGTTCTCTTTGGTGAGTACATTTTTGTCTTCATGTGTGAGTATGTGCATGCGTGTTGGTATGAGTGGCTGTGTATGTGTGTGCGCGTGTGCGTATTTGTGTGCGTGTGTGTGTATGTGTATGTGCGTTTTTATTTTATTCTTACTAAGTGCGTGTACGCGAAGAGTTTTATAAAGCATTGGGCTTTGCGGGTGAGTGTAATTTTGTATTTGAATATGTGTGTCTATGTATTTTAATGTGTCAGTGTGTCTTTCTATTTGAATACGTGTGTGTTTGTATTAAAAAGTGTGAATGTGTGTGTGTTTGTATTTGAATGTGTGTGTGCATGCTTGCGTGTGAAAATTTGTCTTTACCGACTCAAACCAACGCCCCCCCCCTCAATTTTTGTCATTATTTTTGCAAACCATGATATTATTATTTTGTATGCGTAAAAATAAACCCGCGTTATTAGTATCCAACCCATAAAGCTACACTTTTTGCTACTTGATTCATTTCATAGCTGAACTTTAACTATGGTTTCTGTATAAAATATGGCTGTTTGTATTATTTTATAGTAAAGTCTATTTTAGTAAATTTTACATCTGTCCTTAAAATATTGTCGTACGTTTTGCTTGTAAAGTTGTTGTTTTTTTTTCATTTCTTCTAATTCATTGCCTGAACACGTGTATGATTGTAGAACTAGGACTAGATTCACTTTTCCGTGTTTGTCTCTTAGGTAAGTCTAGTCTATAGTAATGTATGAGTTGTCTTCTCATAAGAAGGTTACCTCCCCTGTCAGGTTGTCAGACCTGTGAGATCAACATTTAAAGATTGCCCCCCAACCCCCCCCCCCCCCACACACACACACACTCATTCCCCCCTTTCACCCCCCCCCCCCCAACCCCCCCCCCCTTCCACACACACACACACACTCTCTCTCCCCCCCCCCCCCCCCCGTCAAGTTGTCACCCGATGTTAGCCCCACCCTCCTGTTTAAAAAACTTTCTTATTCGCAGACGACAGTTGTGGTGTTGGGCCAACAGCGAACCCCACCCGTCTCTTCCCGTTCAGGTAGGCCCACGTCATTTATTTGATTAAAACCACACATACAGGAAATGGCTGCTTTCTTTAGTCAATCGGTTCCTCCTTTTTTATTAACAATACTGGTGATAATGGTAATACTGACTATACTCAGTGGAGTAGCGAGGTCGGGTGTTACCCGGTGCGGCACTTAATGGTGTCACCCCCCCCCCAGAGGCGTAGCGACCCTTCCCGGGGACAAACTTTCAATTTTCGATTTGCACCCCCTCTCAAACTTTCGATTTGCACCCCACCCCCTTTGATTTGCACGTCTTAAAAGACTATTTAACACTCGATTTAACCACTTAATTAAGTGGAATTATCATTTTTCTCTATATATTTTGCTATTTTTTGCCTTGGTGTCACCCCCTAAATGGTGTCACCCGGTGCGGTCCGCACCCCCCCCCTCCTCGCTACGCCTCTGACTATACTACCAATACTGGTGATAATGGTAATACTGACAATACTACCAATACTACCAATACTGACAATACCCTCATAATGATCAATACCACTTCGTCCCTATTGTTATGAGGCTAATTTTTTACCTAAGTATCTAGTCTATCGAATGAAATCACCAGTTCCCACAATTCCAAATGTTGCTAAAGATTGGGTTTAAGATTTTGACGATCATCTGATTGACATAAAGATTGGGTTTAAAAATGTAAAAAAAATATAATAACTCGGGTGTATTTTTTACGAACGAATAAAAAGGACAATTTTAAGACAACTTTAAGTGGTAACTAGGGGAGACAAATAGATGAAAGGGGAAGCTATCAAGGAAGGGTTTAGAAACAACTCATGGCTTATACAATGAGGACAAAATTTTGCCGAGTAACCAAAATAGGGGAGACGAATAGACTAAAGGGGAAGCTATCAAGGAAGGGTTTAGAAACAACTTATGGCTTATACAATGAGGACAAAATTTTGCCGAGTAACCAAAATAGGGGAGACGAATAGACTAAAGGGGAAGCTATCAAGGAAGGGTTTAGAAACAACTTATGGCTTATACAATGAGGACAAAATTTTGCGGACTCCCCTTCTCGTCCCCAAATATTTTATCCCACACTTGGCACCTATCGAAGTAGATCAACACTACCTTTTTACCTCACTACCTTTTACCTCACAACCTTTTACTTAACTACCTTTTACCTAACTACCTTTTACCTAACTACCTTGTACCTCACTACCTTTTACCTCACTGTATTCTAAACGCACTCCGAGGCGTAGCGAAGGGGGGGGGGGGGGGCGGCGGGGGGTGCGGACCGCACCGGGTGACACCATTTAGGGGTGACACCAAGGCAAAAAATAGCAATATATATATAGAAAAACTTGAGGGGGGGTGCAAATCGAAAGTTTGAGGGGGGGGGGGGTACAAATCGAAAGTTTGAGGGGGGGGTTGCAAATCGAAAATTTGAAAGTTTGTCCCCGGGAAGGGTCGCTTCGCCTCTGGGGGGTGACACCGTCACATGACGTCACACACCCTCAACAGATTCATCTTTCTCATTCCTCGAAACGATTTCTGTTGAGTGTGACAAATTACAGAGGAAACACATCAACAACAAATTCCTTTTGCTCATACGTCTTAAAGATTGTGTTTTTTGTTGTTGTTTTTTTTTTTTTTTTTGTTTCTCTGTTGTTGTTTTGTTTTTTTTTTTTTTTTTTTTTGTAGCTTCTTTTGTTGTTGTCGTTTTCATTTGGTCTATCGAATGATTGAAATCAAATCGGAGAGGAAACAAACATCCTCCAACATCGCGAGACTTCCCTGTGGTAGGGGAGATAACACAACAAATTCCACACACTCATCCGGGTTGTCTTATCAAAGAAAACAGCCGCACACTTCACTTAGCAGGACCGGTCACCAAACAACGGATGACTAATGCCTGCTCTAGATATATCCCACAGTTCAAAAACTAAGATCATCTTTGAATTATTTATAACTTTCTTTAATGTTTTAAGACCACTTATGATTTAGGAGTTTGTTAATTGGGTTTTCTAAGTATCGACGCATTTAGTTGGAGATTAGCCTCTGTATGATTGGCTACTTGGAGTTACTCTTTTATCTTTAGTCAAATTATTGGACTTAAGACATTTATTTGTACGCTTTGATCAGCAATGTATGGCATTCATATGGGCCAACCATATATGGCCATCTTTCACATGTTCTTCATACCTTGTAAATTTGGCCAACAATGTGTGGCCAACTTTCAGATGGTCATTACGCCGTGTAAATTTGGCCAACAATGTATGGCCAACTTTCAGATGTTCTTTACGCTGTGTAAATGTGGCCAACAATGTTTGGCAATCCGTTGTGAGACCACTACAATGTAGGCGGGTAGGAGTGGGAGGGGGGGGGGGGGGGTATTAATAAATAAACCCTCCAGTTTTTGTTCAGTTTTATTTAGCAGTCTTGTCACATTGAGTCATGACATAAAGTGTCACAATGATTGGCACTCACTGGCACACTGACCCAAGTGTCACATAAGTGTCACATTAACAAGAAAATTACATCACAGAAATCTTATGTTCTCAAGTGCGGGTCAGATCAAATTATATCATGCGCACTGACACATGAGTCAGATGACTCGACACGGATACATGAGTCACGTGACTCCAGCGAGAACGTGTGTAGCACGTGATCTTCTTCAAGTGTGTACCACGTGGGTCACAACTGTTAAAGGTCACAGCTGTAGTGTACAGAGGTCATTTAGCGGAGGCTGTAAGGGGGGGGGGGGGTTGCCCCAGTCTATACTCATATCTTCCTGCTCACAAAGTCTAGGTGGGGGGGGGGGGGGTAATCCGTCCGCCGCAGGCTATAATATCCCCTGCTCCCATAGTCTAGATGGGGGGTGTCTACCCCAGGCTATAATATCACCTGATCCCTGCTCCCATAGTCTAGATGGGGGGTGTCCACCACAGTCTATATCACCTGCTCCCATAGTTTAGATGGGGGGTGTCCACCCCAGTCTATATCACCTGCTCCCATAGTTTAGATGGGGGGTGTCCACCCCAGTCTATATCACCTGCTCCCATAGTTTAGATTGGGGTTGTCCACCCCAGGCTATAATATCACCTGCTCCCATAGTCTAGATGGGGGGTGTCCACCCCAGGCTATAATATCACCTGCTCCCATAGTCTAGATGGGGGGTGTCCACCCCAGGCTATACTCATGCCCCTCCTCCATTCCTCTGCCTCCAGCATGGGACAGCAAGCAAGCAGACGTGTACTTCCTGCTGGACGCCACGTCCAGCGTGTGGGTCCAGGACTACCTACGTCAGCGACAGTTTGTGGCGGATCTCATCTCCGAGCTGGACCTCACACAGACGCGGGTGGGGGTGGGGGTGTACTCCAACACCCACCAGGTGTGGGTCCCACTCAACGCCAGCCTCAGCAAGACCAGCATCATCAACAAGACTTTAGACGCCCCCTACCTGACGGGAGACTCCCATTTAGCCAGGTACGTCACACGAAACAGTCGCCTAAACAAGTTTATACTGACCACTGTGTAACTAGTCTCGCTAAGGGTCAACCATGACCCCTGTCTTACAGTGGGGCTATGGGTCAACATGTTTTTATTCTCTCAACAGTGCTCTAAAAGACCTGCGAGAAATTTTATCCTCGGCCAACAGACGACCACAAGTACCAGCCATTGGTGTCATATTCGCTGACGGCGACACAAGGTATCTAATCCACATCTTTAGCAACAAACCACATCTTTAGCAACAAACCACATCTTTAGCTAACAAACCACATCTTTAGCAACAAACCACATCTTTAGCAACAAACCACATCTTTAGCTAACAAACCACATCTTTAGCAACAAACCACATCTTTAGCAACAAACCACATCTTTAGCAGCAAACCACATCTTTAGCAACAAACCACATCTTTAGCACCAAACCACATCTTTTGCAACAAACCACATCTTTTGCAACAAACCACATCTTTAGCAACAAACCACATCTTTAGCTAACAAACCACATCTTTAGCAACAAACCACATCTTTAGCAACAAACCACATCTTTAGCTAACAAACCACATCTTTAGCAACAAACCACATCTTTAGCAACAAACCACATCTTAAGCTAACAAACCACATCTTTAGCAACAAACCACATCTTTAGCAACAAACCACATCTTTAGCTAACAAACCACATCTTTAGCAACAAACCACATCTTTAGCAACAAACCACATCTTTAGCAACAAACCACATCTTTAGCTAACAAACCACATCTTTAGCAACAAACCACATCTTTAGCAACAAACCACATCTTTTGCAACAAACCACATCTTTAGCAACAAACCCACATCTTTAGCAACAAACCACATCTTTAGCAACTAACCACATCTTTAGCAGGAAACCACATCTTTAGCAATTAACCACTTCTTTAGCAGGAAACCACATCTTTAGCAAATAACCACATATTTAGCAGCAAACCACATCTTTAGCAGGAAACCCACATCTTTAGCAACAAACCACATCTTTAGCAACAAACCACATCTTTAGCAACAAACCACATCTTTAGCAACAAACCACATCTTTAGCAGCAAACCACATCTTTAGCAACAAACCACATGTTTAGAAACAAACCACATGTTTAGAAACAAACCACAACTTTAGCAGCAAACCACATCTTTAGCAACACACCACATCTTTAGCAAGAAACCACATCTTTAGCAACGAATAAATACAGTTACACTGATCGACATTGAAGGTCCCAACATTTTTATCCAAATATTAGTGGCACAAAATGTACAATGATCTCCGGTGTTTATGATACAAAACCGGCCATCCATACACCACGCCTATAATGAAATAACTAAACAGAAAATGTAACAAGGTCAAAGTTTCTTCCAGGCATCTCTTAGTGAAGGGAGGATAGGACCACCCCCCCCCACCCCCGAACGAAATGGAATTTATATAGAAAATATATACTTGTAAAAGTGTCTCTCCCCCCCCCCCCCCCCCCCCCCGAGAAAATATTTGATCTTGTTACTTAGAGATATGACACTCTCTGACGAAAACTGAATGTTCCCCAGCAATAGGTTCTACCTGGCCTCTGAATACGCCGAGCTGGCCAAGATGGAGGGGATCTTCATGTTCTGTGTGGGGGTCGGGGACGAGGAGAGGTACCGGCAGTTCCAGAGCTACGCGAGTGACCCCAAGTCAGATTTTCTATTTAGTGTGCCAGATTTTTACGCTCTGAAGAACATCAAAAATAAATTTTTGACCAATTTCGCCAAAGGTGTGCAATAATTTTACGAAACTATTTTTTGTATATTTATTTTTTATTCCAACCTCCATATTTGGTGGCAATGCATTAATATCGAGATGGAGATTAGAGTTATGAAAATGTATCTAAAGACCACTGTATGTACAACTATTTTTTTTAGATAATAAAAGGGGAAATAACTAGGTGCTAGTCATCTGCCAGGTTGGCTTTTTTTATGCCAAGTCTTCTAGTTGAGCTGGACACCAAATAATTGGCCTACTAGAGCCATTTTTTTTTTTGCTAATTGTTTATACTACTGATAAGGTTTTAAGTAATTATTGTATGGGGTGAGTTGTCAACCTATAATCATGGCAAGTTCTAAAGAAATGATATAAAACTTAATGACTATTATACGTGATAATTAAATTAATTTTTAAAATAGACTTCTATATTAAAACTAATAATATTAAAAAAATGTGTAGTGCATATACAAGCTATTTTAAAGTTAAAGTGTTAAAGTTATAAAACCAAATATATTTTTAAATCTATTTTCAGTTGAATATCTGCCGATTGGAGAAGAAAGTAAGTAAAAAGATAAACGTTTGTGTTTAAGTTTAACTAATTAACAAATGATAATAAATAGATTTGCCTGATGAGTTATCGGTAATGGGATATCATCACATTAAAATTAAGAAGTTAATAGGGGACACCAGGTCAACTAGAAGTCCTAACCTTAACGTCTTCTTCAGAGTGTGTTGGCAAGTTTCTAGACACTGTCTTTGTCTATGACAAGTCAGCGATGGGTGACAAGGGGTCTAAAGAGGTCAAATTATTTCTCAAAGAATTTATTGCTGGCGTCAGCGTCAACTCGGGCAAGGTCAGGGTCGGTGTCGTCTCCAAAACATGCCAGAAGGGTGACATCACGCTAGTACAGGTGAGTGGTGACATCACGCTAGTACAGGTGGGTGGTGACATCAGGCTAGTACAGGTGAGTGGTGACATCACGCTAGTACAGGTGAGTGGTGACATCACGCTAGTACAGGTGGGTGGTGACATCAGGCTAGTACAGGTGAGTGGTGACATCACGCTAGTACAGGTGAGTGGTGACATCACACTAGTACAGGTGAGTGGTGACATCAGGCTAGTACAGGTGAGTGGTGACATCAGGCTAGTACAGGTGAGTGGTGACATCAGGCTAGTACAGGTGAGTGGTGACATCAGGCTAGTACAGGTGAGTGGTGACATCACGCTAGTACAGGTGAGTGGTGACATCACGCTAGTACAGGTGAGTGGTGACATCACGCTAGTACAGGTGAGTGGTGACATCAGGCTAGTACAGGTGAGTGGTGACATCAGGCTAGTACAGGTGAGTGGTGACATCACGCTAGTACAGGTGAGTGGTGACATCAGGCTAGTACAGGTGAGTGGTGACATCAGGCTAGTACAGGTGAGTGGTGACATCACGCTAGTACAGGTGAGTGGTGACATCACGCTAGTACAGGTGAGTGGTGACATCACGCTAGTACAGGTGAGTGGTGACATCAGGCTAGTACAGGTGAGTGGTGACATCAGGCTAGTACAGGTGAGTGGTGACATCACGCTAGTACAGGTGAGTGGTGACATCACGCTAGTACAGGTGAGTGGTGACATCACGCTAGTACAGGTGAGTGGTGACATCACGCTAGTACAGGTGAGTGGTGACATCACGCTAGTACAGGTGAGTGGTGACATCACGCTAGTACAGGTGAGTGGTGACATCACGCTAGTACAGGTGAGTGGTGACATCACGCTAGTACAGGTGAGTGGTGACATCAGGCTAGTACAGGTGAGTGGTGACATCAGGCTAGTACAGGTGAGTGGTGACATCAGGCTAGTACAGGTGAGTGGTGACATCACGCTAGTACAGGTGAGTGGTGACATCACGCTAGTACAGGTGAGTGGTGACATCAGGCTAGTACAGGTGAGTGGTGACATCACGCTAGTACAGGTGAGTGGTGACATCAGGCTAGTACAGGTGAGTGGTGACATCAGGCTAGTACAGGTGAGTGGTGACATCAGGCTAGTACAGGTGAGTGGTGACATCAGGCTAGTACAGGTGAGTGGTGACATCACGCTAGTACAGGTGAGTGGTGACATCAGGCTAGTACAGGTGAGTGGTGACATCAGGCTAGTACAGGTGAGTGGTGACATCAGGCTAGTACAGGTGAGTGGTGACATCACGCTAGTACAGGTGAGTGGTGACATCAGGCTAGTACAGGTGAGTGGTGACATCAGGCTAGTACAGGTGAGTGGTGACATCAGGCTAGTACAGGTGAGTGGTGACATCACGCTAGTACAGGTGAGTGGTGACATCAGGCTAGTACAGGTGAGTGGTGACATCAGGCTAGTACAGGTGAGTGGTGACATCACGCTAGTACAGGTGAGTGGTGACATCAGGCTAGTACAGGTGAGTGGTGACATCAGGCTAGTACAGGTGAGTGGTGACATCAGGCTAGTACAGGTGAGTGGTGACATCAGGCTAGTACAGGTGGGTGGTGACATCACGCTAGTACAGGTGAGTGGTGACATCACGCTAGTACAGGTGAGTGGTGACGTCACGCTAGTACAGGTGGGTGGTGACATCAGGCTAGTACAGGTGGGTGGTGACATCAGGCTAGTACAGGTGAGTGGTGACATCAGGCTAGTACAGGTGAGTGGTGACATCAAGTAGCAGCATGTGTTCACGTCTCTGTCCACTAAACTAATTTCTCTGTGTACACCTGCCCCATAACGTCTCTGTCCACTTAACTAATTTCTCTGTGTACACCTGCCCCATAACGTCTCTGTCCACTAAACTAATTTCTCTGTGTACGCCTGCCCCACAGAACCTGCAACGAGAGACTTTGGCCAAAAGCCTTGAACTAGACAACAGCCCAGACCTAACTGACCTGGTAACACAAGCCCTCGAATCTTCATTCAGATTTGACAATGGAGGTCGCAGCTATGCTGAGAAACGTCTTGTCATCTTTGTGCATGGGCATATCAACAATTTAAACAAAATTTATCCACGTCTAGCTAGGACAAAGTACATTCAGGATGAGGTAAGTACATCTATGCCCTGGTATTATTTTGCTTCGTTTTGTCTGGAGCCATTTTGTAACCACTTTATCAGTAATATGAAGGCAGGACAGTATTTTTGTTTAATCCCCTTCGCCCTATATGGCATATAACAAGATGACAATTCAGTTAGAGGGACAACACATTTAATTTTCAACACTAAATCAATTAAAGTAAAATTAAGAACGAAGAAGATTAATCCCTTGCCATATTAATTGACAAGACACTATCTCTAATTAATTTAGTAGATACAATTAAGTGATAAAAATCTTTATAATTTTGAAAAAGAGAGATGTTTGTTAAACCAATCATCAGCACCATGGTGATAAATGTTGTCTGTGTTCATTTGACTCATTAAAAAGTTTGTAGATAGATACTACAAATACTTAAACTACTGCTTGCCTAATTGATTAAAACAGTTTAGTGCTACAAATTTAGTGAAATCAATACCAGAATGAGTGAAATCAATATCAATACCAGGTAAAGCAAAAACTTAAAATGACTATCATCTGTTTTGGTCAGGTCTACAAAATCTACATAATCAGGGTGGGAACAGAGTCAGACAAATCTTATAAAGAGCTCCTTGAGTCAATGGCCACCAGCAAAAACCATGTGTTTTATGTAGATGCAAGCAAAAACACAACAAGCAATGCAAGGCTATTCCTCAGTGACATTTTCTGCAAAGGTAAGATTTGAAGACAACTTTCTAAATAAAATTTAACTTGCTTGTGATTCTTAGTTCTCTAGGTATTGGTAAGATATTTTATAGCAAAGTTTATATGAACTTATCAAATAACTTGGGGTTTTTTTAATCACATTATAATCCCAACACATTCAGTTTAAATATTTTTTATCCTACAGATATTTGACATTTGGACACAAGCAATTCTGAAGCCAAGAATCATTTGATGTAGAATGTAATCTCAATGGATGCTAAATTTAAAAAAAAAAACATGTTTACAAACAAATCTTCAACTACAACACTAGCTTTCAATGTGTAATTCTATGACACATAATTAATGTATCTATGGACACCTTGTCAATTAGAGCAGTTTTGCTTTGTCTACTTAGTCTAGACTAATTGTCCTAATCTAGCACATAAGTTGGAAAAAAATAAATCCGATCATAGACTACTGTAAATATTGTGTTTTGTTCAGCCATTTTATCAAGTTATGTTTCACAAAATGTTGCATTGAGGTGTGTAAAGTTGTAACACTGCTGTTAAAACATGGTGCATATTGGTGGGTACATAGATTAGGAATGGAATAAAGATGTTACTACTGGCAATAACGTGGGATTGTGTGGTCAAATCATAGTGCATATGACAGCCTGAATGTATTGAGTTCCAATATAAGTATGCAAATGTAAACTCCCATTAATGAGATGGCTGATCTTCATAGATCAGACCACATCCCTTCATATGACTGGTCACTGAACTCCACTTGTCCAACAGACCATCAGGTTTAAATGAATCAATTAAGACAATATGGAAGACAAATCACTTCATCCCATAGTATGCTTCACTCAAAAACTGGAAGCAGATTGTGAGATACAGATTCTGACAAAAAAATTACTTTGATGTCTTAACATACAATAAGTAAAAGTCTTTGAAAAATAAAATGCGTGGGTCACTAGATTACCTATTGAATGCATTAATAGAGCAAGTTCAGTAACCCACTCATCTTTTTTAGTTGTGGGTATTAATATAATTTAGTAATCATTTATTCTCTTGATTTTAAAGCAATGTTATCTGTGTTGATGAACATGCTTAGTTTGAAACTTATCTGCCAATTAGGTGGTTAAAATTTTGTTGACAATGAAAGCTTTGATCCACAACAACAAAAACAAGACAGTCAAAAAGAGGAAGAGTTAAAAGAATGGGGAAAAATAAAACAAAAGGTGTAAATGAATTTTTTTATTTCTTGACATTTACTTAAGTGGAATAAACCTAGATGAGTGTGTGGCACCAATACCAGGTCTGCCGTGCTTGACGGGCTTGTATGTAATGGAAAACTCGCCCAAGTAATGTCCAACCATTTCAGGCTGAAAAATAATTCAATGAATAAATAATGGTCATTTAAAAAAAAAATACTGTATACAATTCCACTCTCATATAAAATCATAAGCTAAATTAAAAATATATAATTAATACCTTAATTTCAACTTGGTTGAATGTTTTTCCATTGTACACACCAACGATTGAACCAATCATCTCAGGAACAATGATCATATCACGCAGATGGGTTTTAACAACCTAAAATGTGAAAATATTGGAAAAATGTTATGATTATGAATTTTTACGCATTTTAGGAGGCAACATATGTTAACTCCAAAATAAGTGATTTCTTAATTGTCTATTGGGACTAACGTTTGCATTCTTGACTTCCCAAAGATAATTTAAAGGTCAAACTAATGCTGGCCTAATTTTTAGCATATGGTGACCTATACAAGATTATTGAATTCTTTCTGTAATGGGTGCCGGGTAGTCTTAAAATGCATACGTCAACACACAACCATATACTTGACAAACAAAGGCAATTTCAGATTGTAGGATCATCAAATACTCAGTAACACGGACCTATAATTTCATCACATCTTGCCCAGCTAAAAGCTACTAAAATGAAAATGAATGCAAAAAATTCAAACCTCTGGCTTTTCCAAATGTCCAGCTTCTTTTTTAGCTTTTCTCAGCCTCTTAATGAGAGCAAGTGGTTTACGCTTAAGTCCACGACTGAGACGGCGGCGCTGTCTGCAGTTGAACAAATCCGACAGCTGTTCTCTGAATTGAAAATTTAAAAGAGAAAACGGTGGTCACCATAATCATAAAAAATAAGCTATTGCATATTTTAAAATGCTTTTAATCCTGAAATAAATAATATCGTACAGCATAAAGAGCATTTGAATAGGAAAAAAGCCAAACATGCAAGAAAAAAGCCACGAGAATACATTGCAAAAACTCACATTGACATATCAAGGAGCTGATCAAGGTCCACACCTCTGTAAGTAAACTTACGGAAGGTCCTCTTTTTCTTCTTTTCTGCCAAATCATCATCTGCCTAGATTTGAGGAAAAAGAAAAAGTTGGATAATATTTTGTAATATTGACCAAAGCATTAGTATCACATATCTGAAGATACTTTCCTTTGAAAGTTTTATATGATTATACAATATTATAGCCTGAGCAATTAGTATTAAAAATAATTATGTTAAGGGGTAGGCCTAATAAAAGAAATACAAATTTATGGTTTTATCTCTGGACGACTGCAGTAGAGATCAGTTTTAATTTTTAATAGGGTAAGCAGGGAACTAAGCAATGTGTTTTATTAAACCTTAGGCACCCAACAAAACACCCAATAGAACAACAGATTATTTTTGAGGTAAAGCTGTTTCTTGTTCAGCTGAGGATTCATCTTATGTAATTCATGATCCACTTGGTCCAGCAGGGAGATAAAACAGGAATTATCCCAATGCTCTTTCCTCCAAATTTTTTAACTCCATAAATCAACTTTTTCTAAGCTAATCTTTAATGAAATTTGCAAGCATTGGCCTTTAGTAAGAAGAGTTTATTTTGGTGATTTCTTTTAGAGCAGTGATTGGTGGTGCCAAATCTAAATGGCAGACATTTGTCAGACTTTACTATGCTATAAAGTAGGCATTTTGGTAAATTTTGCCTAATTATCTCAGAATGATAAAACACACATAATATTGAAGGCCATAAACTGCCATTTAATAAACCACTAAATTTATCACTGTAGGCCCAGTAGTTTTTTTTTTTTATGAATTTTTAAAGTTGTATGTTAAACAGCTTATATTTTATTGTAAAGTTGCAAAATATTTGGTGTCCTTCTTTGAGTTCATATAGCGTTGTTATTTTTTAACATGTAATGATAAAACTTTGCATATTGATACTAGAGAGTACAGGCAACAGGAATATGCAATTGAAATAAAGAACAGTAAAGGTAAAACCAAAAATAATTAAGACTAATTAAGGGTCATGGCGTTTTTATATAGAGAGCAACGTTAGTCTATTGTCAAACTGCACAACTCTGTTGTTAATAAAGATATATTGATAAAACTTTGCATATTGGTGCTAGGGAGTACAGGCAACAGGAATATGCAAGTGAAATACAGCTTAATTAAAAGGAAAACAACTAATAATTAACTTAATAAAGCCCAATTAAGGAGTGCGGTGCCGTTCTACTATGATTGCCACAAGTCACTTTTCATACTGAATATCTATGTTGCTATTGATGATACAAAGATAAAACTTAGCACATAGATGCTTAAGGATGTTGGGAATAGAAATTTACAAGTCAAAAAAAATGCTAGGAGAAAAAGACAATCACATATAATAAAGTCTAATTAATGGGGGTGGCACTGAAATCTTGTATCAATAATACCTGTGTATTATACTCATACTGGAATATGATATGGTTAGGATTATGTTGAAGTATCTAAATATTAGTAGCATTAGTTATAGGCTACTTTTAATAAGTAGCCAAGGATGGTTAATCAATAGACAGCCTACAGAAACTAGATGAGATGTGTCGCAACCGAAGGATAGACAGCTGCCTTATTTGCTGATCTGAACCTACTGTTTAAAAAAAATTACTGTTGCTTAGTTTAAGTTATAAAATTAAGTCACATTGTTCAAAGTGTTACTGTTTCTGTTTTCTTTTTTACTTTAAAAAAAATGTATCTATTACTGTTGCTTTAGATCACATTATTAAAGTGAAGTGTTAATGTTTCTATTTTATATTTGACTTCATTTATTTTACTTTCCATGCCTCTATAGATCTAGTAGTATATTTTAGCTATTATTAAATTTTAAAGATAATATAGATCTAATCTGAGAAATGACCAATTTAATCTTTGTAATTATTTTCTTAATCAGTTTTTCCTGAAACGGGGTAACTAAAGTTTAGACATCATCCATAAGTAATTTTACAACATAATTATATATTTAAGCTTGATGCAATAAATATTAGTTCTATTAGATTCTTATAAGCAATTACTCATTAAAATACATAGATCTAAATCTATTCTATAGGGGCCTAATATTTATAAGGGCCTATTTATTACTATTTAAAATTTTAATTAGGCCTATTATTATTACCCAATTGAAAATGACTAATATGGAAGATTATTAATGAATGGGACTATTAATTCCATTGCTTTAAATTTTATTTAATCCATAAAAAACATTCTATAAGCTAAAATCTTGCCAATTCAATGAATAGTGTTAAACAGTAATATCAAATGTGCGATTTTTTATATTTCATGCATAATAAATATTAATATGGCATGGTCTATGGACCGTCATTATTAAAATTGCGTAGATCCCCTTCACTTCACGCAAGAAGCCATATCTGGTTACAAAGAGCTAAAAAGCCCCATAAAACCAACATTTCCACCCATGAAAATAGTTTGGCATTACTTATTTACTAGATCTAGTTTCCTGAACTTATCTCTTTTTTAAATGCCGAAATTTGGTTCTATCGATAATAGGTAACCTCGCGGCCCCTATTGCCCTGTTAAAAAATTGTGTCAGCGGGACCCCCCCAAGATTTACCAATGCTTTTTAAGCATGTTCCAATGTAAAGAACTCTATGAAACTGTTATTTTTGTTCTTGAGAATGGTTAGGATGCTCATTACAACTAATGTCTAGCTTATTATACTTTACTTTCTTGCTAAAATTAATACTAATTGAAAGAGGTCGGTTACTGCGTTTAATGAGACGTGCTCGCTAAGATACCTCGATAAAATTGGGATCGATATGTTAAAATGTAACTAATAGTTTTCCATACAAACATAGAATATAAAAACAGCCCACTTTGACGTATCGAATACACTAATTTATCGATTCTCTCATGATAACTAAGCACTTGAATGGAAAATGGCCGAAATTACAAAAGTTGGCTTGAAAAATTTCGGATGTGGCCAGATTAAACAAAATGGCGGACATCGAAATGCCTACTATAAAGAGTATTTATCTTTCTCTAAATCAATATCATAATAGTGTGATTGTTAGATAGCAAAATCTACATGAATACATCAATGTTGTAGCTTACATGGTTGATTAGGGAAAAGACAGTATCATCATCCATCTTTACATTCAAGAATCTCAGAACAACTAATTTCCTACTACACACTAGGTGTAGAAATAACTGTTCATTGGGCATATAGGCCCTACTATTAAATAAACCATGGGAAGTATGTGGCAAAAGGGCCCTGCCAATGTGTAAAATGCAGACTAGTGGTAGCTGGTACATTAAGTGTGTACACAGCACGCACTTGCTCCAACAGCTAAAAAGTAGAAGACAAGATAAAAACCAGGTAATTGTAGAGCTATGCACATCTTTTTCTGGCTAGACTCAGCCTTAAAAATTTAATGATTCAAGCTGCATTGTAGCAGCTATGCACATCTTCCGGCTAGAATCTGCAGACAGAGCTTTCTAGAGCAAACCTGACTATGCTGTTCATCAAAATCTTTTTGCAATACAATAGGTCATCAGTTCAGTTAGGCCTACAACTAGAATCTAGATCTCGAATAATAACTTGTCTGTTGTACACAGTGCCAGTATCACTTGTCTGACTTAGTTTCATTTATACAACTGGTTCTAGATTCTAGATCTAGACCTGACAGTGATGAATCTTCTAAGTAAACTAAATCTGTCAACATGTCAATTTCACTGAGTTATCTAGATCTAGACTAGACTCTATATCTACAAGGAACCTAGAACATAAAACATTCTGCATTCAATCAGATGTGCAGACACACAAAAAAACTGTTGTTTTATTACTAGTCTTCTTGGTGTCAGTTATAAGTTAAATGTAAAACAAAACACTTCAGGATAAGATATTACATTTTTGGAATAAATATAATTTAATATACAACAATTGCAACAGAAATTTTCATAAAATAGCAAAGATGAGGATATATTATAAAGGATTAAGAATGATTTTACTCGCTTACCATTTTCAGTGTTTCTCGACGGTGAAACAATATCAAAAAAGGAAGTTATTGACCGGATACACAATTCTTGTAATTTCTCAAAAGTAGAAATTTCTATCGCAAACTTTAGAGGAACAAATTTGAAAAAAAACGATAAAATGCATCAAATGTTGATAAATTTGTTTAAAATTATGCTTATAAATAAACTCTCTGTAAATGTATTGATTTTCTTCCTAAATTATTCTAGCTCTAAAATATTTTTTTTTACTTCTGAAACAAATTAATGAGTGAGAATAAAACAGTGTTTCTTTCAGATATTTTTCTTCGGAAGGTCACTTGGAATTTCGTCGAATCGTTCGGATAGGGGAGGGGTGGACGTGAGGTACCCACCTCCCCCCCCCCCCCGGAAGAGATGCCTGGGGGGGAAAAAACGTTATACCAATCGTAAAGGAAAATCATGACTAAACGCGTTGGAAAAATAATAATTTGCATGGACTGATAATAAGAAAAATGTAACTTAAGAGACGTTCTAGATCAAACTAAAAGAACTGTGGGGGGGGGGGGGGGGGGATTTGTTCAAATTATAATTACTTATATTCTTATATCCAGAGGCGTAGCGAGGGGGGGGGACATATGTCCCCGGGCTCCGACCTTAGGGGGGCGCAAAATTGAAAGTTTGAGGGGGGTGCAAATGAAAAGTTCGGGGGGTGCAAATCGAAAGTTTGAGGGGGGGTTGCAAATGAAAAGTTCGAGGGGGGTGCAAATCGAAAGTTTGTCCCCGGGCGCCGGGAAGGGTCGCTACGCCTCTGCGTATATCAAATGTAGATCTATAACTTAATATTTCTATAAGCGTGAAAAATTTTTTTTAATTTAAACCTTACACCAGACTGTGGTAGATGAAGTAGACTACGTATGTGACACCCTTCTCTTTGCCAAGCCGTTTATCTTGCCTCAAATTTAGTCAAGTACCTATTAAATTTAAAGCTGGTCTCTTTCCACAAATTTGGTCAAGTACCTATTATAGCTAGGTCTTTGTCCATAAATTTAGTCAATAACCTATTACTAATGTATAAATCATTAGAGTTGGTCTCTTCCACAAATTTAATCAAGTAGGCCTGATATTAGAGCTAGTCGACACTAGCTTGTGATCTGAACTCGAGTGTCATTTTTGTTTAAAGTGAGCAATTTTTTTTTTGTTTTGTCGGCATGTGACCTCTGGGATTCAGGGTAGTTCGTGTCTGTGGTCGTGTCATTCAGACCCAAGGCTGCTGTGGACACGGACGGAGCCGTTGTCTATGATGTAATAGATTGAGATAATTGTATTGGTATTATATTTATATTGTTATCTTGAGTGATGTCCCTTACATGTTGTTATCTATATATAGTTGTCTCTGGCCACTTCCTTTCTCTCTTTGCATCATGGCTGTCTGTAAATAAAAGGCTGTTAACACCAATGTGGCTCCTCGTCAATCTACCTCATTTTGGCGACGAAGGATAAACATATACTAGAAAGAGCACCTACTTACGCAAAAAAGAGGTTTGCTAGAGCTTATTAGCTAATTATTTCTAGAATAATGGCGCTGTATGGCCAAATAAAAGAATTTGATGCGAATGATGAAATCATTCAGGATTACCTAGAGAGGTTAAGCTTTTACCTAGAAGCTAACAACGTGACGATAGAAGCCAAAAAGAGAGCTATTTTGTTAACAGTCATAGGGCCTCAACAATTTAGGCTACTAAAAGACTTATGCGCACCAGCTAGTCTAACTACCAAGAGCTTTAACGAGCTGAGCAAATTGCTAACAGACCACCATGCGCCTGTACCATCAAAGTTTCTATGTCGAGCTAAATTTGACAGTAGGACTCGTCAACCAAACGAGTCAATATCAGAATATGTTGCTGCTTTACGTCATTTAAGTAAATTTTGTGAATTCGGCGATACACTGTCTGACAGATTATGTGAAAAGTTTGTGACAGGTGTAAACAGCCCTGATATTCAAAGAAAGTTGCTGCTCGAGTCAGATCTAACATTAGAAAAAGCAATACAACTTGCAATGTCATTCCAGCAGTCATCTGATGCAGCGAGATCTTTAGCACCTTCAGAGATCCATGCAGTAAACAGCAGGTTAGTCAATAAACACCAACCCCATCAGAGCATTCCAACTTATGCTAAACAGCCTGCTCGTTCAAATCCTAGATCTAAATCTAGTAATAATTATCAAAAATGTCATCGATGCAAAGGTCCCCATGCATCTCATCGGTGCAAGTTCAAGTCAGCAACTTGTTATAAGTGCGGTAAGCAAGGTCACATTGCTAAGGCCTGCTTTGCAAAGTCTTCGTCTGTTGCTAAATCTAGCCAGTCAAGACAGTACCGCAACCAAAGGCAGCACTATGTTAACTCTCACCAAGACTACCTAACCCAACCAATGAACCACTCTACCTGTGAAAATGCTCAAACTGAATCGCAGCCGGATTTCAACCTGTTCTCTGTGAAAACAATAAGTCATGCTCCCATCAATGTACCAGTTTATATCAACGGTAAGAGCATCAGCTTCCAACTTGACACTGGAGCATCTCTAACAGTCATAACAAAGAAAGATTTTGACGCTGTCACAGGAGGATCAGTGCCTCTACAGCCATGTCACAAGTGTCTAACAACATACACTGGTGACAATGTTCCGGTAATAGGAGAGTGTATGGTTCATGTAAGTTATAATGGTCAAAGTGTTAAACTTCCTCTTCTTGTGGTTGAAGGAAATGGACCGCCATTACTAGGTAGGAACTGGTTAAGTGATCTTAAGTTAAATTGGGAGAGTATTTGTTCATTGAAGAATGTAAAAGAATCTAGTCTTACTTCACTAGATAAAGTTATATCTGAAAATAAATGTGTTTTTGGTAACTCTGGATTACTAAATGATAGAACAGTGAAGTTAAGCATTAAAGACACAAATCCAAGATACTGCAAAGCTAGAGTTCCACCTTATGCAATGAGGAATAAAATTGAAAATGAGCTAAGTAGATTGGAATCTAATGGCATTATAAAAAAGTTAGACTATTCCGATTGGGCGTCGCCCATTGTGCCAGTGTTAAAGAAGGATGGTTCTATAAGAATTTGTGGAGATTATAAAACTACACTGAATAAGCAAATAGAGCTAAATAGGTACCCTATACCTAACATTGAGGAAATCTCTTTGAATTTGGCAGGAGGAGACAAATTCACTGAATTAGACTTTAGTCATGCTTACACTCAACTAGAACTGCATCCAGATTCAAAAGTCTATATGACAATAAACACACATAAAGGACTCTACCAATATGAAAGACTATGTTTTGGCATATCATCTAGCCCTGGAATTTTCCAAGCTGTCATGGACAGTATTTTTAAGGATATTCCAAATGTTTGTGTGTACTTTGACAATGTGTACATAACTGGTAAGAATGACACTGAACATCTTAAAACACTAGATAAAGTATTGAAAATTGTTGGTGAAAAAGGTTTAAAGATAAACAAAGATAAATGTCAATTCATGCTGACAGAAATTAGTTTTCTTGGTTATATATTGAGCAAACAAGGCATCAGACCTCAACCTGAGAAAACAAAAGCCATTAAAGAAGCACCCAAACCTGAAAATACCCAACAACTAAGAGCTTTTTTGGGCTTAATAAATTACTATGCAAAGTTCATAGGAAATCTGTCTGGTAAACTATCACCACTGTACAAGCTGCTACAGAAAAATGCAACTTGGCACTGGGGTAAACAACAAGATACTGCTTTTAATACAGCAAAAGAGGCTTTGTCTGCTGACACCTTACTAACTCACTATGACCCAGGGAAAAGACTTATATTAACATGTGATGCTTCACCAGATGGTGTAGGAGCAGTCTTGTCCCACATGGATGAGAAGGGTGACAGACCCATTGCATTTGCCAGTAGATCTTTGAACCAGGCTGAGAAAAATTATTCTCAGTTAGATAAGGAAGGCTTAGGCATCATTTTTGGTGTTAAGAAATTTCATAAGTTTCTGTTTGGTAGGAAGTTCACCATCTTTACAGATCATAAACCATTGCTAGGTTTATTTGGAGAAAACAAAACCCTACCTGAGCATGCCTCACCAAGAATTCAAAGATGGGCTATCACACTAACTGCATACAATTATGAATTGAAATGCAAACCTGGATCTGAGAATAGTGCAGATAGTCTTAGTAGATTACCTTTAAAAAAAAACCAAAGCCTGAGCTATGTACCAGAAGATGTATTTGTTCTCTTCACTATCATGGATAACTCCAATATAAATGTGAATGATATTAAAAGAGAAACACAAAAAGATGAGTGCTTAATAAAAGTATATGAGCACTGTAAGAATGGTTGGCCTGAAGAGTCTGTGAATGATGACTTAAGGCCATATTAAATAAGAAATAAAAACCTTTGTGAAGATAATATAAAAGATGGAGAAGATGCAGTCCATTATCAGTCAGAGCTACCTAAACAAAGTATTTGTAACTTAATAAATGATTATGGTGATATGGCAATTTCAAATGTTTTAAAGAAAATACATTAGTAAGAAGGAATGTGATCATCAAACAACTTTGCTAACATCATTAGCACTTACAGAAACTAAAAGGGTAACATCAAAGGTAAATACCAAACAGAAGAAGCTAAATGTGACAATGAAAGAGTAAACAGGTTATTAGCCAAATACCGCACAACTCCTCATATAACAACAGATGTTGCACCATGTGAATTGCTATGTGGTAGGAAAATTAAAACTCATCTTGACCTACTACATCCAACTGTTCAAAGGTCTGTTTCCCAACATCAACATACACAAAAAGTAAATCATGACAAATCATCCATTGAAAGAGAATTTGGTATTAATGAGAATGTGTATCTAAGAAACTATGGGAGAAAGGAAAAATGGATACCAGGTCAAATTGTTCAATGTACAGGACCTGTGTCTTATAAAGTAAAAACAAATGATGGACTTATTGTCCGTAGACATGCAGACCAGTTAAAAATAACTTGTGCAGATAATAAGTGTGAATCGGTCAATCCCACCAAATCTGATCAGTTCACACCAACTCAGTTTGTTCCACAACCAAGTTCTGTTGATATGAGTGAACCAAGTTGTCTGGAGTCAGAAAATGTAAATTCTGGAGTTAATGATTTAAATCCTAGACCTCCTGAGATAGAGAATCCAGATGGTCAGAATATTGAGTCACCAAATCAAAGGCCACTGAGAAGGTCAAGCAGGACAATCAAAGTCCCAAATAAGTTAGACCTATGATTTTAAAGGTCAAGAGGACTTTGACATTATTGTTTTGTATCTTGATTATGTTGTGGCATATTGTGCATTGTTTGTAAGGATGTAATCTACCATAGTGTTCATGTTACAATATAATTGGTGATTTTAGGATACTATCAATTGTTCTATTGAGAGATGTGTTATTGTGTTCTAAGGGTAAAGGGATGTAATAGATTGAGATAATTGTATTGGTATTATATTTATATTGTTATCTTGAGTGATGTCCCTTACATGTTGTTATCTATATATAGTTGTCTCTGGCCACTTCCTTTCTCTCTTTGCATCATGGCTGTCTGTAAATAAAAGGCTGTTAACACCAATGTGGCTCCTCGTCAATCTATAACATATGATAAGTTGATCATGTAGACCTAATGAAGGGTTACTGCTTTTTTTACAGTCTTTCTACGTTTCTACTGTCTACATAGCCGGTTGGCTTGGATGTTAATGTCAATAAATCCAGTATTTGACAACAGCGTCGTTCCATTGTGTGCTATCTCTCAGGGTCAGCCCTTTTAAACACAACACCCCAGTGGGTAGTAAGCATCCACATTGAGGCAGTGTTATATATATATAATGATGGAAAAAAATTGACCCCCCCCCAATGAGACGATCCTGGCTACGCCACTGCCCAAGAGCCCTGCGACGCAACTTCTGAAAAACAAAGCACACGTCTAAAAATACCCAGTTGATAAAGATTTGATGAATCTATCTATCTATCTATCTATCTATCTATCTATCTATCTATATATATATATATATATAAAGCAATGTATGTGTGTGTGTGTGTGTTTGTCCTTTATGCATTACTACACCTCTCATCACATCGCCTTGAAACTTTGGGAAGTTGTTGAGAATATTCCTGGGGAGGTTTCTGCGAAAAAAAATATTTCAAATTCGCAAGGGCGGCGCCACGGGAGGGTGCAATTTTTCTCTATATACGGTATATGAAAATAGTAAACGTGAATTGTAGTGACACTGTTCACACGATCGCCATGACACTTTAGGAAGTTGTTGAAAATATTCCTGGGGAGGTTTCTGCGAAAAAAAAATATTTCAAATTCGCAGGGGTGGCGCCCCGATAGGGCGCGATTTGTTTTTTTCTATTTACGGTATATAAAACTAAAAGTCGATTTTGGTTTGGCATCGTTCATCCAATAGCCATGAGACTTTGGGGAGTTCATTATACCACTCTAGGGAAGGGATCTGTAAAAATAATTTTTAATTTCGCAAGGGCGGCGCCACGGGAGGGTCCGATTTTTCTCTATTTACGGTATATAAAAATAATAAAAGTGAATTGCAATGACACCGTTTATCCGATAGGCATGAAACTTTGGGGATTTCATAATAAAACTCTAGGGAAGGGTTCTGTAAAAAATCATTTTTAATTTCGCAAGGGCGGCGCCACTGGAGGCTGCGATTTTTCTCTATATACGGTTTATAAAATTTCGGTTTCACACCGTTCATCCGTGTACCATGAAACTTTGGGGAGATGATTAGATCACTCAATGGTAGGGTTTGCAAAAAAAATATTGTTTAATATTGCAAGGGCGGCGTCCCCGGGGTGGGGGGTGGGAGCGATTTTTTTTCTCTATACACGGTTTATAAAAAATAAAACTCGGATGCGGTTCATCCGAGTACCATGAAACTTTAGGGAGTAGATGAGAATACTCCCGAGAATATTTCTGCGAAAAAGAAAACTAAAGTTTCTTATGGGCGGCGCCATATAGGGTACAACTTTCGTCAATACACGGTTTGGCGCCCAGAGTTTTAGAGCGACTATGTTGGCACTTGGCATCCGTTAATCGAGCGTCCTGTATAGCGAGTAAGGAGTACTACTATATTCAGCGGTAAAACTACAACAGGCTTATAAAAATAACTTTGTAACGCGAGGAAATCCTTCTGTACAGTTTCGTCACCTTGCGAAAGATGAAAAAATAACTGTTTGAATATGAGGAGCCTACTGTAGAGTTTCGTCACTTTGCGAATGATGTAATAAGCATCTATTATTAGACAATCCAGGCCGAAATTGAGACCGAGCATCTAATAATAGACCATTAGTAACGCTAGCATATTGCATCAGTCACACTGATATTTAAAACACGTCAAATAATTTTTTTACGTGTTAAAGAAAAAAATCCTGATCATTTGTGTCACATTAGCGAATGACGAAATCTGCATCATTATTAACAGGATGCTATTTGGCCGATGGCGCCTGTTAGTTTTAAGGAGCCAGGGGTAGTACGCCGCGCCTATGCGGTAGTGTAATCGGGGGGAGGGTGGGGGCCCTGAGAGCGCCCCTCTACGTTCTGACACAGAGGCGGTCACCGAAGTGTGTTCTACCATATTATTTCGGTGAGTGATTAATGTACACTCAATGTTTTCATGCGGTAGTGTAGGTAAACCCGTGTCCCGATATTTATGATAGAAGCGCAGGCATTGTTTTTTTTTTAAATAACTCACTTTTAGAAAAAACGGCCACGCGTCTAAGAACATATGATTGGTAACGCGTTGGTGAAATCCTTCTAATACATTTCGTCAAACTTTCTTCTATCCCCGCGGCAACGCGCGGGGGACGGGTACGCTAGAACCTCATAAAAATCTGCGTCAGTTTGGTGTGTTGGACTATATTTGGAGAGTGTGCTTCTCCTAAGAAAACTGTATAAGGCAGCCGGCGTGTTGGAAAACATTTTTGTTTTTCGTGTACCAGGTGGATAATAAACACTAGATCTATGTGTCCACGAGAACTCGTGTAAATTAAAAAATAAATTTTGAACGGCGCTTGTTTTCCATATTAATCCATATATATATATATATATATATATATATATATATATATATATATATATATATATATATATATATGCCCATATATCAGTGCCTTAGCGAGGTCGGGTGTCACCCGGTGCGGCACTTAATGGTGTCACCCCCAGAGGCGTAGCGACCCTTTCAATTTTCGATTTGCACCCCCCCCCCCCCCAATCGAACTAATTCAGTGGAATTATTTTTCTCTAGATCTATATATTTTGCTATTTTTTTGCCTTGGTGTCACCCCCTAAATAAATGGTGTCACCCGGTGGGGTCCGCACCCCCCTCTGATATATATATAGATATATATATATGCATAGGTAAGGTCCCAAAAAATATCTGTTGGTATGTTTTTTCTAGTTCCGCCGCTCAGCGTAACATCCAATTACGGTAAGCCCAAGGCAACTATCAATTGTTCAACCCCACCCCCTTTTTAAAATAAGTTCTACATAATTCATGCTGACCAAAAGTACCTAACCCCACTCCCACTAGGTGCTTTTTGTTATGTTGCTGTCACACAAGCGATGTAGAAAACTGTTCAGTCTGTAAGGCCAAGTGGCAATCTATTTTCATACCTTTGTATAAATGGCTCAATCTTTTTCTACCTCTTGACGGTCACCGCCAGAGGAGGCCGTCCCTAAAGAGGGTGTCTCTGACCGCCAAAAAAAATCACTTTGGTGTCACCCCATCCCCTACATATACTATTTAATTATGAAATGGATTTTTTAAATTTGGTGTCACCCCTTAAAAGTTAAATAGTGGCTCCAGGTGCTGACCGCAACCCACGACGCTCCTGCTCCACCATTCGACAGCGATGTTTCAATTTGTGCTCTCATTCAGATTAGCCCCGCCACTAATGCAGAGGTGTAGGCGTGAAAAGTTAAGCACCGCCACTTTTTTTATACATACACGCAACCTTGAGGGTTAGGTACAGCAACAGAATTTTTCATGCAAATTAATAATGGCATGTTCAAATCTCCCTCTTTCTTCAATAAAAAGTACAAGTTTCATATTTATTTATAATATGGATGGCAGGGCCTATCATCTGGTCTTCAAGATTTAGTTAGGCCTACAAAATAACACGTTTAAACTTAAAGTAACTCAAATGGTTTGTTTAACACAGATTGCTTGCCCCAGTTTATAAAAATAAAATTACAAAGCCATCTGCTCTAAATGTCGATCCCTTAACCTCACATTAATCAGTCTTTTTTCTTTCATCTTAAGAACATACCATTCAGCAAATATAGAGCTAACACCCAATATATTATTACACAGCACTTAAAATTAACAATAAATAGCCAAAACTCCTATATCCACTTTATCCTGACCAGTGGTGGCACACAAGGGACAGGCCACAAACACAAAGTAATTGCACAAATAAAGCGGATATTTCATACAAATTATGAATGGCAGTTAAGTAAGGTTTGAAATTTTTATATTGTCTACTTCCAAATAGCCATGACCTAAAAAATGTGGTATACACTTCCGTACTACTGCTTAGTACCAAACATAAAAAACTAAATAAAACATATAAATCAAAGGAACTTTTAATGTGCCTGACAAATAGACATTTATTTCTTAGCAGGCTTTTTGGCAGCAGCTGGCTTTCCTCCTTTCTTGGCCAATCGCTTAGCTTTCCTAGCAGCAGATTTACCTTTAGGCAATGGCTCCAACGGCTTGGTAATCTGAAATTTGGCAGTTTATTCAAAATCAAGTTCATCAAAACAATAGAGGATAAAAAAATAAAAAGCAAATTAAAAAAAAAATAGGCATCAGGAGGTAAGAATCATCACTATTTGTCTGTAACACGGACCTGAATATCATCATGTTGCCATAAAAAGATTTTTAAAATTCAAACTTACGCCTCTCTTCTTGTTTAGAAGTTCCTCCTTAGCCCTCTTACGCAGTGTTTCAATGTGCTTAGCTTGTTTCTTTGCATGTTTTTCATAAGGATTAAGTCTGACCATAACTCTGTAGTTCTTAAGAGGATTTTTCTTAAGCACTCTTCTCTTGACCTCCCTCCTGCATAATAAGATTTAATATAAAAATGGACAAAAAAAGTTTTAAATAAAGAAAATGTTAAAATTTAAAAGAAAACTTACTTGGGTGCCCTGACAACAGACTGAATTTCATCACTCTTCAAAAGACGAGCCAGATCAAATGATGCCATCTTGTGCATGGGCAAGCTGTTGTAAAAAAAAAAAAAAAAATGTCAGAAACTAAGCACATTATGTTCTTAGGGTTTAATTAAGCTAATTAGTCATCAACTAGACATACTTGTATCCCTTCTTTTCTTTAGATTCTTTGCGCCAAGTACCATAAATGTCATCCAGACGCTTGAATGCCGATTCAGTCCAAATGCAAAATCTGCCCACATGACCACCAGGAGCAATCTTCAGCAAATTGAGTCTGTCAACACTGATAAGAGTAATACCTGCGAAGTAAAAAACATATAATTAAAATGCTCTCAAAAGTAGTATGAATGTATATTAATAAGCACGGCAAAGTCAGGAGGTTAAAATCGTCATTTAATGTCTGTAACACGGACCTAATATCATCATACTCTGCCAATGTATTGCTAAAAGTGAGCAATGCTAATACATACCAGGAATATTTCTGAAAGCACGAGTAATGCCATTGTCCTTGTTATAAATTACAAGAGGACCCCTTCTTTGGATACGACGACGGTTCCTCATCTTACCTCTTCCAGCACGGAAGCGCTTGCTGTTGTATACCTTTAATCATACAAGTTTTTTTTTATATAAAAAGTGGAATGAAACTAATTGAACATAACAGTTCACATATAATTTTTATTAAAATAGTTTGAAACCAAACATACCTTTTCAATATCAGACCAAGCCTTTAGTTTCTTAAGAACAAGAACAGCCTCTTTCGTTTTTTTAATTTCCTCAATTTTATCACTAACAACAAGTGGAACCTCAGGGATTTCCTCAATGCGATGACCTAATAAAATAATGAAAATTAAGCTCACCCACACAAAAATTAACAAGCCAACTCTGTCAATAGAACCAATAGAACACAACCTAATTTACATTTAAGTTAGGAACTGACCTTTGGACATGACTAATGCTGGGACGCCAGTTGCTGCAATAGCTGAAGTAATAGCATAACGGCGCTGGTTGACATTTATCTTCCTGTGCCAACGTCTCCAGGTTCTGGTTGGAGCAAACATGCGACCACCACGGCACATGTTTCCAAAAGCACCCTGACCTGATCTGTGAGTACCACCACCACGCACACGAGGAATACGAGCAACAGCACGACCTGTGCCCCAAGACTCAGCCGAAGTCTGGTGACCTGTTAAAAAAATAATACAAATAATCGGAGTTTGATTTTTCAGATTTTGATACTGATGCCAGAGGTTTTCAAAACAACACCCACGATGACAAGATTCACTTAGAATTAAATTCTAGCTTGAACTATGTCATTCTAAAACAGTTAGATTTTTGTGAATAAGCAGATCTTGTAAAATTACAAACCTGCTTTCATTGAAACAGCATATGGTTGTCTAGTGTTTTTCAGCATTTGAAAGTGAACTGTGTTAACAATATCTGGTCTAATTGGTGCTTTAAACACAGCAGGGAGAGTAATGTTGGTACCAGTAGCCTCTCCCTTTTCACTATGAACGGTTATAAGTGGCCTTGCTGCCTGTAATAGGAAAAATTAATCAGTAGCTTGCAAATAATTTGTGCCCAGATCTCTAGCTAGATCTAGAGTAAAGTTCCACGCGCGGTCACACAAAGCGGAAAATTCCAAATTCCCGATTTTCATCGGGCACTATTTTATAACCATTTCACACAGAAACAAACCCAAAGTACTATATTATTCCTCTGCCTTTCTACTCTTAATATGTATCAATCATTTTATATTCCTACGTATTGAATTTGAGATATTCATGTTTTAATGACGTGCTACTTGCGATATTTTTTCCCCTCTTTTTTTTTCCCTGCGGCCATCTGAACCGGCTGCGTAACGATCGTGTTTTATACGTTTTAATCATAGTTTAATAAATAAAATTAATATTTTACACTTTTAAACGTGTTGTTGATTGTATTATTAATTAATAGATTTCAAAACCAAATTAAAAACATGTTAATTAAATTAATTAACGACATTAAAAGTTGACCCAGAGATGACTTAAGGGACGCAACTATAATAATCATAACAAAGGGACGTAACAACCACTGACAAGACATAACGTAACATTTGCTTAGATATGCTTGTATGTAGAGACACAAACTAGATTTAGAAGAAGTAGATGCTTGAAATAATTTAGAATAGCAGAAAAAAATAGAAATTATACAGATTCTAGGCTTAGCTTGAAATGTAGAGCATCTAGAACTAGGCTAGTCTAGCTCAAGTCGGTTACGCAGCGCGGTGAAACCACCCAAATCGACACCCAAGCTGCGGCCACCCCTATTCACCTATCAGGTTGCTTTATTAGCCTTATCTATCGTATGTATAGTGTCCCGCACATATTGTAGAAGCTATTTATAGTTAACCTAGTTATAAAAAGCTTTGATAGGTTGGTTTATTCATCTCATCGGGGACCTAGTGTTTTTCATACGGGGAACTAGAATCGCCTACGACGTCATACCTCGAAACTTTAAAATTTAAAAACTCGACTTCCAGAAGGAGAAAAACAAAAGAATTTGACCTGGATATATTTAGAAATGGACAGGTTTACAGCAGATATCGGTAGTTTCGTATAAAACATCAAAACAAATATTGTACGAAGCGATAAACAGGCGATGGCCGCACCGGTGTTTTAACCGCGCGTGGAACTTTACTCTAGATTAGAATATCAATATAACTGGCAAAAGCCAAAAGAAGGTGTACTATGTAGTAGTGTACCCACTTAAAATTTGTAACTTGACAGTTTGGTGGCTTTATTACATGTAAGACATGGATAGTACGACATAGGCCTATATATTTGATTGAATTAGATCTAATATCAAGGTTGTACCGGTATTTAATCCGTAAGCGGCAAAACCTACGGTTTCCACACCGAAGTGAGTAACCGGCGACCGCCATGGCCGACAACACGTGAAAGTTGAAAAAAAAAGATAGACTATATCTAGAAAACATTGTCGACAGGGCAGGCAAATTAAAACACAGCAATGCTGGAGGTTACATTTTACATATGGATTAAAGTTATAACATATAGATCTAACTAGTCTAGTTAATAACGAGTTTTTTTACCATTTTTAGGGTGTTCGTCACACGGCTTGCCACCACGTTGATTATCACGGAAAAGAAGGATTGTGGGATTCTTTGGGAGCTTATCGGCGTATCGATATCAAAATACTTTCAAGTTGGCAGTTTATTCTAGCAATTCCTTATAAATATATTTTAAAGAATACATTTTATACATTTTAGCAAAGTATTTATCCCAAAATTTTAACAAATATAGTTATCAACTTAATAAAAGGTATTTTAAACTTATATTTTTTTATTACTTAAAAGTAAGACAAAGTAGTCGATTATAGCTAAATAGTTCCTGCTAATATCAATCCGCCCAGTTAACTTCCCCATTTGAGGGAAAAACAGGCGCTTGGCCCTAGATTGATAATGATATATTTATTAGTTCTTATTTCCTCTTCCAACTTCCATCCAGCTGAAACCAATAATGTTTTGTAGATAAATAATCCTTAATAACATTAAATTAAAAAGACTATAAACTACATTTAAAATTAATAAAGCGTGTACTTTCACGTTGGCGTAGCTAACTGTAAACATTGTGTCAGTAGCGTACGCAGAGAGGGTGGGTGAGTAGGGAAAACGGGCGTCCCCCCTGTGGCTATTTTCTAAATAACATAGTAGCGCCTTTTTTTCCGGGTCGGTAGATCTATGTAAATCACGTCCTTATAATCACGTCCAAAAACAAGACACCATAGCAGTAGCGTATGTAAGTTTGCAACAAGTATTGTAATTTGAAATTCTAAAAATAAAAGCATCACGATGCTATGCCAAAAAAAAAAAACCCAATCTAACAGAAACATTACAGATCAGACTGGGGGGGGGGGGCCCTTACCACAAGGTTTTTGCAAGCACATGGCAAATCCAGATAAGGCACAATATATATATATATATATATATATATATATATATATATATATATATATATATATATATATATATATATATATATATAAATTACGGTCAAAGCCCGAAGTCGGTCAATGCGCGGATTGGCCGGCCAATGCCTCCATTTTTTAGCGCAATTTCCATACTGGCAATTGCGTTTAATAAGGCGTCATTTCTGGATGGATGGATGGATGGATGTGTGTCCGCAGCTTTAAGTCGTATCTCCTCCTCAACGAAGCAATATCGAGGACATAGTTCCAAAGCAAATATGTTAAGCAAGTTCCGAGGATGAACATAGGCCAAAAAAATTCCCGGAATTCCTTCCTGGATTTCCCGGAAAAGCCAAAAAACCTCGAACAAATGCAGTTTTTTGTCCATATCTCGGCAACCAGACCACTTAGCGACTTGAAACATTTACCAATCGATTCCTGCCATAATTTAGACCAATATTGCCGAAGAAAGTTTTCAAAATTATCCTTTCGTTCGGTCACAAAAAATTAATTAAGAACACTTAAACTGAGCATCGTGTAGGCCTAGGATGATATTTACTACTTTTTTAAACTGAGCATCTTGTAGGCCTACTCGTTAAAATAAAACTATTTCCGTTGATATAGGTTAATATAGTTGTCTTTTTTTTTTACTTATTAATTCAAACGTTATTCTTGTACCCTATTAATTTATATATAATTTATATGAGAGTGATAGGGAGTACAATTACAAGGTTTTGTTTCGCTAGGCCTAATCATTTTTTCACATTTAAAAAAAAATTAATTAAGGAAATTGCGCTTAAATTGTCACTAGACTTTTTATTAACTTGTTTTGTTATGTTTTGTGCTATATTTTGTGTTCAGTTACTTCTGTAATTTGTGAAAACAGATGAAAAGGACAGTGGCTTTAGTGTTTATTAAGCATACCCGGTGCTGCCCGGCTTTGGGCTTAATCATAAATTTCCAATTAAATGTCTATAGGCAAATATTGACTTTTGAGAATATATATATATATATATATATATATATATATATATATATATATATATATATATATATATATATATATATATATATATATATATATATATATATATATATATATATATATATATATATATATATATATAACACCAACCTTTAACCTAATTAACTTAACCACAATAAACTATCTTCACAGTGTTTCTTTCAGACTTTTTTCTCCAGGGCGGGGACGGGGGGGGGGGGGCGGGGACGGACGGACATCTGAAACTTTCGGGGTACTCACAATGAAACCGCACCCAGAATAATGAAAACGCGATCACGATTTAGTCTAGATAGAACATTGGCCAGGACATCCCGGCCAGTGCGCGCATTGGCCGGCCAATGTACGAAATATTTATCCGCGGGCTGGCCTCGGTGGACCGGCCAAAGTCTGAAATAGCTCTTGATTTCGGCCTTTGGCTAGGGACAAAGTCCGAATTAGAAGATCATGAGCAGATTTTGGTTTTTTTTATACCGTAAGGATCATAAAAATTAAGTCTTTGTTGATTATTATTTGGAATTACATTGTTATTTTTAAACTTGCAGCTATTTGTTGTGCACTAGGTTGTGCAATTACAGTAAATGTAGCCTTGGCCGCCGGTCAGTGATTGTAAAGATGCGATTGTTCGTTGTGATTTTCCTCAGTGCCAACGGGTGACAATGAGAGCAGTTTTTCGAGAATAATTGAAAACTAACTTCTAGCTTGTAGTTGTTTAAATACACCATGTTCCGTTCCTAGCTTGTAGAAAGCGCCCTCGACGCTCATGACAACTTCAATGACGCTTCGGAGATCACCGCGACCTCTGCCAACATCTGGAATACGGAATACGAATACGGATGCGACAAGTATCTCCCACTTCAGCTTGTTTAACTTTTGTTAGCACCTTAGTATGGCGATTGTTTGATTCCTTGATGAAAATTACGGTTTTTCATAAGACTCTCAGCCCAATGAGCTGATTTATCTGTTTGCATCCATGTCATCATCATGTTTTGAACATCTTAGTTGGCACGTTCTACTGAACTAGTTTAAGTTCAGGCGACATGTTCTTTAATTCAGAAACAGCTTGATTCACAAATTCTTTTCCATTTAGGTTCGGATTATTTATTTTGGCAGCCATCTGGTATTTCTGTCTCTTGATCTGACGGTCCTTTTGGTCCATGTCGCATTGCATATAGAATGCTATACAAACAAGAGCCAAACAATCCGTTACTCACAATGAAACCGCACCCAGAATAATGAAAACGCGATCACAACTTAGTCTAGATAGAACATTGGCAAGTACGTCCCGGCCAGTGCGCGCATTGGCCAGCCAATGTACGAAATACACTCTAAGTGCTAAGTTCTTCGGGCTTTGGCCAAGAGAGCCGGCCAATGCGCATATATATATATATATATATATATATATATATATATATATATATATATATATATATATATATATATATATATATATATATATATATATATATATATATATATATATATATATATATATATATATACAGTGGCGTAGCGAGGTCGGGTGTCACCCGGTGCGGCACTTAATGGTGTCACCCCCCCCCCCTAGAGGCGTTGCGACCCTTCCCGGGGACAAACTTCCAAGTTTTCGATTTGCACCCCCCCCCTCAAACTTTCGATTTGCACCCCCCTCAAGTTTTTCTCTATATATTTTGCTATTTTTTGCCTTGGTGTCACCCCCCTAAATGGTGTCACCCGGTGCGGTCCGCACCCCCCGCCCCCCTTCGCTACGCCCCTGTATATATATATATATATATATATATATATATATATATATATATATATATATATATATATTGGGGGCAGAATTTTTTTTTTGCGGGGTGGCCCTTTTTTTTCTAGTTCCGCCACTGGTCAGATCTAGACTGTTTATACTATAAACACTGATGACAGAATTACATACCATCAAATGATCATTGACGAGGTTGATTTTTTACAGAAGATATATTGTCAGAGCAGTTTTCAACACGTACTTTATAGATCTAATATATTTAAGGCTTAAAGGGTCATCCACAAATGACGAAAGGCTTTTTGGACGGCTATTATTTTCCCCTCCTATTCTTAAAATACCGTCACAAAACGTCATACATCCCCTTCTCCCCACCACCCAAATAAAGTCACAGTTTTCTAAAATACTTACTGAGATCAGTCAACATTGAGTATTATATCAATCAATTTCTATTATAGTTTACAATAAGAACAGTCCTTAAAAACACGCTCAGCTTTAAGTTTACCTCACCAGAGCCTGACTTGTAAATTTGTAAAAATCTGGCTATAATCGGAAAGTCAACAAATCAGGGGAGTTACAGGATCTAAGAAGTTGAAAGTAGCTAACGTCGACAAGCTATGTAGATCTACTAGATTTATGTAAAATCGAATTAATATATAAGAGAATGATGTACAACAGGTCAAATTATTACTACCCCAAAACACTAGATTTAGGCCCCTTTATTTGACATAACTTTATTAAACGGGTATAATGGAAGATCCAGTTTTGCATGTCATGGTTATTGGGTTTCATCACAAGAAAGGATGCCAGGTAAATAAAAAAATCACAATTAGTTGAATTATTAGGCTTAGCCCCAAATAAAAATAAAAATACTTTTAATTGAATAATTGTTTTGCGTATTACTTAGTAAGTTAGTATTGTAGACTTCTAATGAACTTAAATAATAAATATAGCTCTACTACTGTTAATGTGGGGTGTATGTGTTGCATTGAGAAATAAGACTTGACAACTACTTGACAAGATAATACTAATAATTTATTTATAGTAATAGATAATATTAATAGATAACTACATAAATAACTAGGGCCTACCAATTTTATTTGATTCAATGGTGTAACTCACCAACTCACTGACACTCACACTGACTCTCATTGATTCTAGAACTCATCCATAATGACAGGAGTAGACCTAAACAAATCTATATTATTATTATGACCACTGTGATGGGGGGGGGGAATTGTATTCGTGATATATCCATTTGGGATCTAGCCTATATGTATATGATGACTACTTCTAATACTACAACTTTAGGCCCTAAACATGACATGTGATGAGGACAGGAACACTCTTATTTTCAGACACTAAATGATATCAACAAGTTCGATTATAAAATATAAATAATTTATTATTAACTACTAATACTAAACAAACTAGAACTACACCACAAAATATACAACACATCCTTTTCTTACAATGGCTAACCCCCAACTGTTTTCACTACTGCATGCTACGTCATCGCTAACATTGTTGCATCATGCTCATGTCACACTCAGGCTACAAATATTTCATTTAACACGCGCACATACTCTCAAATCAAATCATCTACCATCAAGTTTACACCGTCCTTAGTAATCTCTACCATCTATCTACGCTATGACAACCACTACCAGATATTTGACTTGTTCCATAAATGGGAGGTTGTGTTATTAGCAAAAAGCAAAAGTTTAGGATAAGTGTTAACATTTATTCCTACAGGTAGAATTTTCATATCCACCACTCATAGAAGGCAATTCAGTGGAGAGTCATGAGATACCAGAAGAATGGAAACATATTCCTTCATTAGCACTTCCTGATGGAGCACACAACTTTGTTAAAGGTGAAAACAAATTGTAGCTTTGATTAACAAATAAATGTTGAGCTTCTAAGTTAGTTAAATGTTTTATGATACCAAGGCTTTAATTTAAGAATGTTAGTTTTATTTTTATATATTCTATTTTTTTATGAGTAAATGAAGCCAACGTCATTGATTATTAAACATTTTTTGCTTTTATCACAACCAGTGGTCATTACAAATTTACTTTGTGCTTTTGTTTTAGACACCGTTTACTTTGTTCTACCTGGTAGAAGTGACACGCCTCACACTATTTATGGAGTTTCTTGTTACAGACAAATGGATGCCAAAGTAAATTAAAATGTTTTTCTTAAAGTCATACTAAGTATGCTGTGTGCTTTGTACTAGCCCAGTTTAATTCAACTCACTAATATAACTGTTTCCTTCAAACAAAATTGACCACTACTTAAAGCCCATATTCACATGTGACAAGCCCTACTCTTAATGTTAAGCAGTCTAATGTTAGATAATTTTGCAAGCTGACTAAAGATTTAAATTTCTGAGGTACATTCTCTATTCTAAGATTGAAGGATTCTAATTTAACCCTTAGGATTTGATCAATAAAACTGCTGATGTGACCAGGAGCACAGTACAGAAGAGTGTTTGTGTGCTGAGCAGGCTGGTAGGTTCCAAGCTTTTTTCACAGCTCATCTTTTCTTCTTTGGTACTGTCAATATCAACGTTGGTTTATTTTAATCAATTTTTTTATTTGGCAGCCTTTATTTGGTCTTATCCAAGCAAAGCTTGAATTGATAACACATGCATATTTTGATGAGCGAGACTTCAGTCAAGTAGCGTTATTGGAACAAACGTACAAAAACCTCAACGCTTCACTCACACAGAGTCTTCTGGAGGGGACTCAGGTTTTCTTAGGTATGTACTGTGGAACTAAAAAAGTTATTTTCACATTTGATTTTTCCATTTTGGATATAGCAATATGTTTCATTATTAAAATTATGAAAAGCAGTTCTGTGTGATAATATTATTTAACAAACTACACTAGTTAAATAAGTATAATGTTTTTCTTTTAGTCTGTACTCCCATTTTGATAATAGTTGAGAAATTTCTGCCATACTGGCCTTAGATATTCTGTTAAATTACTTTTTAGGAGGGACAGCCATTCTTAATTTTCCCCAACTATTCTCTGAATAGAAGACATGTGATTTAGGAAATTTCTTGGTAACAAGCAGCTGCACTTTAGATTAGCTAAGCACTTAATCAGTCAACATCACTGGGATTATAAAGTGACTTGGGGTCGGCGTGGTCGAGTCGGTAAAGCTCATGGTTGCTAAACCGAAAATTCTCGAGTTCGAACCCTCGGGCAGATGAGGCTCGTTAGTTGGGGACAGCCACTCATCTAGGAGAGACAACTCCAAAATTAACCAACTGCTGCCTTGTAGTTTGTTCTTGGTTGGACAAAGGCTATGGAAGCAAATCCAAAAAGAAAAGCAGGCTGAAATCGGAGTCAATGGCCTCAACGGCGCATAACCAGTTGACACGTAACGCTTAATTGTGTTGGAGGCGTGGTCGAGTCGGCAAAAAGCTCTTGTTGATAAATTCAAACAAAATCTCGAGTTCAAACCCACTGGCAGATAAATCTCGATCCCCTTCAACACTAATAATTAAGAACGAAGAAGAAGAAGAAGATAAAGTGACTTGAGTTTTTTTTTAATGTATTGCAAGTGGGTATCAGGCTTGATTAAGAAGACAGTAACTTAAATAAGCCCAGTTTGCTTTGTTGTAAGACAGTTTCTTCATTACTTTAAAATACACAAATTTCTTTATACAATCTACACCAGGTTTGATAACAAAGGCTTATTAACTTAATTTTTTTAATCTAGGTCTTTCAGCTCGTGAATTGGTCACATTGTACAAACACAAAGTTATTATCCTCTTTAAACTTCTAATGTTGGAGCGCAGGGTAAGAACATTCAAATGTATAATTTTGGAAACTTAGATATTAAAGACAAGGCAAGTATGCACGTATGACTTTTTAAATGAAAATTTATGAGTAGATCTAAATGGAGCTTGTAGCTCAGACATATGTTGTATATGGTGCATTTTGTCACAGGTTCTGTTCTTTGGGTCACCAGTGGAATCTTTATGTCAAACTATACTTTGTTACTTATCATTATTTCCAGGTTAGTCCAGTTAATTTTTTTGTTTAGCATTGTATTATATGCTTCATTGTATTTTGAACCTTTTAATCCCTAATTTAAGCAAAATGGTAAAACAAAAGCAATTGTCATTAACTACTGAAGTTTGTAAGCAGGAAGCTTATTGATAAATAATGTTTACCTTGCAGTTTGTTAGCTATAGGGATTTAATAACAAATTAAAGAAACTTTTTCTTGTATTTACCAAGGTATGCTAGAGAGTGGACTTGCGCAAGCTTGTAACCAGTGGAGTGTGAAGAAATTGTCTCCTGACTTAGCGCTAGTTGACATAAACTCTGACCTTGATGAAAGTGAACAGTTTTTAGAGGTGCGATATGATTGCTCTACATCTGATAGCTCACTGACAGACGTCCTGGGGCACATGCATAACTCTGGGATTAACCTAGGCGCCAGTGGTGACACCAAGTACACAGGACTTGATATCAATGATGATGAGATAGAACCTGAGGCTCCAGAATCTCCTTCCATTCCTCGAGATGTCTTAAACTTTGATTCAACCAAACTTGCCAACAAAGAGAAGCCAAGTTCTAAAAGTGAGCTCAAGCTCTCACATTCCCACACAGATTCTCAGGGGCCTCGCTCTAAACACCTACTGGATTCTGATAAACTGACTGTACACGCTTTTAGTAAGACTAGAAGACAGTTTTCTTTGGACGATTCAAAGCTCAGCTCAGACAGAGATACCCTCCATGAGAGCCCACTGGCTAATTTAGAGCAAATCACTCATTTAGAAAATGTTCAAAGTGGAGTCTCTAGTGTGGAGATCAATAAAAAGAACACTCGACTGGACAATAACAGCAATGCGCTGCATAATGAAAAAGTGCGTAGGAACAGTTTGACCCTCCACAGTACAAAAACTAGGATGGACAATGATGAGTTGATTGAGGACTTGGATTCTCCAGAGAGTATTAGTAAAATTGATAAAGAGGATTGCTTTTCATGGGAACAAGACAGACTGCAGCTGACCATTGACCATGACATTATGAAGCCTGAGCCGTCCACAGCCTCGTCCTCCATGAGCGCAAGCAGAGACTCCATCGCCGCAAGTGAGAGTGGGAAGGAATCAATATCTGATGACACAGCCAGTGCTTCCTCTCATGAGCAGAAAGAAAGGGCCAAAATAGTTATAGAGAACAAGAAGAAAGAAGCTGAAGAGTCACCTGCTACAAAACAAAAGAAATCTAAAGCTCTAAAAAACAAGCTTTCAGCTGCATTCAGTAAGAAAGGGAAACCTAAGAAAACAGATGATACACACGTTTTAAAACATGATGGGACTGTGGTCCTTCAACAAGATCAGTTTGGCTATCCTCTATCCATCTTTACTAAGGTTTGTTCTTATATTTTTAAACATTTAAAAACATCTTTCTCACTTATTTTAAGAGCTCATTTTGTTAAATTTAATTTCTAGCATTTCTTGACTTATAAGTCCTAGAGTTATTTATTTCTTAGATGTTTATCATGCTAATTTTAATGTCACATAATGTCTGCATGTCCTGGTCCCTTTTCTTCTAGGGCGCTGTGTGTCACCCCTATGTGAGCCTGCAGTACCATGATATCCTAACTGATGTCAACATTCGCAGCTTTGTGCTTGGGGCTACCAACATACTTTTCAAACAGCGGCGTCAACTTATTGATGTTTTTGTTGAGGTAAGGAGTTTTAGTTTACATGAAGACCAAAATCATTTAACATACAAAGAACATACTTAAAATGTCCGACTGTCATACAGATTCATGATGGAAAGGTTGATATCAGAGACAAGGACCTGCAGCGTAAACTTAGTCTGACCACAGCTGATCTCAGATTTGCTGACTATCTGGTCAAGACAGTGACCGATGAGAGGCCTGGTTTGTTTCTGGATGGCACAGGTACAGGAATGTTGTAGTTGACTGACATATTTATAGAATTTTAGTTGTACTTAACATGGCAGTGTTTTTGCTAACCTTCTGTTTGTTTGTTTAGAATGGGAAGGCAGTGACGAGTGGATCAGAGCTCAGTTTAAACACTATCTCAACTCACTCCTCTCTACTGTTGACTCGGATGGTAAGAGATGCATCACAATTCTTTTTTAGATAATAGATGTGACAGATACATAAATTTTTTTTTAGATAAACAGTTTTTAGGTAAATACAATTGTTTCAGATAAACATTTCTAAATATTATAATTAAATAGAAAATAGTTCATTTCGTACTTGTGAATTGTATTAAATATAAAAACCTTTGAATTAATAAAAATAGATTGTAATATTGCTATAATGTAAGTAGTATGAAGTTACGACTTCTTTAGTAAATATCTTACCTGTTTCAGATGTTAAACTGCTTGATGACTTTGGTACATCATTTATCGACACTTGGAAAACTACTCATAATTATAGGTACTGGATGGAGAATGATCATTCTGCAGTTAGAGACATACCACCAGGGTCAGTACTCTGTGTTTTGTCGAGACTAGATAAAATTTGTCCTGTAAATGCTGGTCTGTTTTGTATGAGCTTTGTTCAAAGATGTGGTAAAAGTTGTTTTGATCGGAGTCTATTTCTGTTTTAGGCATCCATTCCAGGGTAACTTAAGCATGGCAGATGTACGAGTAAGATTTAACCAGTAAGTCTTTTTTTTAAATACCTACTTTATCATTTTTAGTTTCTACTGTTGCAATAGTAGCTTAGTACAGTGGCAGTCACACAATTAAGTGCTTAAATTCCAATGATTTATAAAATCTACATTTAAAAAATTAGCACTCTACAAAACACTGAACGTGGACGAAAAATCAACGCTGCAGTTGTCCAGACAGGGAAATATGTTGTACAAACTGGCAAGGCTGTTGGTAAGTTAGTTATATTTGATGTTTAATGTGGTGGTGACACCTAAAGAAATATTAATTAGCCATCATTTGATGTCCCACATTTTGTACCAGCATAAATTTGTTTACAATAAAAACTTGTAGGCGGAGCTTTAACGTCTGCGAAATCAGCGGTGTCAGGATGGTTCAGCAGTTGGAGGCACAGTGACAAGGAACAGGAGACAGTCAAAGAAGAGACCAGTGATCCCAAGATGGCCAGTGATAACTCCAGTCAGTGATGACTCCAGTCAGTGATGACTCCAGTCAGTGATGACTCCATTCAGTGATGACTCCAGTCAGTGATGACTCCAGTCAGTGATGACTCCAGTCAGTAACATCTCCCCCTACAGCAGTACAGTCTCTTCACAGTGGTCATGTCTAGTCAAGTAACTTACAGATATTTGATTAGCTCTTTTTATTTCTGTGGCATTACATAAAGCTCATTGGTTTGAGAAAACCCAAGATTGAAGAATAGTTTATTTGTATCAGTAAAATGCGTGTGTTCTGGTTCCTAAAGAGCTATCAATTAACCTGGCCCTTTAGTAGTACTGTTTGTAAATGAAATGACATAATGTGCAATGTGGAGTAGAATTTCATACATTTTTATAATTAGTTTAAAGATTGCATTTAATTCATTTCTTTCTAAAAAGTATATTTATTTCTTGCTTTTTTTACACTACACGTATCAATAGAGATAGGAAATCTTTTTTGCAGAATTAATAAGAAGCAAGAACAGATACATGTCAACATGACATCCTTTTTTACTTTTTGATAAAAATTGTGATAATTTATAAACCCAGGTCACTGAGCATTACATAAACTAGTTTAATGTGTTGTAAATATTATTACAAAGATCTAGTATTTACTTGTATTAATCCTTTGTGAAAATTCATGCTTTATTCATAAAAAATATCTAACCTAATTATATTTTTGAGTCTTTATTTTCTCTTGTGATATATTTCCAGATTTTTGTCCTCTAAAAATGAGAAATTTCTGCCTCTCACTCCCATTTTATTAGTAATGTTAGGTGGCTTCAATAATAGTTTTTGCCTTAATTTATACATTTTTCATTTTGCTAGTTGTCTAAAGAAATTGCTGGGCTATATTATACTTAATTTTTCCAGTTTAAAATTTTATTTTTTTCAAATCTAAGAATTTTATTTTGCAATATTCCTTTGAATTTTATCAATTGCTGTTTTTGTTGTTGTGATGCTTGCTACTTTCTCCTGTGTTGAGTTTATTTTTCATTAAATAGTTCTTCATGCATTGTACAATATTTTGTGATGATTTCTTTGTATATACTTGATGTAACTTGCAATACTATTTCTGTAACCATGTCAATTATTAAGCTTTGATTTTATTTTCTTTGTTGTAGCTCACAAAAAGGGGTGTTTTTTTTCATATTACAATGTACTTGGTGATATATAGTTAGAAAAACATTTGAGTGAAATACTAATTTATTGAATACATGGTAAAATATTGATTGCAAAAAGATTGAATAAGCAACATGGTTTTACTGATATTACTTTTTCCCAATGTCACTTTGGTTAATGATGTAGGGGCCAATCATTTTTCTATACTGAGGTGTAATTTTTAAGTGTGCTCAAATATTTATACATTTTAACTACAAAATAAACGGATGTGTTTATTTTATTTGGTGCATAATGCTCTATTTAAAAAAAAATAGAAAAAGATGAATGAATGTACGAGTGCTACAGTGTCAGTTTTCTAAGCTACTTAATGTCAACAATTCATCTACTTGTAAGTTGCCTGCATTGTTAATGTACTTAAATTACTATTTCATAATTGACAAAAAAGAAATTACTATAATTTCAAAACATTGGCCTATTTATTAGCCATCACCTAGATGGCTTATTAAAAATGTGTCACATTAAATATTTGAAACTACACCTTGCAGTTACATAAGTTATACAAATAAATGATCCGATTCTTTTTTCCTTAAGATTGCCTTGCTTTTCCTAGTGCTACTGTTGTTTCTATATCCCTGTAATGTTACAGCTGGTGTTATGTATTCTAGTGATACATAATTCTAATAAAATATTTTATTAAATCTGTTGCATTTAAAAATAGCTATTTTTATCAATATTTGCTTTTAAATCTCATTTATATTTTGTATTTTCTAAAGCTTTTTACTAATACATTATTGTTGGTTTTCAACATTCCTTCAACACTAAACATGGTCAGTTTACAAGAACTCAGCAGATTCCATAGAGTTTGTAGTTTTGCTGAATTAAATAAATTATAACATTAAAAAATGAACCACAACAACATTAAGATAATACTCAACAATAGAGTGGGATAAGTAGCTTACATAAAATGAAACTCAAGGATTATACTAAACCACTATAACAAGTTTTACCAACTTGTTACACATATCAAAATGAATTTAAAAACAAAATGGAAGTGGTGGGTATGTTTTAAACTATGAGTGTTTCTCAGTGTAACCTTGGTTACCATTTGCCCAATGTTGGCACTAAATTTAACAACAGGATAGTTAGAATTGCTTTTATGGTAAGATTTGGTTAGTTCAGTGGAATACCCACCCCACTGTTTCATAATGTTGCGAATACAAACATGAAACTCTGGCCATTAGTGAGCTGTCATATTTTAGATTGAATTAGGTTCATTTTTACATATCAACAATTCTTGAAACAAAAATTCAGTGGAGCTGTATTTTCGTGTGTGAGCTCTAAAATTGTATTATCCTTTCCTTTAGACTTTCTTCAAATGACTACAGGTAGTAATTTCCAACTCAATGTATGCTGCATGTCATATAGTCCAGTGTTGTTACAAATCTGACACTCCATTGGTCTGGGGATGGTGAGATTATTTTTTCATAGCGAGGTACATAAATTCTGACATGGGGAGATTTAGAAAAATGGGCAAATATTTATTTAGAGAAGGTTGATGTGTGTATTTTCTTTTACTACAGATTGCTGGGATTAAAATACATTGAAAAGGTTTTTTTTTATTAATAACATTGGTTTATTATTAATTCATTGTGTTTTTAAAATTATATTTGACATAAACTGTGATAATATGTATGTGGTTATAATACTTTTGCTGTTACATTTCAACTAGTGATTTTTACTTTTAAGACTGGGTTTAACTAATTCCATGACAGTAGAACACATTATATTCATTGAAATTATCAATTCAAGTCAATAATGTTTAGTGGATTATTTAATAAGCAAAGCACAAGTAAAAAATTAGATTACATAAAAAGAAATGAAAGTTTTTCATCCCTTTACACTAAAAAGAATATACCAAAACCTTATTTACATCATCCGCTGTAAAAATCAGTTTAAAAAAAGAAAGCAAATATTTATAGTTATTTCTCCACATTAGCTAGCTTTATTGTTGTAGTTAAAATATTTATTTTGACTTTATGTGCAAAGTCTCAAAAAGGTAAATAAAAGAACTGTATTTGTTACAACTACAGTGCTTTTCAACCCTCATTTACTTTGTAGTTGAAATAAATCTATTTCAAAGTTCTTTGTTTTAAAATTGTGTCAATGTAATTTTTGTTTTTTTTAGTAAGAGATCAATAAATGTTTCATGATTTTCTTGTTATCACTAAATTCATTTAATAAACATAATCAAATAAAAAAAACTGATGTAAAAATATATTCATCAAATAACATAAGGTAGCATGTATATTTTTACATCTCTCTTTGACTTAATATAAAACAAAAAAATTAAATTACTTTCTGTAAGATTTTAGATTATGACATTACAGAATAACTTTTTTGTTAATGAATTATCCTTTGGAAGATTTTATCCTAAAATAAATGGAGGTCTGATCATTGTTCTGTTAACAGCGTGCCACTGCCATGTTTTTATGTTAGGGTTATTGGAATGGCCTGATAAAGAAAGAAAACATTTTGTTAACAATAGCTTGGCCAATAGTCAATGTGATAGTTACAAAACATTTTTGTGCAAGCTAATCTACACACCAAGAAATAAATTTTAAACATATTTTTTTATAGATATTGCAGCATTTTAATAAATAAGGGCGGTTTAAAAACAGTTTTCTAAAACCTACATTTAATTTAGATGCAGCAACTAATTGTTTAAAATAGATTTATATTCAACACAATTGTTCAGTTATATTTTTTCACTGATTATTTTAAAATGCAGAAATTGGTAGAAGGCTATATATATCACAGTTAAATTTCAACTTTGTATGCATTTTAAATCAAGAGACAATAGAACAACTTGGTAAAAATTGAAACTGTTAACTGTAAATTCAGAAAAAATTATATTTGTATATACACACCTCCAGATTAACTACATCATGCCAACTGAAGTTTCAAAATCTATTGCACAAAAATAAATCATGCTTGTTAAAAATTGCTTCTTAATTATAGCAGGATAACTAATCTATATTTTGCAAATTGAAATTTAAAGTTTAATGTTTTCGATTGATAAATAACTATAAAAAAATTTTAGAAGAAAAAAAAAACATGAATTACAAATAGCCATTACAAACATATTTATAAAAATAAAAACAGCTTCTCACAATATATGAATTTTTCAATGAAATGTAAAATAAATACTTACAAATCTTCATAATGTGACAAAATAGCCAAATCCAAGTTATTTTCATTAGATGCCAGACATCTCTTAGCATAGTCATGCTCAGTTTTTTCCATGCCTGTCACGTCCAGAAAGTCCTGGATAAGACCCTCAATGATGGCATCTTTATCAGAATCTCCTAGACTATTCCAAGCATCTGAGCCAGGCTCTGGGTACTGAGGTTTAGCTGTAGCTCGTTTCAATTCTGCTTCAAACTTCTTTACTTTTGGGTCTTCTTCCTCATCAATTATAAACTCTACCCCTGTGGAATTGATTTATATTGGTAGTAATAAAAATGTATAGTCTATATATAGGAATTATTTAATTATTGTCTCTGCAGAAACTTTTGCTTGCCATTTGACATGCTATTAAATTATATAAAAAAGTCGTTGAAAAACAAAATAGTATATTTTTTGGTAGGTAGCACTATCAATACTGAAGTTAACATAGCTAAAAATGGTAAGTTTGTAACTAAAAATATAAAACAATGCAGCTTTAAAACAGCTGCCTCCATGAACCTACCTTCCGGTTTCTCTTTATACATTTTAATTGCGTCATCCACTTCTAAATTGCCTCTCAGTAAAAAATGGTCCACAACAATTTCTTTTGTTTCACCTGTCGCCTCCATGAATTTTTTCCTCATTTCCTCCAACAGTGGCTCATATTCATCATGAACCACCTCACCTCTCTTAAGGTAGGGAGAATCTATTGGCATCCTCAGGTAATTTGCCACTCCAAATTCTTCATCATCAGAAGTGTCTGAATGTTGGTTAGAAGATTTAGTTAAGTGACAGAAAGCTTAGAGTATAGGTAGAGACAGATAGCTAAACATTACAGTCAAATGAAGGCTTCAGGTACAAAACTTCACTAAAACAGAATGAAAATAGCAGAATGTACCTAGCTTGACTAGTACACAATTTAAAATTTTGTTTTAAGTATTTTTTTTTACAACCAGAATGCTAAATAACACTCTAAAACAATACTCAAACACTGACAATTCAATGTTCATTAATTTTAATCGGAAAGTTGCTTTAAATACTAACATGTATTTGCTACTAGACTTATTTCAGTGAAAGAAAAATTAACTCTTCCAAAAATGCCAAGCTGATATAAAACATTACAGATGTTATAAGAATGATTGCTTTTCAACTGTCAAATTATGATGAAATGTGAAATATAGCATACCATTTAAATCTGCAGGATCATCTAGGTCACTCTCGGATGAAACTAAAATAACAACACAACAACCAGGGTTAAATGATGTGATAAGCACACTTGAAAATGGAGATTAGTTTTTTAGGATTACTTGTTACTTTTAATGCTTTATCAATAATGCAGAATAACTTTTTGTACGAATTAAATGTTGAAAATATCAATGTAAATATTTTAAAAAATACTGGTATTAAGACATTTTCATATTGCTTCTAAATGAATGTAGAATAGATGTCAAATGTAATTAAAATGCAAGCCAGTACAAGAAGACAATAAAATCCTAGTTGATTCAATTTTAAGTGGACAGTGAAATCCTTGTTAATACAATGTTAAAGTTGATCCTAGTAAATACAATCTTAAGGGGACAGTGAAATCCTTGTTAATACAATGTTAAAGTTGATCCTAGTCAATACAATCTTAAGGGGACAGTGAAATCCTTGTTAATACAATGTTAAAGTTGATCCTAGTCAATACAATCTTAAGGGGACAGTGAAATCCTTGTTAATACAATGTTAAAGTTGATCCTAGTCAATACAATCTTAAGGGGACAGTGAAATCCTTGTTAATACAATGTTAAAGTTGATCCTAGTCAATACAATCTTAAGTGGACAGTGAAATCCTTGTTAATACAATGTTAAAGTTGATCCTAGTCAATACAATCTTAAGGGGACAGTGAAATCCTTGTTAATACAATGTTAAAGTTGATCCTAGTAAATACAATCTTAAGGGGACAGTGAAATCCTTGTTAATACAATGTTAAAGTTGATCCTAGTAAATACAATCTTAAGGGGACAGTGAAATCCTTGTTAATACAATGTTAAAGTTGATCCTAGTAAATACAATCTTAAGGGGACAGTGAAATCCTTGTTAATACAATGTTAAAGTTGATCCTAGTCAATACAATCTTAAGGGGACAGTGAAATCTTGTTAATACAATGTTAAAGTTGATCCTAGTCAATACAATCTTAAGGGGACAGTGAAATCTTGTTAATACAATGTTAAAGTTGATCCTAGTCAATACAATCTTAAGGGGACAGTTAAATCCTTGTTAATACAATGTTAAAGTTGATCCTAGTCAATACAATCTTAAGGGGACAGTGAAATCCTTGTTAATACAATGTTAAAGTTGATCCTAGTAAATACAATCTTAAGGGGACAGTGAAATCCTTGTTAATACAATGTTAAAGTTGATCCTAGTAAATACAATCTTAAGGGGACAGTGAAATCCTTGTTAATACAATGTTAAAGTTGATCCTATTCAATACAATCTTAAGGGGACAGTGAAATCCTTGTTAATACAATATTAAAGTTGATCCTAGTCAATACAATCTTAAGGGGACAGTGAAATCCTTGTTAATACAATGTTAAAGTTGATCCTATTCAATACAATCTTAAGGGGACAGTGAAATCCTTGTTAATACAATATTAAAGTTGATCCTAGTCAATACAATCTTAAGGGGACACTACTTGCCTGAAGAAGGCCGAGCTCTAGGCTGAGTATCCCCTTCCTTTGCTTGTTTAATACAAGGCTCTTTCTCTACCTGGCCTTCTGGTTCTGTCTTAGCATATGTTATAAGGTACTCGACTAATGCTCTTCTGTTCTCATATACAACAAACTCCTGATGATTGACTGGGCAGCCCTGTGAAACAGACAACAGCATTTTTTTTCATAAATCATTGATAAATTCAATTTAATGAATAAATCTTTGATAATTTAAAGAATAAAACAATAAATCCATATAAATCCACTCATATTTTGTAATAAAAACTGTGATGTGTTGAATGTGTACATACTCCAAAACAACACAAACAAACAAATAGGCAAATATAAAGGTGAAGGATCAAATATAACTTACCTGAACAGAGTCGTAAAACCTATATCCTTTATAAGGAGCTTCTTTTTCAGGCTCTCTCACCAGCTCTCTGTGTTTCACCTTTTTAGGGTATGTCTGGAGAAATGTTAAAAATTTACAATTTAATTTTAGACAAAATTACTCAGATAAGCTATCTTTTGTGAAAATAATGTTCTTAAATTATAATAAATACCTTTGAATCTCCAAGAATTACTCTCATGAGGAGTATAAATGACTCTGAACCCCCTTCTTTCTCAGCATACCTCACACATTTTTTAGGGTAGTTACTAAAATTATATTGTAAATATATTAATCCGGAGTGGTTAGACTGAAGGCTATAGATATCACTGTGTTAATGGCTCCTTCTTAATTATGCAACATTTTGCAGTTAATTATCAACACAGACATATTGAGCCCTAATTCATGGGGTTGTTCATAATCAATGCCACACTCCCAAAGTAAATCAAAATTTGTAACAATCCAATGAGGGGGAGAGCATGGGTTAAATTTGTTTTTGACAATGTTTGAGGATGGGGAGGGAGGGAAATTATAAATACGAGCCGACCCGCGGCGTATCGTACGCCGCTAGCTATTTAGTTGTTTTATTTTCTACTTTTCAGTAATTCATAATTTGTGAATTCGACAGTACCACTACTGTCACTGAAAATATTTGCTTTAAAACACTATCAGTAAGTCGTTAAGGACGATAACCCCCCCCCCCCCCTTGAAAGCAGCCTCCTCTTAGCTACCTCCCCTAAGTTTAAAATCATTTCAAACTAAATTATCTGCCCCTAATAGCCGTCACTAAACCCGGCTCTACGCTTGTAAACATTTAACGTGAACCACAGCTCACCAGACTTCCTAGAGAGGAAGAGAGGGGACTGCAAGGCGCACTTACAGCTTGTTTTCTAACGTCTCCAAGAAGAGAATTATATATATAGATTTTTTTAAAAAGTGTAACATCATTTATGGAAGACCCCCCCCCTTCCCCCCACAAACTGATTCCATTGTTAAAGTAACCTTCCAACTTCGACTTACTGTAAAAATGATATTGTTTAAAAATTAAATATATAATATAATTTAAAAGATTTAAACCTGAAATAAATTCCTTTTCCAAAGCAACCTTGTTTTGACATTCTGGAGTCCAAACCTTCTTCACAAATATAATCTTTTTTTGCAGTTGTACCATGATACAAGTACTTCTCGTTTAATTTAAAATCAGGATCTGAAATATCATTTAATGTTTTTAAATGTTCTGTATTACACTGCAAACTGTACAATCATTATTCATTATTATAATATATATTGTAAACTTTAAAAAATGCTTTTAAATAGTAAATACTATTTAGATAATAGTAATAACAGGCAAAAGAAATGATACAAAAAATGTAACTTACCAATCTTTAATCGTTGACTAAGCATCAAATCTCTTTCAGTTATGTAACGTTTGCAAAGGTGAATGTTAATAAGTTTTTCAATTTTGACTACTTTGAGTCCAGCATTTTCAAAATCAATTGTAACTTCTCTATAAACCTTATTCTTTTTATCTAGTTCCTCCAGTTGAAAATGATCTTCAGGTTCATCTTGATTTGAAGGCTCTGGTTCTGTTAAAGGCTCTGGCTCTTGATTCGTCATTCCCAACCCATCCATATCTGGCTTATTTGTAGCCATGATAAAATGTCACACAATACAAATCTGTTCAGGCTATTCTGTGTGTATCCTAATTGTTAATTATTATGCAAAGTGTGAATGGTATTCACTGCAGATAAAAAAAAATATTTAGTATAGTTAAGTATAGTCAAATAGTCTAAGTATATAATACATAAATTACTATTTACTATTATAATTATAATATGTATTATATACTTAGACTAAATAGTATAAAAATAGGGCATTATATTATTATATATATAGTATATAGGGCCTACTACTGGATATTAATTATTAATTAATTAACAAGATAGTTTAGTTAATTAATAATTAGTTAGACACTAGTGACTAGTGTGACTAGAAGATCTTGGATTCTAGTCTATTTTGTATTTAGTAAAATTTAGTTAGTAGTAGATAGCCTAGACTAAATTTTTTAGACATAAAACATACATAGAGGGCATAGGCCGGGTCTTGTCTTTCACTTTGACTCTTATAAACTAAGTAATAAACAATAAAACAATTAATACTTCATTACTTGAAATACTTGGCTATACAGTATAGTATAAACTCACTATACTAATTAGATCTAGTAATTACTAGGCCAAATTAATAATTATAGTTAGGCCTATAGTATAGTATTAGTATAGAAATACTAAAGTTAGTAATTACTAGATCTAGAATCTAGATCTAATTAATTAGTTAGGAATCTGTACTGTAGTATTTTTTTGTACTAAACTATTAAAACTACTGTTAGTATTTCCTGTATACTAATAACTGTATGTGTATAGTAATAGTATACTTACTACTTACTATACAAAATAATACTACACAGTTACTGTACCTTAGAATAGATCCAGATCTATAGTAATAAACTATAATAAAATATATCTATCTACAGTCTACGGCCTATGGATAATGTAATTATCTACGACTACTATGTGTAAGTGTAGACCAGATTCTAAAGAGTAGATCTAAGGTAAGATAGATTAGATTTTTATGTCAGATGAGAATGTCCACTTCGGTTTCACTTTCTCGGAAAAACCCGAAACGGTTTGGCTGCATTCATGGAAAATCCCGATGATAAATGTTTCACTTTATTTTACAACTTTTTAGTAGTTTTTAGTCACCACGGTGTACTGATTGACAGTTACCAACAAAACATTTTAGCTTTTGAACATAATAAACTTAATAGAAAACAAGCGTAACTACTTACTATACAATAAATCTAAAGATAAAAAAATATTAACTTGTCCTATTTCTCACTCGCGGCTTAGCGGCCCTTAGTCTAGTGTTGATGCCTTCTTTCCGGGAACTGTAGTCTAACTGAGCTGCAGAAAGAAGCAGTTATTTTCGAATTAACTTTCGAAACAAATTTAGAACATAGGCTAACGTATACAAATTTAGTTTTTAACAGAAAATTTATACAACGACAATGTCATGAATTCTGATTCTGATTAATATCATTAAACGTTAACAATTGACACTCATTTTTTGTGGACCATTTATTTAGGGCTTAACTTATTATTTAGCATATATCTGTTTATAACAGTTTTATTTTCAGGCTAACTAGTAACAAGTTCTATTTGATTATTGTCTTATTTTGCTTTTATTTTCCAAATTTATTACTGACAAAAAATCTTACAGAACAGCCTTTGTTTGGAATATGAAATATTAGATTAGGACAGAATTATGGGCCATGCAATGAATTTTCTCAAAATATCGCCTGTGACTGGCACAGTGTTTCTTTCAGACTTTTTTCCCTCCCCGGAGGGTGGGGGAAGGGGGGGGGGGGTGGAGGTGGAGAACTAAAAAAAACTTAAGAATAAAAAAAAGGGTGGGGGGGGGGGGGGGAGCGACGAATTTAAAATTAATTTTCGGGATGGCGGATGCTGAGGTAAAATAGGCTAAACGGGAGGGGGTTGTTCTTTAGGGGTCATCCATAAATGACATCATGCCTTTTAGAATGATTTTTACCCCCCCCCTCCCCTACGTCACACATCGTCACAAAAAGCCAGACCCCCCCTCTCTAAAATGATGTGATCACGCCTCAGCCTACAACCGGCTCCTCAAAATTGAAGTTGAATGTTTCTTAAAACATCGATATTACAATTTATTAAAACAGCTTAACTCTAAAACGCGAAATAACGGCAAAAACTCGTTTTCTAACAATGCTTTTTATAATGCAAAAGTGTGACGTCACACCATCTGAACTCACTCCCCTTCCCCACACAGTGCCACACACCGTCACAAAATTACGGACCTCTCTACGAGTGTGACGTCATTTATGGACGACCCCTACAAATAATTGATAGACTTTAGTTATTGAGTTATTGTTTTCGACAGTTTATTATCATAATAATCATAAAAACTTGGAACCCGAGGAATTACTCTGCTACTATTTCTATTACTATCAGTATCAGGCCAGGCCTTATTAAGTTATTAAGGTATAGATTCTAGATCTAGATCTACTGAGAAACGATTTTTAGTTATATTTTAATTAATTGCTATTGTTAATATGTGTGCGAAATCACATTTAAAGATAAAAAAACAAAATACATTCTCACTCTATATTATATTTTTTCTTTAGACTTGTTAAAAATTTTAATAAAAAGGGTGCCAAATGAACTGTGAAATATTAAGGGTAGGGTATTTTTTCGATCGATTAAAAATAACAGCAGTCATCTCTCTTTTATATAAAATCTGGATTGCAAAGGTCACACTTTTAAAAGGAAAACGAAATATCATTCTTTTTTTGGCCTGGCCTTATGCTGATTATTTTCATCTCGCTTTAGATCAAGTTTATTATTATAAATGTAGATTTATTCTAGTTAAAACAGCAATAAAAAAACACACGAACAAAAAAAAACAACTAGATAAGATAGGCCTAGATCTACAAGTCTGGCAGCTAGATCTAGATCCTAAATAAATACTAGATCTAAAAACTAAATAGTTAAAAAATAGGCCTAGTTCATTATTTTCAAATATTTTCATTAATCAATCAAGTAGTCTCACTCAACCCTAACTAACACTAGCAACTGTTACTACTGTTGTAGTGTAGTACACTCATTAGTACTTCAGTAATCAGTATGATGAGACAATATGAGTACACCATGGAATGTAGCTAAGATAAACAAGCCATACAAGGTGTACTGCTACTAGAACTAGATCTAGAATTACTTTTCTAGAGTTAGCTAGACTCACTTAGAGTAGCAGAGAGTCCAATAGGTAAAAAAAAAAGTGATTTTGAAAAATTAAAGAAGTTTCATTTATTGCTAGGATAATTACATTAATTCGTAATAGGCCTAATGATTAGTGATTACTAGTGGACTACAATAATTGATATTATCTATATATATAATTCTCCTCTTCGAGCCGTTAGAAAACAAGCTGCAAACGCTCTCCCTACCTCCCCACCCCTACATGGTTTTAGTGAGCTGTGTTCACTCTAAATGTTTACAAGCAGAGCCAACGATTTTAAACGTAGGGGGGGGGAAGGAAGGGGGGGGGGTTATGGTCCTTAACGAGCTACTTATAGTGTTTTAAAGAAATATTTTCAGTGTCAGCGTTGGTACTGTCGAATTCACAAATTATGAATTATTGAAAATTAGAAACAACTAAATAGCGGCGTATGTTATGCCGCGGGCCGGCTCGTATTTTATAATATTGCTATTACTAATACTTTGAAACCAAAGTATGATTGAAATTGATAAGGGGTATACCGTGTCACGCCGTGTGTATACGACTAGTTTTTTCCCCCCTACCAGTGTGATAGGTTTATCATCTTTCCACTTCATGGGGCAGATGAAGTAAAGTTTATCTGTTTCAATGACCTCTTCATATGAGGGTATAGTGTGGTCAGCACTATGCCCTACCACCTTAGTTTTCCTAAGATGAGTTAGGTACTCATCTGACAAACTCATGCCCAGGATCTGCACTTGAGACTTCTTGGTTAGCAGCATTAAGATCTACAATCTGACTACACAATCTTCCAGTGTTACACGCTGCTAACAGTATTATTATATTATGATATCAGTTGTAATGTAACAAAGGGTTAGCCATTAATCAAGTGATTGTAAATTTATAATGAGGAATCCATTTTCTAACAATAACTTTGTTCAGTATATTCCTAGAATCATCATGCTTTATAAACATAGACCATGTATTTATTGCTTTTTAATCTCACAGACATAAGAATGAAAGTTTCATCTCTAAAACATTTGAGAGACATGCAGTTGGGTCAGAAAAAAAGCATAGGCTGGAAGGACAGTTTATATTCATCTCTCTACTCCTCGACCATCTCTACAAAAACCACCGAATCCACCCCATTAGATGGATTAGACTGGGGAGCAGTTTTTGGCTTTGGATTTTCCACTGATGGGTAATTCACTTTTCGGATGATTATAGATACCGATGTCTGATAATAGAATCTTCTTTAAAAAAGGGGTGTTGGGTTGTTAGTAGTATTGTAACCTCAACTAATTTTATGATTAGAAATTTAGGTTAGGTGTTAGGAACAGGGTTGGGGTTAGGGTTAGGGACAAGGTTTGCATTGACATTAGCCAGCCATGTGTGTATTTATTTAACTACCAGTAACCTAACACCCCTTTTTTAAAGAAGATTCCATTATTAGACACCGGTGTAAACATTCTCCCCTCTTTTCTAGCTCTAATGATCTGAATCTAAACATCTAGTGAACTAAAGAAATATGGCAGCAAAAAATAATGCACATTTTGGTGATTAATATAGAGATAAGAAAGCACATCTTATGTCAGCAATAAAGGCCTTCATGTGAAATTGACAGAGGGAAAGAGGCCAGTTTAGTAAAAACTTGGATACCTGACATGGAGTGTGGGTTAACATGACCTTTTCCGTCATACACTTTGTGATTCAGCATCATAGTTAAAGGTCACCTCGAAAATATCATGAAAATATTAAAACTATACAGTGACACACAACTAACCTGCGCTATGTCTCTTAAGTAACTAGTTGTGTAACTGTAATTACCTGTAACTATATTTGTATTTGTCAGACCTATCCCTAAATACATCGATCTGTAACAACTTCTGATACTTAATTAACTATGTCTGTAACATTAATTAGCCATGGATGTAATTTTTGTCCCCACAGAACCTTGTTGGCTGCTGCGTGTGAGAACACGTGCATGCTGTTGTATGACCCCCACAATGAACGGCTCATCACACGCAGATTTAAAACACACACGGACTGCGTTAACTGTGTCAGGTACTTACCATTGTTAATTGCTAAGCTTATCAGAAGTAGCCCTTTGTATTGGATTGTGTGCGGTTGGGTACAGCTTTGTGTGTTTCTGTACAGCTTTGTGTGTTTCTGTACAGCTTTGTGTGTTTCTGTACAGCTTTGTGTGTTACTCTGTATAGCTATGATTTGGGCAGTTTTGTGTGTTTGCATACAGCTATGTTTGTTGGGTTCAACTATGTGTATTTGTTGGGGTATACCTGTGTGATGGGTTAACTGTGTTTGTTGGGTTCAACTATTTGTGTTTGTTTGGTTATAACTGTGTTTTTGTACACTTATTTGTGATCTAATACTATTTAAGGTCTACACTCACTCTGATAAAAATATGTTTTAGACAGTACTACTAGTTCATCTTGACACTAACACTAAGAAATATTTCACTCTGTCATCTGACAATGTAGGTTCCTGGACAACAGGACATTTGCCACATGTTCTGACGACAGTACTGTGCGGCTGTGGGATGCCAGGTTTCTCAGCCAGGAGATTGTTGTCCTCAAAGGCCACACAAGCTGGGTGAAGAACATTGAGTACTGCTCATCTGAGGGGAAGCTGATCACCTCAGGGTTTGATGGCAACATTTTCTCCTGGGACATTAACAAGTGAGTCATACAGGGTTGGATGGGGACATGTTCTCAGGGGACATTAACAAGTGAGTCATTCAGGGTTTGATGGCAACATTTTCTCCTGGGACATTAACAAGTGAGTCATTCAGGGTTGGATGGGGACATTTTCTCAGGGGACATTAAGTGAGTCATTCAGGGTTGGATGGGGACATTTTCTCAGGGGATATTGATGAGTGAGTCATTCAGGGTTGGATGGGGACATTTTCTCAGGGGACATTAAGTGAGTCATTCATGGTTGAATGGGGACATTTTCTCAGGGGACATTGACAAGTGAGTCATTCAGGGTTGGATGGGGACATTTTCTCAGGGGACATTAACAAGTGAGTCATTCATGGTTGGATGGGGACATTTTCTCAGGGGACATTAACAAGTGAGTCATTCATGGTTGGATGGGGACATTTTCTCAGGGGACATTAACAAGTGAGTCATTCATGGTTGGATGGGGACATTTTCTCAGGGGACATTAACAAGTGAGTCATTCATGGTTGGATGGGACATTTTCTCAGGGGACATTAACAAGTGAGTCATTCATGGTTGGATGGGGACATTTTCTCAGGGGACATTAACAAGTGAGTCATTCATGGTTGGATGGGGACATTTTCTCAGGGGACATTAACAAGTGAGTCATTCATGGTTGGATGGGGACATTTTCTCAGGGGACATTAACAAGTGAGTCATTCATGGTTGGATGGGGACATTTTCTCAGGGGACATTAACAAGTGAGTCATTCATGGTTGGATGGGGACATTTTCTCAGGGGACATTAACAAGTGAGTCATTCATGGTTGGATGGGGACATTTTCTCAGGGGACATTAACAAGTGAGTCATTCAGGGTTGGATGGGGACATTTTCTCAGGGGATATTGATGAGTGAGTCATTCAGGGTTGGATGGGGACATTTTCTCAGGGGACATTAAGTGAGTCATTCAGGGTTGGATGGGGACATTTTCTCAGGGGACATTAAGTGAGTCATTCAGGGTTGGATGGCAACATTTTCTCAGGGGACATTAACAAGTGAGTCATTCAGGGTTGGATGGGGACATTTTCTCAGGGGACATTGACAAGTGAGTCATTCAGGGTTGGATGGCAACATTTTCTCAGGGGACGTTAACAAGCGAGTCATTCAGGGTTGGATGGGAACACTTGCTACCAAGACTTGAGGTTAGTATTAACTGGCCTCAAAGACTGACATTTTGCTACCATCAAGTCCTAATGTTGACATTTTGTTGCTACCAAGACATAATGTTGACATTTTGCTACCAAGACATAATGTTGCTATTTTGCTAAGATCTAATATTAACATTTTGCTAAGACCCTATGTTAAAATTTTGCTAAGACCTAATGTTGACATTTTGTTACCACCAAGGCCTAATGTTGACATTTTGCTACATTCAAGACTTAATGTTTCCACTTTGCTAAGACCTAATGTTTCCACTTTGCTAAGACCTAATGTGAACATTCCCAGCTACTCAGACAAGGAGAAGCCAGAAGCACTGTTCTCCCTGTCAGGCATCATGAGAACAAAAATAACTCCAGATGAGAAGAAACTGATTGTATCCACCATCAGAGGATATTTTTTACTGATACATGACCTCAACCTCGACACTCTCAGTGAAGATCTTAAAGGGTCAGCAACTTTAACTATTTTATCAAATATTTACAAGCTTGTTACTCTAACTCTCTAAGTTCTATATTATTGTAATATATATGTTATGTTTTAAATGAGATATAAATATATTGTGTCCATTAAATAACTCAAGCAAGTTATTGTTCTAACAAACCTCTATTGTTCAGACTTGTGTCTACTTCCCCTCCCCCCTAATTGTTCTAAAAAGTTCTAGACTTGTCTACTCCCCCCCCCCCTAATTGTTCTAAAAAGTTCTAGACTTGTCTACTCCCCAGGGTTAAGACTCTCCTTCATTTGACCCACATTCTAAACACTTCTCTAAACAACCTTGAGTTGCAATGTAAAAAAATGTTCACAAGAAAGCGCAACAGGATTGAGTGTATCACAGATTTTCCTGATGCTGACAAGGCAGAATCCATCAACACTATGCAGGTATGTAGACAGTCACTCTACAGATTTTGTGGTGGTTTACTGGGAGTGTCCTTGTCTTAGGTTACCAACAAAAAATGTGTTAGGTTCTCTGGATCTATTGTTGTAAACATTAACTGACTATTTTGTGGTGGTAGTGTCCTTGTCTTAGGCTGCCAACAAAAACTTTGTTAGGTTCTCTGGACCTATTGTTGTAAACATTAACCCAACTATTTTGTGGTGGTAGTGTCCTTGTCTTAGGCTGCCAACAAAAACTTTGTTAGGTTCACTGGACCTATTGTTGTAAACATTAACCCAACTATTTTGTGGTGGTAGTGTCCTTGTCTTAGGCTGCCAACAAAAACTTTGTTAGGTTCACTGGACCTATTGTTGTAAACATTAACCCAACTATTTTGTGGTGGTAGTGTCCTTGTCTTAGGCTGCCAACAAAAACTTTGTTAGGTTCACTGGACCTATTGTTGTAAACATTAACCCAACTATTTTGTGGTGGTAGTGTCCTTGTCTTAGGCTGCCAACAAAAACTTTGTTAGGTTCACTGGATCTATTGTTGTAAACATTAACCCAACTATTTTGTGGTGGTAGTGTCCTTGTCTTAGGCTGCCAACAAAAACTTTGTTAGGTTCACTGGACCTATTGTTGTAAACATTAACCCAACTATTTTGTGGTGGTAGTGTCCTTGTCTTAGGCTGCCAACAAAAACTTTGTTAGGTCCACTGGACCTATTGTTGTAAACATTAACCCAACTATTTTGTGGTGGTAGTGTCCTTGTCTTAGGCTGCCAACAAAAACTTTGTTAGGTTCACTGGACCTATTGTTGTAAACATTAACCCAACTATTTTGTGGTGGTAGTGTCCTTGTCTTAGGCTGCCAACAAAAACTTTGTTAGGTTCACTGGACCTATTGTTGTAAACATTAACCCAACTATTTTGTGGTGGTAGTGTCCTTGTCTTAGGCTGCCAACAAAAACTTTGTTAGGTTCACTGGACCTATTGTTGTAAACATTAACCCAACTATTTTGTGGTGGTAGTGTCCTTGTCTTAGGCTGCCAACAAAAACTTTGTTAGGTTCACTGGACCTATTGTTGTAAACATTAACCCAACTATTTTTTGGTGGTAGTGTCCTTGTCTTAGGCTGCCAACAAAAACTTTGTTAGATTCACTGGACCTATTGTTGTAAACATTAACCCAACTATTTTGTGGTGGTAGTGTCCTTGTCTTAGGCTGCCAACAAAAACTTTGTTAGGTTCACTGGACCTATTGTTGTAAACATTAACCCAACTATTTTTTGGTGGTAGTGTCCTTGTCTTAGGCTGCCAACAAAAACTTTGTTAGATTCACTGGACCTATTGTTGTAAACATTAACCCAACTATTTTGTGGTGGTAGTGTCCTTGTCTTAAGCTGCCAACAAAAACTTTGTTAGGTTCACTGGACCTATTGTTGTAAACATTAACCTAACTATTTTGTGGTGGTAGTGTCCTTGTCTTAGGCTGCCAACAAAAACTTTGTTAGGTTCACTGGACCTATTGTTGTAAACATTAACCTAACTATTTTTTGTCATTCAAGGTCCACCCCCAAGGCTGGTGTATCGCCTCAAGAAACACAACTTATGATGAGAGATCAGAGGTACAGCCAAACTTTTCTTGTATAAGTTAAATTTATGAAAAGAGATCTAAAGTCTTTTTTTTTTCTCTAACACGTTGGTTTTAGGTTTATTGTAAAAAAAAAAAACTCTAAAAAAGCCACAGCATAAAATACTGACTAGTTTCCATTTTTTTCCAAATAGTTGTGGTTTTATTTATTATCTTTGAGAGATGCCAATAAAAATATTTCCACAATTGTTTACAGTGGACCTGTGTACATGACATCCAGTCAGTCCAACCACAGGCTGTTGGGGGCAGGCAGGAGGAGGGGGACCCTGAGACCAGCAGCACTGGACCCCACCGGTCAAGACTGTTTCCTCATCCACTAGAGCTCAGACCTCTGCTAGAAGATGAAACTTATGCTGGAGGGGGGGAAGATGTGAGTGATGAAGATGAAGAAATGTATCAGGACTCATTTGTGTTAGATGACTTGTCTCCCCTGGTAGAGTTGTCCCCCGGCAACTCTGATGAAGAAACCTCGGATTCCTCCCTACACAACTATCATCTGACTGTCAGAGGACAGCCTAACAATCTGACAGTCAGACATCAGCCCAGCCGTCAGTCAGCTGACTTATCAGAAGATGAGGATATCGACATCCGTGTGACTTCACCCCGACCCCCACGATCACCACTATCTTATGCCCAGTCTTCAGCCAATAGAATCTCCCACATCCAATACTTAGTTAACCCACCTGAAGGGAACGGAATATTTTCTTCCAGCACAGCCTCATCCACACACACCAGGAGCCGTGGGAGCCGACACAAGCCCTCAAGGCTCCTCTACTCCATCCAGGAGCCAAACGTTGGCCGGGGGTTTATCAAAGAGCAAAGTTTCAGCAGTGATGGCCGGGTACTGGCCTCACCTTTTGCCAACTGTGTCCGGCTGCTGGCCTTCAACCAGCGCTGCTCGGAAATATGTGACGTCCTCCCCAGAAGCCCTGCAGCGCTGCAGCAGGTGGCCATGACCTTGGGACAGAAAAGTATTGTTCTGGCTAGTACTTTCTCACCAACACATTGCCAGTTTGTGGCTGGTGCTAAGGATGGAAGTATTTCATTTTGTTCACCAAAATTATAGCTCAGTACCAAGGATGAAAATATTTCATTTTGTTCAAAATTGTATTCTAAACTATACAAAGCTCTGTTTTCTGGATTTTACCTTTATCTTTTAAAACATTACTTTAAGTATTAAAAAACAAATTCTTGTCACAAATTGTGGTACAATATCTAGTCTAGCTTGTCCTAAACTATCACAATTTATTGTACTAAACTATCACATTGTGTGATACAGTAACTAGTTAACATGTACTAAACCATCACATTGCTAATGCTAGAAATGTTTGTCTTTCAGTTGTAGCATTGATGTGTGAATGTGCTCAGGCTACGTACTTTTGAAGAGATTTGACTTGAGTGTTGGCTCTCATCTAAATGTTGCAGTTGTCTAGTTGTTTTAATGTAGTCTTTCATCTACAGCAGGGGTCTCCAAACTTTTCAGCCCGAGGGCCGCATTTACTATCAAAAATCAGTTCGGGGGCCAGAACTGAGGCCCTCCCCCCAAGAATGTCTACCTAATCTCACCCTCCCCACGAAATATAATCTATATAGAAATATATAAAAATTTCAAGTGTCGTCATCCACCCTCTCCCCCTCTCCCCTCCCCCCCCCCCCCCCCGGAGAAAAAACGTCTGAAAAAAAGACTCGGCATGGTGGGCAACGGTAGTTGCACCGAAAGCTACATCTTCAAATTGCTTTGAATTTTCTGGGCAATGTTCCTCAGCCACTTGTTAGAAACATTTTTTTCCGTGGACAAAAAGATCTCCGCGGGCCGGATGAGAGGACATCGCGGGCCGCATCCGGCCCGCGGGCCGTAGTTTGGAGACCCCTGATCTACAGCATTGGATTAAAACTGATTTTTTAAATTGTTTATATTTTTAAAAGTAGAATTCTACTAAATATGGATTTGTTTTAAGGCATTGGCCTTACATAAGTCCTAGGCTTTTAGAGGAACTTTTTTTGCATGTTAATAAGTTTGATTGGTACTTTAGTCAAAGATGTCAAAATTTAGTCATGTGTGAATGGTACTTTGGTCAGTGATATCAAACATTAGTCATGTGTGAATGGTACTTTGGTCAATGATGTCAATTGTTAGTCATGCATGAATGGTACTTAGGTCAGTGGTGTCTAAAGTTAGTCATGCGTGAATGGTACTTGGTCAATGGTGTCTAAAGTTAGTCATGTGTGAATGGTACTTTGGTCAGTGGTGTTTAAAGCTAGTCATGTGTGAATGGTACTTAAGTCAATGATATCAAAAGTTAGTCTTGCACAAATGGTACTTTAGTCACTAAAATTGAAATTACCTGACAGTTTCTTCATATCTACTCTAATGAAACAGTAGTTCTGGCAGGTTCTGTGATAGGTTCAGTAAAAGGCAAAATAAGAAGGAAAAGCCAGCAATTAAAAAGGATTTTTCCAGACTTGGAGAGTTGGTAAAATATAAAAATAGAGTTGTACTCATGTGTTGTATACTTTGAAATAAGAAATATGAATGTAAAAAATCAAAACTTAATAACAATGTATATAAATAAAATAAATTATATAATGTTACAGATTTTTTTTATACTGCATTTTTCTGTCACTTCTGTCACCCTTATTTTCATGGAACTTTTTCCTTTAACCTTTTCTGTGAACCACAACCAACCAGAGCAGGAATCCACAACCACCTAACTTAAATGCTACTTTATGTTATTGACCTTAGAGAAACCAGAAGTAAAGTAACTACCATTTCTGGTTACCAAAATCCCTCAAAAGTTGATACAGAACTACAAATTTCATTTAATACTTATACATGAAATATTATCAGTGTAACAGACACACAAACAATATTCTTAATCTAAGTTTTTCCTACTCAAGGATGTGTAAAGTGTTGAGATTTGTTAAGACTCAATTTTCATTTTTTGCATGATTACCAGAACATAGAAGTGTAGGATTTTAAAGTTTTAAGAATATGTGTAATAAAATTTGTAACTACAGAACTCTCAAACATAAATTCTACATAGGCTACAATTTTGTTAACTCATAAATAGCTGAAAAGTTCTGTAGTCCCAAGGAGGTTTAAGAGATTACAGAAAGGCAAGTGTGGAAGAAAAAAATCAGCTGTTTAAAAATGAGGTACTCTTCATATAAAATGTAAAGAAATGAAAACGAACAATGTAAGTAATAAACTTTATACATGTTACCAGATTTATTTATTTCGGTAATAGCAAGTAGATCCAGTGGAGTTTAAAAATTTTTTTTTAGAAAAGTAATAAAACATTAAAACTTTTTTCTTTTTTCTGTACAAAACATAAAGTTTGTGGACACTTTATGAGAATGTGAACTAAATTTTAGACTGGAGGATTTTTTTTTTACAGACTTTATTTTTAGCAGGCTTCATTTCGCCAACATTTTGAGAAAGAATAAGAAAAATAAGCCTAAAAATATATTATTCTTAATAATAGTTCTCTTCTATAAAACATAAAAAATGTGAAAGCTAAAATAATATAAAGAACAAAACATTTACTAATATTTACAGTTTTTATATTAATTCTTTATGTTACATTTTCTTTTGTACAGCTGAACTTTTTTACAATATAAAACTAAATACAAATATATGACACTATTATATACAGTCAGAAACATTGCATAACATTTTATTTATAACAAAAGTAAAAGAGTTTTCTTGTGGCTGTTAAAATGTTGAGGTGAGCAGGCAGACTGCCAAAGTTGCAAACACAACTGTTACAGATGGGAGACACGTTGCTGAAAAATAAAATGTTTAACATTTCGTTTCCACCAATTTATTCCAACTTTCATACAACGTTCAATATTCATTAAGTCTTCGGAAAGAAAACTTTCATGTATTATGCGAACAATCAACCTGAAGGAAAAAATACAACACAGGTAAATATAAATATTTGGTGACATTACCTGCAGTATTAATATCAGGAAGGTAAGGTGCCAAACTTGGATTTTTTGCATTGAGGTACTGAACAAATAAACTCCTTAGTGAACTCCTTTTAAAGCCTGAAATACAACAGAGAATGTTAAAGTATTTACTCCAAAATGGCAAAAATTAAAATAAATGGATAAGAGTTGTAACAATGTTGTAGAAATAGTCTAATGTCTGACCAGTAAAATCTATTGTTAAATGGTGTAATGTTAACTAACCTGTAAAGTTTACTGTTGAACGTTACAATTTTGTTAAATCGTAAAATCTATTGTTAAATCTATTTTTAATTAACCTGTAAAGTTTACTATTGAAAGTTACAATTTTGTTACAGCTAATGACTCACCTGTAAAATGCACCAAGACTTTGGTTTTACCAGCTGCATCACTGATGTGTTGAACAACTACTTCTGTACGTGAAGCTCCAATAGCATTGGCATAAACCTTTGCTATCCCTAGCCTTAAAATAAAGAAAATTAGTTTAATTTGAACAAAGAAACAAACATTATTTTACATTATTTAGTTATTTTGTTTTAAACTAAAACGTTTTAAGTATCAAGTTAGTTTATCATATCTGTTATGTTATATTTTTAAAAATTAACTCAGCTATGTTTTAAAAATATTTACCAGGCCAACTGAGGTATTAAAAAAAAATTACTTGTCTAACAAAGATGGAGTCTTGAACTCAACAGGCACAGCATCACTTGTGACAGGAATGATATCAGCACATGCAAGCCTTGTTGCCCCCATCCCACTCACATGAAGGACCATTGATCTGCCTTGCACTAAAACATTTCACACAGCAGGTGTTATCAGCACTGTACAGCTATAAACACACTCACTGATTTACTCTAGCACATTTGGTTGTTATGTCAGCTACTTAATTGCTGATCAATTTTCAAATGCAAACAAATAATTATTTTAGAGCAGCACACAAGTTAAATCTTTAGCTGCAGTTAGGATACATGGCTCCACAAGTGACCCAGTAAACAGGTAACTACGGGTTGGGTAATATCATGTGCTAAATCACCTGAAAATTCCCCAATTAACGGTAAATCAACATCTGTGACCAACTTTCTCCCACTTCCAACATCATAGGTGCCCAGTTTCATGGCTTGGTCACCAACTTCACACCGCAGTGGATTTAAAGCTCTGCATTCACTGTTGTAGTTCATCTGATAAATTGTTATCATAGAAGGCAATAAGAATTTAAGGGCATTCATTCTAACATTTAGAAAAAAGCAGAAGTGAGTACTACTAAATTAACATTGTATTCCTATGTAACAGTAAATTTGGGATGTCACTTCCAGTGGAATCAAGCTACAGAAACAATACATGTTTGTGATATAACTACTTTTGGACAACACATATGACGAGGAACAGGCATTACAATACACTGTTTTATATGATATAAAATTATTAATTCTGAAGTTTGCGAAATTGCAAACAGAATATGCACAGTTTCTGGTTACCAGAAATAGCTCTCAAGTTGAAATAAACTAATAAACTTATGTTTCAAATCAAATAATTATGAGCACACACACACACAGACACAAATACTCAAGAAGTTTTAAGGATAAAACTGTCCTATAATAATTTGTCTACCGTGTTGGCTATCGTCTAGTAAGGATCAAAATGCTCTATAATAATTTGACTACCATGTTGGCTATTATCTTGTAAGGATCAAAATGTAAGGATCAAAATGCTCTATAATAATTTGACTACCATGTTGGCTATTATCTTGTAAGGATCAAAATGTAAGGATCAAAATGCTCTATAATAATTTGTCTACCGTGTTGACTATTGTCTTGTAAGGATCAAAATGCTCTATAATAATTTGACTACCATGTTGGCTATTATCTTGTAAGGATCAAAATGTAAGGATCAAAATGCTCTATAATAATTTGTCTACCGTGTTGACTATTGTCTTGTAAGGATCAAAATGCTCTATAATAATTTGTCTACCGTGTTGACTATTGTCTTGTAAGGATCAAAATGCTCTATAATAATTTGTCTACCGTGTTGACTATTGTCTTGTAAGGATCAAAATGCTCTATAATAATTTGTCTACCGTGTTGACTATTGTCTTGTAAGGATCAAAATGCTCTATAATAATTTGTCTACCGTGTTGACTATTGTCTTGTAAGGATCAAAATGCTCTATAATAATTTGTCTACCGTGTTGACTATTGTCTTGTAAGGATCAAAATGAAGGCCAGTACTGTTGCACCTGGCTGTGGTGGCGTTGCTGTCCCCGTTCACTGGGTACATGTGGGTGTGCCAGTTGTGGGATGGACTCTGAAGGAAAGAACCCAGGAATTTGTCACAAAAGGCAAGTTTTAAGTCAGGATAATTTTTAAGGTAAAAATATAATGGAGTGACGTTTTTTAAAATCAAATTTTTTATAAGTAGCCACTTGAATGTTATTACTGACCTTGGCACCTGTCGAGTCGTTCAGGTGAACAGTGATTGAAGTGTCACTCATTGTGCCATCAGTATACACTGTCTGAGACTAGTAATAAAAAATTATATTCCAATTGTTATTTGCTCATGGAAATTATAGTCTCAGAGAAAATTGTTAATGTTAAAATAAAAGTAATAAAGATGTTAGTGCACAATCAAGTTTGGTTTTTGACTGTGTAAACAATAAAGTTTGATCATGATTACAACCATATATTTATTGTCCAAATGTGTGGTCACAATAATCTATGAATCAGCTTGCCGAATGGGAATGAGTTAACTTGATTACAATAAAAGTGACTAGTGACAATTTTAAATTATTTTAAAATATTTTTTTAATGCTCTAGCTGCTCTACCTATATATTTTCATGTGTCATTAATTACCCACCAATAAATAGTTCCATTTCCTATATCACCTAACTTCCAACATTCGTTACATGCCTAAATAGTTCTGACAATTCCTTATGTTATCTTACAGGTGTTACCCAGCAAAAAAATAGTTCCCACAATTCCTTGTTATCTTACAGGTGTAACCCACCAAAAAAATAGTTCCCACAATTCCTCCAGTGAAGTTGGATACAGCAGTGACAAGCTGGCCGCTGACATCAGACATGTGCGTCACTATGGTAGCACAAGCCACAATCCTGTTGCTGGTGGTGTCCACTACAACCAGACTCCTCCCTGCAACACTTGTCAGGCCAGTCAAAGGCAGATTCAGGTTCACCCACTGCTTCTGTGTTCCAAATCTTTCTAAATCTCCAATCTTTCAGGAAAAGAATAAATTTTAGTTTTAAGAAAATATAAACGAAAACTAAAAGATTATTTCATTAAATTCTCAGTTAATGTGTCTTTACTCTGTTTTGACCAGATTTAATTTAAAAGTTTGTTTTGTTTAAAAGATGTAAAAATAAATCAACAATTTTTACTTTGTATGTATCATCAGTAGATTGCACTGTATTCACATTTAGAGGGTTATAAACTGATCCAATGCCTGAACACTTATCATCATTTGGAGGCAGATCATATATCCTTAACCTAAAAGTGGAAGATTATAATATATCATTAGCCTAAAAGTTGAAGATTATAATATATCATTAGCCTAAAAGTGGAAGATTATAATATATCAGTAGCCTAAAAGTTTAAGATTATAATATATCAGTAGCCTAAAAGTGGAAGATTATAATATATCAGTAGCCTAAAAGTTGAAGATTATAATATATCAGTAGCCTAAAAAGTTGAAGATTATAATATACGAGAAAAATGGCCCGTTGAGGAAGGATACAACGGGCGCTAGGCTGATAGTGCTGTCTCTTTTCTCTAAACTAAAACCAACCCCCCCCCAAGAAACTCTTCACGCAAACCATTTAGATTAGACAAAATTTCCTTTTTATTCAATGTTTACTTGAGAATCAATGACGTCATATTACTGTGTGCACTCTCTTGAGATTATTTTCTACTCTATGCTAAATGTGACCGCGTCATACTTCGTTTTTCAAATTACTGTGCATGTTTTTATTTTGCTTGTGTTTTCTCTACAGCGTTCTTGTCAGATAGATAGATACATAGACAGACAGCGAAACTATTAGTATTAATTAGTAGCCTAAAAGTTGAAGATTATAAAATATCATTAGCCTAAAAGTGAAAGATTATATATTATTAGGGGTCGGCGTGGTCGAGTCGGTAAAGCTCATGGTTGCTAAACCGAAAAGTCTCGAGTTCGAACCCTCGGGCAGATGAGGCTCGTTAGCTGGGGACAGCCACTCTTCTAGGAGAGACAACTCCAAAATCAAACAACTGCTGCCTGGTAGTTTGTTCTTGGTTGGACAAAGGTTATGGAAGCAAATCCAAAAAGAAAAGCAGGCTGAAATCGGAGTCAATGGCCTCAATGGCGCATAACCAGTTGACACGTAATCCTTAATTGTGATGGAAGCATGGTCGAGTCGGCAAAGCTCATGATTGATAAATTCGAAAAAAGTCTCGAGTTCAAACCCTCTGGCAGATAAGGCTCGATCCCTCCCAACACTAAAAATTAAGAACGAAGAAGAAGAAGATATATTATTAGCCTAAAAGTGGAATAAGTAATTAAAAAATATAAATTTTGTTAAAGAGCAAAGAAGAGCTATGTAGATCATTTAGATTAAAAGATCCTGTTCATGCCTCACATTTCTAATTTTTACAATCAAATGAGCACCTAAACAACGCACTAAAAGTTTGTGGACCTGTGGCTATCTGTAAGTCCTGTCAGTTCATTGACCCCTGAGGTTTCTAGGGCCCCAAATCCAGGTGACTGCGTGAAAGTGACCATCCCTCCAACACCATTCATGGACAGGTGAGCAGCTAAAGTTGGCTGGGGTACGGGCTCGATGTTAGCACAGGATAAAATACTGGAGCTACCAGGGCTCAGGATGACCAGAGATCTTCCAATAATGGACTGAGGTCCTGACAGGGGCAGGTATGTGTCAGTAAATACCAATCTTTTTCCTGTATCTGAAAAGAAACCAGCAGTAGAAGTGATGTAAAGATTTGCTGGGAGGGACAGCTGAGGTAGAATCAATGAAGGAAATCTGGATTTTTTTGACAGTCCATCTAGATTATGTAAATCTATTAAGCTAATCTGAGTCTTCTACGGTTAAATATTCTAGATGGTCAACATCTTGGCATGTTAAATATTCTAGATGGTTGGTATCTTGGCCAGTTAAAAGACAAATACACTAATACATTTTATGTGTCAGTAAAATAATATAATGCACACAACAAAATCTAGGATACGTTTGTATACAAGAGAAGTATACTTAAAAGAAAATGATTTCCCTTTACTCCTTTTGACCATCTATAGTAAAAAAAATATATCAGTGATTCTTGGTTTGAAATAGTTGTCACTATTGTTTAGACAGATAGTTATAGTTACCACTATTGTTCAGACAGATAGGTTTAGTTACCACTATTGTTTAGACAGATAGTTATAGTTACCACTATTGTTCAGACAGATAGGTTTAGTTACCACTATTGTTTAGACAGATAGTTATAGTTACCACTATTGTTCAGACAGATAGTTTTAGTTACCACTATTGTTGAGACAGATAGTTTTAGTTACCACTATTGTTTAGACAGATAGGTTTAGTTACCACTATTGTTGAGACAGATAGTTTTAGTTACCACTATTGTTTAGACAGATAGGTTTAGTTACCACTATTGTTGAGACAGATAGTTTTAGTTACCACTATTGTTTAGATAGATAGTTTTAGTTACCACTATTGTTCAGACAGATAGGTTAAGTTACCACTAATGTTCAGACAGATAGTTTTAGTTACCATTGTTGGTGACTGCATTCCGTATTTCTAAAGTTCCAAGTCTGGAGGTTAGGTCCCCCACAGGTGTGAAGATGGGCTCAGTTGTCTGGCACCTTTTGTCATCCATGGCTGACAATGGCGCTATCTGGAACAGTGGGATTTGTTGTGTGCAACAAGTATAAAACATACAGAACAAGTTGAAGAAAGTAAAACAAGAAACAAACAGAACAATTTGGAAACAATATAAAAAATATAGCACAAACAAAAACTTAAATGCAGTAAGAATGGACAATATTGACAATATTGTAAACATTTTAAAATTAAACTTGGAATTAATATGGAAATAGTCTAGATAAAATCACGTTGACAGAAATGTGTCAGCTACATTTTTGTCTAATTGTTAGAGATCCTTACCAAAATATAAAGCTATTAACTCTACACAAAAATATTGTTTATAATGTCATACTTGATTTGTATTAATTCTCCATGGATGACCTTGAGTTGGTGACCGTCCATCATTGTAGTCCAGCAGTAAAAAAATGGAAGTTTCTGATAAAGGCCGGTCCAACTCCTGCATAAACAGCACCTGCCCAATGACGGGGAACTTGAACGTTGCTCTGGCCAGAACAACTGGGGCTAGAGGTCTGATGTTGGCACACACCCATCTGGTCAAACATTCAGGCAGGAACATTGGTCATTTGATGACCAGAGTAGCCATGTCATGTCTTAAACAAGAGTCAGTGACCATGTCAAGTCTTAAACAAGAGTCAGTGGCCATGTCATGTCTTAAACAAGAGTCAGTGACCATGTCAAGTCTTAAACAAGAGTCAGGGACTATGTCAAGTCTTAAACAAAAGTCAGTGAACGCATCAAGTCTTAAGAGTCAGTGACCATGTCAAGTCTTAAACAAGAGTCAGTGACCACATCAAGTCTTAAACAAGAGTCAGTGACCACAAGAAGTCTTAAGAGTCAGTTACCATGTCAAGTCTTAAACAATAGTCAGTGTCCACATCAAGTCTTAAACAAGAGTCAGTTACTATGTCAAGTCTTAAACAAGAGTCATTTAAGTCTCTATCTTGACCAAGAGTTAGTGATATTTTCAAGTCTTAAGACACATCCCATCATATTTTTTTATTTGAAACCCTAACTCATAACAACTAGATCTAGATCTATGTGGTGATGTAAGTTTGGTAAAATGGTTGTTTTTGAAAAAATGGTTAAAATGTATACAAAGAGTATAATTACTATAATGGCTATTCTGGCTCTAGACTTGTAAAGGTTTTAAAAGATCTAGATGTGAATGTTTTGCTGGCTCTAGACTGGTAAAGGTTTTAAAAGATCTAGATGTGAATGTTTTGCTGGCTCTAGACTGGTAAAGGTTTTAAAAGATCTAGATGTGAATGTTTTGCTGGCTCTAGACTGGTAAAGGTTTTAAAAGATCTAGATGGGAAAGTTTATAAATTATAACCTACCTGCTGGCACTTGAGTCATTGCGGTGAATGACCAAAGACCGACCAATGATGCTGTTAGTTCCATATAAAGGTAAATTCCAGTCTTTGTATGAGCTGTTTAATTCATTGAGACCTTCAAGGGTTCCATACTTAGCACTCAGGTCTCCAACCTCATACATGTCGTTGGTGGTACTCCCAGGAGTGGGGTAGGTTGGGGAGTTGACGTCTTTTTTGTAGGGGTTGAAATGTGCAGCCACAACCACGGGGCCGCAAAGATCTTGCCCTGCCACGGTCTTTGTGGGCGTGGGCCAGAGGTGGACATGGTATCCTTTGGCTGCTGATCTCAGACCTGTTAAACTGACTTCTGTCGTTGTCTGGTCTAGGGGCGACAACTGAGAAAATATGACAGATCCTGTGACACCATCATGACTGAATTTCACAACTGCTTTTCGAAGTGCAAAAATTTTAATTTCTGCACAGAAGAAACTGCTGTTATCAGAGGGATAAACAAGTAAAAGTTTGTTTTCTATACTCGATCCTCCGGCAAGAGGAAGATTTCTATCAGAAAATCCAAGCCGTCGCTCTCCTTTCGTAGCCCCTGTGATGACGTTACCTAGCTTGTCAACAAGATTTCCCACAGCGCACAAAGTGGGATTACTCTGGCTGCATCCACCGCCGGCAACATTATTTGGGTTATATACCTTGGCGTTTTGAAACGTAACCAACGAACAATTACTGAATGAGTCTGTAATTCTCCACGATAGACTCCTGAGGTTGGTATTGTCAGTGTATAAGTCAGCGACGATGCGAGTTACCGAACCTGTCACTGTAGGGTTGAGTTGGCGGAAATACACGAGGCCAGACAGGACGCCACGGAACTTGGCGACGGCTGTGACGTGTGTGGCGTCTGCTTGTAGCGTGGCGCAGATAGTTTTAGTGTCCGTTTTCAGAACTATTGAGTGACCTACAATAAGATAAAATAAATAGGACACGTTCAAAACTCTCTTTAACATTACTACTTTGCATTGCAAACAGAGTTTCTTCCAGGCATCTCTTCGGGGGGCGGGGGGGGGGGGCGGAGCCCACCCGCAGAGGGTCTACCGCCCCCTCCCCCCCTCGAACGAACTGGAATTTATATAGAAAATATATACTTTTAACAGCGTCCGCCCCCGGAAATTTTAGTCCGATCCCCCCTCCCCCGAAAATTTCTAGAAAATAAATTTCAAGTACCCCCCCCCCCCCCCCCCCCCAGAGAAAAAAAGTCTGGAAGAAACACTGCAAATTTGCAAAGCTGCAAATTAGATGCGATAATTTTACAATCGATAAGCATAAATGTTGCCCAAGCCGTAACGTCTTCATTTATAGAACTGTTATTATTTATAGATCTACGGAGAAATTGGCAGTTCACTTATTTATTTGCCTTTTCACGTAAATGTATACCTATTGTAGACAGCGGATTTACCAAGTTCAAATTCTTTGTTTTCTTGAGTTGTTTTTTTTTAAATTTAAGGTGAATATTTAAGCTGTGAATAAGGAAAGGGCCTTTTGTTATTTTCGCGACTTTTAAAAATTATTTTAATGCTTTAACCAAGATAGTTAAATCTTTGTTAACAAAGTCAATAAACAATGTTTAAAAAAAAATTAAAATGAACACGTGACTTGCGTGAACCAAGGGAGACAACGAGGCGACTCACCTGTAACATGATCCCAGGTGAGAATGTTCTGGAATATCACATTTGTCTGGGTGTTGGCCTGCAGGGTCACACTTTGACTCAACCTGTTGTATAGAACATAGATCTAGATAAGATCTTTGTGGACATAGAACATAGATCTAGATAAGATCTTTGTGGACATAGAACATAGATCTAGATAAGATCTTAGTGGACATAGATCTAGATAAGATCTTTGTGAACATAGAACATAGATCTAGATAAGATCTTAGTGGACATAGATCTAGATAAGATCTTTGTGAACATAGAACATCGATCTAGATAAGATCTTTGTGGACATAGAACATAGATCTAGATAAGATCTTTCTGGACATAGAACATAGATCTATATACGATCTTTGTGGACATAGAACATAGATCTAGATAAGATCTTTCTGGACATAGAACATAGATCTAGATAACATCTTTCTGGACATAGAACATAGATCTAGATAACATCTTTCTGGACATAGAACATAGATCTAGATAAGATCTTTCTGGACATAGAACATAGATCTAGATAAGATCTTTGTGAACATAGATCTATATAAGATCTTTCTAGACATTGATCTATATAAGATCTTTCTGGACATAGATCTATATAAGATCTTTGTGGACATAGAACATAGATCTAGATAAGATCTTAGTTCATAGAACATAGATCTAGGTAAGATCTTTGTGGACATAGAACAAAGATCTATATAAGATCTTTCTGGACATAGAACATAGATCTAGATAAGATCTTAGTTCATAGAACATAGATCTAGGTAAGATCTTTGTGGACATAGAACATAGATCTATATAAGATCTTTCTGGACATAGAACATAGATCTAGATAAGATCTTTGTGGACATAGATCTAGATAAGATCTTTGTGGACATAGAACATAGATCTAGATAAGATCTTTGTGAACATAGAACATACACCTTGATAAGATCTTTATAGACATAGATCATAGATCTAGATACGATCTTTTTGAACATAGATCTATATAAGATCTTAGTGGACATAGATCTATATAAGATCTTAGTGGGCATAGATCTATATAAGATCTTAGTGGACATAGATCTATATAAGATCTTAGTGGACATCGATCTATATAAGATCTTTGTGTACATAGAACGTAGATCTAGATACATCTTTGTGGACATAGAACATAGATTTAGATTCTAGACACTTTCATTCTGAATATATATCAAGAAGCGTTACTTGTGGATATAATTTAGACCATACATCTGAAAACATATTTCTTTCTATCCCTTTCCGCTTATTTAATCACGACTTTCGACAGAGGGCAAAGACATACCTGTAAAACATGACAAAGAACTACACTGTAAGACATGACAAAGACCTAGCCTGACAGATGACACAATAAAGACCAAGCCTGCGACAGTCACCAAAGACCTACCCTGTAGACATGAAAAATACCTAGCCTGCAACAGTCGACAGACCTAGCCTGCGACAGACACCAAAGACCTACCATGTAGACATAGCAAAGACCTAGCCTGAGACAGTCGACAAAGACCGACCTGTAAAACACGAGAAAGACCTAGTATGTAAGACATGACAAAGACCTAGCCTGCGACAGACGACACAACAAAGACCAAGCCTGCGACAGTCACCAAAGACCTACCCTGTAGACCTGACTAAGACCTACCCTGTAGACCTGACAAAGACCTACCCTGCGACAGTCACCAAAGACCTACCCTGTAGACCTGACAAAGACCTAGCCTGCGACAGTCACCAAAGACCTACCATGTAGACCTGACAAAGACCTACCCTGTAGACCTGACTAAGACCTAGCCTGCGACAGTCACCAAAGACCTACCCTGTAGACATGACAAAGACCTAGCCTGAGACAGTCGACAAAGACCTACCTGTAAAACACGAGAAAGACCTAGTGTGTAAGACATGACTAAGACCTACCCTGCAACAGTCACCAAAGACCTACCCTGTAGACCTGACAAAGACCTACCCTGTAGACCTGACAAAGACCTACCCTGCGACAACCTCGCCGAGCTGTGTGTTGGAGCACTTGTCCTCCACGTCATACTCCAGCCACACGGGGTGGATCTCCACGGTGGTCTGCCCCATGGTCTCCGTCACGTTGAGCGTCACGGTGAGGGCATTGTTGCCCCAGGACGTCTGGACGGTGCCCCTGACACCCAGCATGTGGATCTCACCCACCAGAGTCTGGCCACTGCATACACCCACAACTGTAGATAGAGACAATATGTTAGGGTCTAGCCACTGCATACACCCACAACTGTAGATAGACACAATATGTTAGGGTCTGGCCACTGCATACACCCACAACTGTAGATAGACACAATATGTTAGGGTCTAGCCACTGCATACACCCACAACTGTAGATAGACAAGGTGTTATCTAGGGGCTGGGTCAAACACATATTGGTCAATGTTTTGTCCAAGGCCTGAAGACTCAGACCCCTCAAGGGCCTGAACACCAGACCCCTTAAGGACCTGAACACCAGACCCCTCAAGGACCTGAACACCAGACCCCTTAAGGACCTGAACACCAGACCCCTTAAGGGTCTGGCCAGCAAACGTCGAGCGGTCATCATTTACGAGAGCTAACAGAGACCCATATCAGCCATCGACTGACTCACCGGCTGACTCCAGTGGATGACTCCAGTGGATGACTCCACTGTAACTCAACATTTACTTTATATTACCGGCAACTTTTTAAAACCCCAAATGCTGAATTTTAATAATTAAAATGCCTTCATTCGTTAGTCCCTGCTAAGCATCCCATTACTAAGATCTCGATTGTTAAAGATCCCAATCTTAAAGATCCCAATCTTAAAGATCCCAACCTTAAAGATCACAATCTTAACAATCCTTAAATTAAAAACCCTAATACCGAACATCCAAATGTTTACCTATGTTAATACCCCCCCCCCCCCCACGGCTATGTCAGCCACGCCCACTATACAAACACACAGCACGCGACACACTGTGTTGGGTATTGCCCACAATTCTCTCCCTTTCTACATCATACAATTTTTAATAATTATTTCGGTTCAACGGACGGAGGAACTAGATATTATTTACAATCTGTTATTTTTAGAACAGAATGTTAACATTTTACTACAGTTAACTGATATATAGAATGTTAACATTTTACTAGAGTTACCGGGTATATAAAATGTTAACGTTTTACTAGAGTTACCTCATTTATAGAATGTTAACATTTTACTAGAGTTACCTGATATAAAGAATGTTAACATTTTACTACAGTTACAGGGTATATAGAATGTTAACTCGTTAACTGCTTTATAAGTTATTGCATTGATAGAAAGTTACATTTTTTTCTCAGCGATGAATACGCAGAGAAACGTACATTTAAAATTGGTTGGAAAATAAGGTTCACTTGATTTTATTGCCAGTCTTATTTTTTAAAAAAATGCAACAACAACAACACACTGGATTCAACGTTTTAATACCATTCATGGGTGGATCTCATGGCATTAGAGCTCCAGTCGTGCGTGAAGTGTCGGGCTGTACTTTAATGTGAACACCAGAGGTTTGTTCACAGAGAGCTGGGGGTGATAAGGAGGGGGAGAAGCTCGGTACATTCAAACTTCAGTACAAGGCGGGGTCTAACATTCGGAGGTTAGGACTGACATTTTGAGGGCAGAACTGACAATATGAGGGCAGAACTGTGACAATTTGAGGGCAGAACTGTGACAATCTGAGGGCAGAACTGTGACAATCTGAGGGCTGAGACGTACACACGAACGCACGCTTATAGGCAGACAGACAGAAACGATTGCAAATCTCGCTTTTTTTCCTATTCAGAGAGGCGTAAAACGTTAAGATTTTGTCTTCCACTGAAAAAATCTAGCTTGACCTCACTGTCAGTAAACCTGAGTGTGCCTGCCCTATTCCACACACCATGAACCAACCCAATAGCGTCAACTTCAGCCTATATCATCAACATCAGCCCATATCTAACCCATAGCGTCAACATCAGCCCATAGTGTCAACATCAGCCCATATCATCAACATCAGCCCATATCCAACCCATAGAGTCAACATCAGCCCATATCAAACCCATAGCATCAACATCAGCCCATATCAAACCCATAGCATCAACATCAGCCCATATCCAACCCATAGTGTCAACATCAGCCCATATCAAACCCATAGCATCAACATCAGCCCATATCAAACCCATAGCGTCAACATCAGCCCATATCAAACCCATAGCGTCAACATCAGCCCATATCCAACCCATAGTGTCAACATCAGCCCATATCAAACCCATAGCATCAACATCAGCCCATATCAAACCCATAGCGTCAACATTAGCCCATATCCAACCCATAGCGTCAACATCAGCCCATATCAAACCCATAGCGTCAACATTAGCCCATATCCAACCCATAACGTCAACATCAGCCCATATCTAACTTATAGCGTCCACATCAACCCATAGCGTCAACATCAGCCCATATCAAACCCATAGCGTCAACATTAGCCCATATCCAACCCATAGCGTCAACATCAGCCCATATCCAACACATAGCGTCAACATCAGCCCATATCCAACGAATAGTGTCAACATCAACCCATATCTAACCCATAGCGTCAACATCAACCCATAGCGTCAACATCAGCCCATATCCAACACATAGCGTCAACATCAGCCCATATCCAACCCATAGCGTCAACATCAGCCCATATCCAACTCATAGTGTCAACATCAGCCCACATCCAACCCATAGCGTCAACATCAGCCCATATCTAACCCATAGCGTCAACATCAGCCCATAGCGTCAACATCAGCCCATATCCAACACATAGCGTCAACATCAGCCCATATCCAACCCATAGCGTCAACATCAGCCCATATCCAACCCATAGCGTCAACATCAGCCCATATCTAACCCATAGCGTCAACATCAGCTCATAGCGTCAACATCAGCCCATATCTAACCCATTGCGTCAACATCAGCCCATATTTAACCCATAGCGTCAACATCAGCCCAAATCTAACCCATAGCGTCAACATCAACCCATATCCAACCCATAGCGTCAACATCAGCCCATATCTAACCCATAGCATCAACATCAGCACATATCTAACCCATAGCGTCAACATCAGCCCATATCCAACCCATAGCGTCAACATCAGCCCATAGTGTCAACATCAGCCCATATCTAATCCATAGCGTCAACATCAGCCCATATCCAACCCATAGCGTCAACATCAGCCCATATCTAACCCATAGCGTCAACATCAGCCCATAGTGTCAACATCAGCCCATATCTAACCCATAGCGTCAACATCAGCCCATATCCAACCCATAGCGTCAACATCAGCCCATATCTAACCCATAGCGTCAACATCAGCCCATAGCGTCAACATCAGCCCATATCTAACCCATAGCGTCAACATCAGCCCATATCCAACCCATAGCGTCAACATCAGCCCATATCCAACACATAGCGTCAACATCAGCCTATATCTAACCCATTTCGTCAACATCAGCCCATATCCAACCCATAGCGTCAACATCAGCCCATATCCAACCCATAGCGTCAACATCAGCCCATATCTAACCCATAGCGTCAACATCAGCCTATATCTAATCCATTGCGTCAACATCAGCCCATATCTAACCCATAGCGTCAACATCAGCCCATATCCAACCCATTGCGTTTTTAAAAGCGTTTGACTCTTTACATAGTAGGCCGATAGTTTTTTTGCTATATTTTTTTTACAAGTAAACATAATGTTTTGTAGACACAGTGAATAGGGTACCGAATGTAGGCATTATTTTGTTATCGAGGGAGGGGTCACATTTTTCTGTCAGATATATATATATATATATATATATATATATATATATATATATATATATATATATATATATATATATATATATATAGCTATAAATCAATAAATTTTGACACCTGATCCACAACCATTCAAGGATATAACCGATCCAGAGTTCAATCAACTGTTTTGTAGTCTGGGGTAAGCATGGGGTGGGGGGGGGGGGGGCTTTTAGCCGCACTCACTAATGTTAGTGGGTGGAGGTAGGCTAAATCAACCAACATACATCATTCAGTTGGAAGGCTAAGACACAACTATGTCTTAAGCGAAACGTCCTAATAGTTGCGTTCGTACTGTGGTCACATGTGTAGACAATTTACAACACACCAACACAACAACACATCAACACAACAACATACCAACACAACAACACATCAACATACCAACACAACAACACAACAACACACCAACACAACAACACAACAACACACCAACATACCAACACACCAACACAACACAACAACACAACAACACAATAACACATCAACATACCAACACACCAACACAACACAACAACACACCAACACATCAACACACCAACACAACAACACAACAATATACCAACACACCAACACACCAACACAACAACACAACAACACAACAACACGCCAACACAACAACACAACAACACGCCAACACAACAACACAACAACACAATAACACACCAACACAACAAAACACCAACACAACAAAACACCAACACAACAAAACACCAACACAACAACACACCAACACAACAACACACCAACACAACAACACACCAATCCTTAGGCCTATACAAAAAACACAACGATCATACAACACGTGTGACGAATTTTCACAAGCCATAAAACATAACACAGTAGAAGAGGCTGCCTACAGTGGACATATGAGACAGACCTACAGTGGACATACGAGACAGACCTACACTGGAAATATGAGACAGACCTACAGTGGAAATATGAGACAGACCTACAGTGGAAATATGAGACAGACCTACAGTGGAAATATGAGACAGACCTACAGTGGAAATATGAGACAGACCTACAGTGGAAATAAGAGACAGACCTACAGTGGAAATATGAGACAGACCTACAGTGGAAATATGAGACCTACAGTGGAAATATGAGACAGACCTACAGTGGAAATATGAGACAGACCTACAGTGGAAATATGAGACAGACCTACAGTGGAAATATGAGACCTACAGTGGAAATATGAGACAGACCTACAGTGGAAATATGAGACCTACAGTGGAAATATGAGACAGACCTACAGTGGAAATATGAGACAGACCTACAGTGGAAATATGAGACAGACCTACAGTGGAAATATGAGACAGACCTACATGAACATGTAGCTGGCAGATCACGGTATTTGGTAAATTAGGCTCGTAACACTAACAGGTTCAATGTTACATAACCACGAAACACGGGCTTCGTATATTTAGGCTTGTAACATGTTCATCATCGACTATTTTAGGTGTGTTGGGCCCTGCGACTATTTTAGGTGTGTTGGGCCCTGCGACTATTTTAGGCGTGCTGAAGCTAATTGAAACATTGTTTGAAACAACACTACACAAAGCAAACGGTGTAACATGTTTATCTCTTCACAAAAGAGACGGCCTTACACAGGTGAACGTTGATAAACAAATAAACAAGAGGCACTCTTGTTTTGGTGCGCAGAAAGTGAATACATTTTTTTTACAATTGTTGACCAACTTAAAATGTAACTATAAATAAGTCATTAAAACTGGCGACATAATAAGTTATGTAAATAGTGGCTAATTTAATGCAGATGTATCTAACTGATGAACTGCGTCCACTGGGTACGCTAAAGGTTGAGAACGGACAAGTCATTACCTGCGACAATGAGAATAACAACAAGCGGTGACATCGCCATGTTGTAGTGAAGACACCACTGACTAACTGACGCACAAGTTCATTAAGTGTCTGAAATAATTTAGTCGTGTTGTGACGACCCGCGGCAGATGGGCTTTAGTTCCGCTGTGAAATATTATCCATCCAATATGTAAGATAGGCTCGGCTTGTTTTCACAACTGGCCTAAATTCTGCCCCGGGCCGAGATTAGCTGGCTATTGACAGACCGGTAGCGACCCATTTCGGTCCCCACGTGCCCAGGTAAGAGAAGGAGAGGGGGGGGGATCTTATAGTGTTTTCACCTTCCATTATCATAGGCTAGAAGGTCAGGAGCGACTCGACAAACAAATAAATGAGAGACAATCGATGTTTTACTGGTTGTACATGTGTGAGTATCTTGGGTGTACATAGTGAACGGGTTTCTTTCAGGCACCTCTTCGGGATGGAGGGGGGGGAGTGGTTATTTAATTTCATAAAAATAATTAGACATCGAATGAACCAAATATTATATCAGTCAGATGCATTGTCATCAAATCTTGACCCACGTGCCAAGTTTGAAACAAATCAGCCAGTTAGAAGTGCTCGAAATTTCGCTCGCCCGTTTCGATCCATGACGGACAATAGAAAGAAAAACATAGGAAGCAAGTTAAATAAAAGCTAGTAAAAAGAGAGGAAGCAAGTTAAATAAAAGCTTGTAAAAACAGAGGAAGCAAGTTAAATAAAAGCTTGTAAAACAAGACACTTTTCGCTCTTTTTGACAGTTGAGTGGAGTGGGCGTCTAATTCCAATCACACGTTTTTCACATGGGACAATTTGCCACGTTGGACCACATAAGCTACATTCACGCCATAACTGGCAACGACAACATCTTGAGTGCCAGGTTTTCCCCCAACTTCATATTTTACAGGGAACACTCGAATTATTATTTGAATAAAGCCCCTGTCAATCCGTTAAAACACTAGAGCTCAAGTAATCTCTAAACCATCTTTTTAAATCTTTATCTTCAAGTAATCTCTAAACCATCTTTTAAAATCTTTATCTTCACGCGCTGAACGTTTTAAACCCAGGCCAAATCAAAACCCGTCGTCGCTGACCCATAAACACGTCACACCACTTATTGTTTGATTGGCTCTTAATGGAGTTTTTACAGGAAATCAAAAACAATTTGCTTTATCAAGATTTTTTTTTCTATTAGATATGTTTACTTTGCTGTGTGTTGCTACATGGAACAGACTGTAATCATGTATATAATGTCGGGGGTCAATCGTGTGTGACAGTTGAACACCTGGCAATCGGAAGTGAATAGGTGAGCGATTACTCGTCTATTTGTCATGTTTTTGTGGTGTCGCTCACAGACTGAAATGCGTGAGTGAGAGAGTTTATAACCTGAGTGAATGGGGTGCTAGGGAGGCCACCTAGATGAACACAAGGGGAAGCTGTGTTTTGACTGTTAGTGTTAGCACTTAAAATGTATCCAATATTATTCCTGTGATTCTTATCTTGTGCATTCATACACTTTGATTTTAAGTGCTATATCAAACTGTTGATGTTTGATTACTGAAATGAACTGTGTTGATTATGGATTTAACTATTGTAAAAAAGTTGTGAAATGAAGCAGCAGTTTATCAGCTGCCCTTAAAAGAAGAACCCACAAGAAAAACTATATATAAGTCCATATTAATTTAATCTAACAGGGGTCGGCGTGGTCGAGTCGATAAAAGCTCATGATTGCTAAACCGAAAAGCAGGCTTAAATTGGAGTCAATGGATGGCGCATAACCAGTTGACACGTATACTTAATTGTATTGGAGGGGATCCCTTCCAAGACTAAAAGTAAGAAAGAAGAAGAATTTAGTCTACTGTGTACACACTTGTACAAACCAAGACGGACCACTATTGTTTAACTACATAACAAGAACGTACAAATCGCGACACGCATCGTTTTCTCAGACAGCCCAATTCATCAAATCCGACACTGAAAAAATGCGAAAAAAAAACCAAACTTGAAATATCTTATTGAACAAATTTACTAAACATTGAGAAACATTGTTGAAGGCCAATCCGGCAACTTTTAATTTTTCTTGTTTCAAATGTTACCTGTACAAGAAATGTTACCTGTACAAGAAATGAACAGGCCTAAAGACGAGATGATTGATGGCCTAGCGACCCTCTAGCGACCAGTAATGGCGGGGTCTACAGGTGTGTCCGGTCTATTGTGACCGTTAATAAGGATGTGCATATGCGTCATTAGCAGTTATTTTCTCCCCAGGCACTTAATTAGTAAACTTAACAGACGCAGTGGTTCATGTAGTTATAATTATACCAACATTAATTACTTGGATATAATTGAGTTATATTTTTTCATGTCAATAATCAGAGATGTAACATGGTGGTGTATATTAGTTTGTTAATCCATATCTTTACACTTATTTGACTACACATTTCATGATTTATTGAACCAATTATTTAATCAACCACTTAGGCCTGCTTAGATTACTTGAAATTTTTTGTCCAGCCATTGAGGTGGGGTGCAAATGCTTGGGGATAGGGGATTGGAGGGGGGGGAGACGGTAGTTTGGGAGAAGGGTAGAAGGTAGTTTGGGAGTAGGGGAGGGGAGAATTTACTTTTTGCAAGTGAGTAAAGGGTGACCAGCTAATGAGCTGGTCAAGATATTTGAGGTGGACATCCTCCTGATGAACTTGTGACCTGAAAGTGGACATCCTCCTGATGACCTTGTGACCTAAAACTGGACAACCTGATGAAATTGACCATGAGGTGGACATCATCTGACTGTATGGTTTGAACAAAAAGATTTTCAAAGGCAGCATATGAAACTTGAACATTTTTACACAAAATATGTTTATTGTTTACAATTTTATGAACATTTTTACACAACACGTTCATTATTTACAATTTTATTTGTGTTTATCAATGTCATGGATAAAACAGTAGAGAATTGCTAATTAGCTAACTTATGTATTTACATTTCAATATTAGGTCATAAAGTTTGGACTGACCTTTTAAATATAATATAAAAACAAACAAAACAGAAAAGCTAATTGTTTTTAAAGGACTAGACTAAAATAAATATAAAAACACCTGAAAATTTTAAGTGAACAACCTACTCATTTTTTTTATAACCATTGGAAAAATGTTTATTTGGTGCTATTTTCTGGGACACTTCAGTATAAAGTTTGTGTACAGAAAGTAAGTTTTAATTATAAACTATTGGTGATGATAATAAATAAGAAAATACAATAACCAGTCAATAAAATGTAAACACAAGCTTCCCATAGGGGAGGTAATCCCTTCAATGTTTGGTTACCAACAATAAACTAAAATTGGTAAAATTATAAGCGTAATAATTAGTTTGTTAAATTTATTAAAGTCCACTAGTTATGAGAGCTTGATGTAATCTGTAGAATTTTCACATTTATTTGGTTTAATTCTAACGAATGCCAATTAATTTTTGGTAAAGGGAGGTAACATAGGTAAAGAAAATAATTAAAATATCAAATACATAAAAAGAGTTTACAACTGTGACAAGTAAAAACAACAACATACTCTTTACTGTCTATAAATATATCAATGCTGTTTTCATAAAAATATCAATTTTGTAACAAACATTACATTAAAAAATCCTTGATCAGACTGACCCCATAAACTAGTGAATATCAGACTGACCCACATAGAATATTGTATATCAGACATGAACTTCTCTGATACAAGATTTAAAAATTCACACATAAATTGGTAAATGACCACTTGACCATAGATTTAGCAATAAAGCTGTAGGTGACCACTTGACCATAGATTTAGCAATCAAGCTGTAGGTGACCACTTGACAATAAAACTAACCCTCTTCAATATCATCACAGCCCGCTGAGCCAGTCTCAATGAACAGGAATACTGTAAAGCAGTAAATTTTTGCTAAATAATTATTTTATACAAATTCTAAATTTTAAAGGAGTGGCCTAGCGGTAGAGAGCTGGACTGCCATCCGTAAGTATCAAGTTCAAATCCAGGTTCAAGTCAGTAGACCGTCCCTGAGTCCACCCAACTGATGGGTACCTAACTCACATTAGGGAAAGTAAAGGCGGTTGGGCATAGTGCTGACCACACTATCCCTTCATTTGCCAAGGTCACAGAAACAAGTGAACACTACTTCACTTGCCCAGTAGACCATCAGGTTTGAAAGGGAACTTTACTTACTAAAAGACATATAAACAAAACCAATTTCAAGTTTCATAATTCATTCTCAAGTTATTTTCTGTAATAAAAATTTTCTGTGAAAAAATTAAACAGGATTTAAATTTCCCCGGGCCACTATCACATATCTCAAGTGTACATAGGAAGTCATGACATCGATACATACAGCCATGAAACACCAGCACATACAGCCATGAAACATTAGCACATACACCAGTGAACATATACACAGGATGACATATTGCTGCAGGGAAAGAATGATTTCCCCAAACAATTTTGCTAAGCGCTTTGTGTGGGGTATTTAAAATAAAAATCAAATGATTTGATTGCTGCCCCAGTTGGATAGCATTAACAACTGATTTTGTTATATGTGTGTTGGTGTAGTTTGATGTTGTTTATGTGTTGGTGTAGTTTGATGTTGTGTATGTGCTCGTGTAGTTTGATGTTGTTTATGTGCTGATGTAGTTTGATGTTGTTTATGTATTGGTGTAGTTTGATGTTGTTTATGTATTGGTGTAGTTTGATGTTGTTTATATATTGGTGTAGTTTGATGTTGTTGATGTGTTGGTGTAGTTTGATGTTTATGTGCTGGTGTAGTTTGATGTGGTTGATGTGCTGGTGTAGTTTGATGTTGTTTATGTATTGGTGTAGTTTGATGATGTTTATGTGCTGGTGTAGTTTGATGTTGTGTATGTGCCAATATTTTACTTGCCCCCAACTAGCCTAAAAGGGGAGGTAACTGTGTCTGGCTAAGAACATAAAACAACCAGAGCATGATACTAGTTAACTGAGTTATTCTTCTTGTGGTTCCTCCATGTCTCTGACATCATCAGTTTCATCAAACTCCTCATTCCCTTGTCTCTCTGTCTCCTCATTCCCTTGTCTGTCTGTCTCCTCATTCCCTTGTCTGTCTGTCTCCTCCTCTTCCCTCTTCTCAAACTCCTCCAGCTCAATCAGCTGTCTCTGGAGGTTGGAGAACAGCTGCTTCTCTTTCTCATGTTTGACTGGGCTGTTCCTTCTCCGGGGCATCTTCCATGCATTCCACACTCGGATGGTTGCATCAGCAGAACAGGAAACATACTGGCAAATATTGAGATACATCTGTTACAGGAAACATACTGGCACATATTGAGATACATTTTTTACAGGAAACATACTGGCAAATATTGAGATACATTTTTTACAGGAAACATACTGGCACATATTGAGATACATTTTTATACAGGAAACATACTGGCACATATTGAGAAACATTTTTTACAGGAAACATACTGGCATATATTGAGATACATTTTTATACAGGAAACATACTGGCACATATTGAGATACATTTTTTACAGGAAACATACTGGCACATATTGAGATACATTTTTTACAGGAAACATACTGGCACATATTGAGATACATTTTTTACAGGAAACATACTGGCACATATTGAGATACAGAGACATTGTTTACAGGAAACATACTGGCACATATTGAGATACATTTTTTACAGGAAACATACTGGCAAATATTGAGATACATTTTTTACAGGAAACATACTGGCACATATTGAGATACGTTTTTTACAGGAAACATACTGGCACATATTGAGATACATTTTTTACAGGAAACATACTGGCACATATTGAGATACGTTTTTTACAGGAAACATACTGGCAAATATTGAGATACATTTTTTACAGGAAACATACTGGCACATATTGAGAAATACAGAGACATTTTTATACAGGAAACATACTGGCACATATTGAGATACATTTCTTTAATGATTAGCAAATTTAAACACAAGAGCTGATATAATTGGTGAGCTAAAATAAAATTTTAGCTGAAGTGAGTTTTGAGTGAGAGAAGTGAGTTTTGAGTTGAAGTGAATGTTGAGTGAGTTAAAGCGAGTTTTGAGTGAGAAGAAGTGAGTTTTGAGTAAGTTGAAGTGAATGTTGAGTGAGTTGAAGTGAGTTTTGAGTGAGTTGAAGTAAGTTTTGAGTGAGTTAAAGTGAGTTTTGAGAAGTTGAAGTGAATGTTGAGTGAGTTGAAGTGAGTTTTGAGTGAGTTGAAGTGAGTTTTTATAGAGTTGAAGTGAATGTTGAGTGAGTTGAAGTGAGATTTGAGTGAGTTGAAGTGAGTTTTTATAGAGTTGAAGTGAATGTTGAGTGAGTTTTGAGTGAGTTGAACTAAGTTTTGAGTGAGTTAAAGTGAGTTCTGAGAAGTTGAAGTGAATGTTGAGTGAGTTAAAGTGAGTTTTGAGTGAGTTAAAGTAAGTTTTGAGTGAGTTAAAGTGAGTTCTGAGAAGTTGAAGTGAATGTTGAGTGAGTTGAAGTGAGTTTTTAGTGAGTTGAAGTGAAAGTGGAGTGAGTTGAAGTGAGTTTTGAGTGAGTTGAAGTGAATGTTGAGTGAGTTGAAGTGAATTTTGAGTTAAAGTGAGTTTCGACTGAGTTGAGGTGAGTTTTGAGTGAGCTGAAACTGATGGGGTACCTGATGCCTCTCTGTGACGTGAATGATACTTTTAACTGTCTCAGTGTGACCAACATTGTTCTGTACCAGTCTGTAGTGCTCAGCATCATAAACTCTGGAGGTACAAACAGTTAGAAGTATTACAGTAGTGAATTTTAGTCAGTACACAAGCTCATAAAGTAAGCCTGCTATAATATGACACACAAATATTTGCTCAAAATTTACTTGAATGGTTGACAAGATCTCTGCACGTGACTTACTTGATGAAACGTTGGACACCTGCAATGATGCTGCCATGCTCGCGGTCAATGCATAGACAGGTGACGCCACCTTGAGTTGAGAGAACCTGCTCACATTCATTCATGCCTTGACCAGACTGTGGACAACAGGAATGTCAAGGGAAAAGTTAAAAAAAAAACTGCATAACTTTCCATACACACACTAAGTCGGACGGTGTGGATAGATGGTACAATGCATGGATGCTAACTGAAATTTCTCATATTCAGACCAGGGGCTCAAGTCCGTAGGTCATGCATGAGTTCACCCAGCTCTATGGGGCCCCTGACTCAAGTTAGGGAAAGTAAAGGCCACTGGGCTTAGAATTTACTACACTATCCTCATATATGCTATGACAGAAACAGATTAACTCTACTTTACCAGCCCTATTGACTGCCAGGATCAAAAGGGTACTCTATGACCTACAATAGATAAACTATGACCTACAATAGATAAACTATGACCTACAATAGATAAAATATGACCTACAATAGATAAACTATGACCTATAATAGATAGAGCATGACTTACAATTGTTAAACTATGACCTACAGTAGCTAAGCCAATGAGCTACTATAGATAAACTATGACCTACAATACACCAATGACCTAACACAAAACACCAATGACCTAACACAAAACACCAATGACCTAACACAAAACACCAATGACCTAACACAAAACACCAATGACCTAACACAAAACATCAATGACCTAACACAAAACACCAATGACCTAACACAAAACACCAATGACCTAACACAAAACACCAATGACCTAACACACAACACCAATGACCTAACACAAACACCAATGACCTAACACAAACATCAATGACCTAACACAAAACACCAATGACCTAACACAAAACACCAATGACCTAACACAAACATCAATGACCTAACACAAACATCAATGACCTAACACAAACACCAATGACCTAACACAAACATCAATGACCTAACACAAACATCAATGACCTAACACAAAACACCAATGACCTAACACAAAACACCAATGACCTAACACAAACATCAATGACCTAACACAAACACCAATGACCTAACACAAAACATCAATGACCTAACACAAAACACCAATGACCTAACACAAAACACCAGTGACCTAACACAAAACACCAGTGACCTAACACAAAACACCAATGACCTAACACAAATGACCTACCCATATTCGAATGGTCCCATCTTCCCCTCCTGTGACCCACTTCTGGCAAATCTTGTTCCACCTCACACACGTGACCTCTCCATCATGACCTTGAAGGGTGTTACACAAGGTCATTTTGCTACCAACCAGAGAAAACTTGCGTATGTAAACCATCTTGTCAGCACAGGAATATGCAAACTCCATCCTGGAGATATGGGCAATGATGTAATGTTTGTCAATGTATGCAACCTACTGGTCAGGTTTAATGATGCAATGTTTGTCAATCTATGCAACCTACTACTGGTCAGGTTTTCGTTAACCTGCTACATCCCCGTGTAAGCTAATCCCATTAGTGTTGACATGACATCATCAAACTATTTGACATCATCAAACCAATTGACATCATCAAACCAATTGACATCATCAAACCAATTGACATCATCAAACCAATTGACATCATCAAACTAATTGACATCATCAAACTAATTGACATCATCAAACCAATTGACATCATCAAACCAATTGACATCATCAAACCAATTGACATCATCAAACCAATTGACATCATCAAACCAATTGACATCATCAAACCAATTGACATCATCAAACTAATTGACATCATCAAACTAATTGACATCATCAAACTATTTGACATCATCCAACCAATTGACATCATCAAACTAATTGACATCATCAAACTATTTGACATCATCAAACCAATTGACATCATCAAACTATTTGACATCATCAAACTATTTGACATCATCAAACTATTTGACATCATCAAACCAATTGACATCATCAAACTAATTGACATCATCAAACCAATTGACATCATCAAACCAATTGACATCATCAAACCAATTGACATCATCAAACTAATTGACATCATCAAACTATTTGACATCATCCAACCAATTGACATCATCAAACTATTTGACATCATCCAACCAATTGACATCATCAAACTAATTGACATCATCCAACCAATTGACATCATCAAACTAATTGACATCATCAAACTAATTGACATCATCAAACTAATTGACATCATCAAACTATTTGACATCATCAAACCAATTGACATCATCAAACTAATTGACATCATCAAACTATTTGACATCATCCAACCAATTGACATCATCAAACTAATTGACATCATCAAACTAATTGACATCATCAAACCAATTGACATCATCAAACCAATTGACATCATCAAACCAATTGACATCATCAAACTAATTGACATCATCAAACTATTTGACATCATCAAACCAATTGACATCATCAAACCAATTGACATCATCAAACCAATTGACATCATCAAACCAATTGACATCATCAAACTAATTGACATCATCAAACCAATTGACATCATCAAACCAATTGACATCATCAAACCAATTGACATCATCAAACCAATTGACATCATCAAACCAATTGACATCATCAAACCAATTGACATCATCAAACCAATTGACATCATCAAACCAATTGACATCATCAAACCAATTGACATCATCAAACTAATTGACATCATCAAACCAATTGACATCATCAAACCAATTGACATCATCAAACCAATTGACATCATCAAACTAATTGACATCATCAAACCAATTGACATCATCAAACCAATTGACATCATCAAACTATTTGACATCATCAAACTATTTGACATCATCAAACTATTTGACATCATCAAACCAATTGACATCATCAAACTAATTGACATCATCAAACCAATTGACATCATCAAACCAATTGACATCATCAAACCAATTGACATCATCAAACTAATTGACATCATCAAACTATTTGACATCATCCAACCAATTGACATCATCAAACTATTTGACATCATCCAACCAATTGACATCATCAAACTAATTGACATCATCAAACTAATTGACATCATCAAACTATTTGACATCATCCAACCAATTGACATCATCAAACTAATTGACATCATCAAACTAATTGACATCATCAAACCAATTGACATCATCAAACCAATTGACATCATCAAACCAATTGACATCATCAAACTAATTGACATCATCAAACTATTTGACATCATCAAACCAATTGACATCATCAAACTAATTGACATCATCAAACTATTTGACATCATCCAACCAATTGACATCATCAAACTAATTGACATCATCAAACTATTTGACATCATCCAACCAATTGACATCATCAAACTAATTGACATCATCAAACTAATTGACATCATCAAACCAATTGACATCATCAAACCAATTGACATCATCAAACCAATTGACATCATCAAACTAATTGACATCATCAAACTATTTGACATCATCAAACCAATTGACATCATCAAACCAATTGACATCATCAAACCAATTGACATCATCAAACCAATTGACATCATCAAACTAATTGACATCATCAAACCAATTGACATCATCAAACCAATTGACATCATCAAACCAATTGACATCATCAAACCAATTGACATCATCAAACCAATTGACATCATCAAACCAATTGACATCATCAAACCAATTGACATCATCAAACCAATTGACATCATCAAACCAATTGACATCATCAAACCAATTGACATCATCAAACTAATTGACATCATCAAACTATTTGACATCATCAAACCAATTGACATCATCAAACTAATTGACATCATCAAACTATTTGACATCATCAAACCAATTGACATCATCAAACCAATTGACATCATCCAACCAATTGACATCATCAAACCAATTGACATCATCAAACTATTTGACATCATCAAACCAATTGACATCATCAAACCAATTGACATCATCAAACCAATTGACATCATCAAACTAATTGACATCATCAAACTATTTGACATCATCCAACCAATTGACATCATCAAACCAATTGACATCATCAAACCAATTGACATCATCAAACCAATTGACATCATCAAACCAATTGACATCATCAAACCAATTGACATCATCCAACCAATTGACATCATCAAACTATTTGACATCATCAAACTAATTGACATCATCAAACCAATTGACATCATCAAACCAATTGACATCATCAAACCAATTGACATCATCAAACTATTTGACATCATCAAACCAATTGACATCATCAAACCAATTGACATCATCAAACCAATTGACATCATCAAACTAATTGACATCATCAAACCAATTGACATCATCAAACCAATTGACATCATCAAACCAATTGACATCATCAAACCAATTGACATCATCAAACTAATTGACATCATCAAACTAATTGACATCATCAAACTATTTGACATCATCCAACCAATTGACATCATCAAACTAATTGACATCATCAAACTAATTGACATCATCAAACCAATTGACATCATCAAACCAATTGACATCATCAAACCAATTGACATCATCAAACTAATTGACATCATCAAACTATTTGACATCATCAAACCAATTGACATCATCAAACCAATTGACATCATCAAACCAATTGACATCATCAAACCAATTGACATCATCAAACTAATTGACATCATCAAACCAATTGACATCATCAAACCAATTGACATCATCAAACCAATTGACATCATCAAACCAATTGACATCATCAAACCAATTGACATCATCAAACCAATTGACATCATCAAACCAATTGACATCATCAAACCAATTGACATCATCAAACTAATCTCACCTATCAGGGTTTATATCCATGTCAGTAATGACATCATCACAGGCTAACTCATTTATCAAAGAGGTAGCATTAGGCTCAATCTTGAACGTGTCTTTCAACCTGTTCATATGAGAAACAAAATTTCATCATTTGGCAAAACTTTAAAATCTTAATTACAAAAATGTAATCAAAGAAATTCTGTCATTCAGTAGTATTTTTAAATCTTTAATTTACATTCTTTTTTAATCTCTGCTGTTCTTAGCAGCAAGTTAACTTACCTTCCACCTTCTACAAATCTTTACTTACCTTCCAGCTTCTACAAAATATTAACTTACCTTCCTGCTTCTAAGTCCCAGATGCAAATTCTTCTGTCCCATCCACCACTGAGCTGAAATGTTGGTCAGAAAATTATTTCTCTCTTATTGTAAATAACAAATAAACAGGCAGTCAAGAAAAGAAGTTAGATGCTTTTTAACAACCCGTGTGCCCTTCCAGTGCGTTGCCATGGTTTTTAGAAGAAAGTTTTGACACAATATTTTAAGAGGGGTATTAATCCTATATTCTTGGATGTGTGACCTAGTTTACTAAAATTGAATTATATAAATGTAAAAAATGCCTGCGCTATATTTCTTGCATCATTTATGTTGGGGCATGGGTTTGCCAGGCGTACTTTATTCAATTTAGTGAACAACTATAACACCCCTTCTTATCCATTGTCTATCGCCCTGTTGTAAGTGCCATAGCGCTCAAGGGGCTCCAAATCGCACCTTACAGGGGTGAAATTGTAAAAATTTTTTCAGAGACACCTCCTATGCCGCTTATCAACTCCCCAAAGTTTCATGGTTATTGAATCAGAGGTGTAGTAATGCATACAGGACAAACCCACAAACAAACCCATATATATATATATATATATATATATATATATATATATATATATATATATATATATATAAATATATATATATATATATATATATATATATATATATATATATATATATATATTTAGATTATACAAAATTTGAATGTAGGTCCCCTCTACTCCCTGCCCAGACTTACAATGTAGGTCCCCTGCCAACCAAGACTTACAATGTAGGTCCCCTCTACTCCCAACCAAGACTTACAATGTAGGTCCCCTCTACTCCCTACCAACCAAGACTTACAATGTAGGTCCCCTGCCAACCAAGACTTACAATGTAGGTCCCCTGCCAACCAAGACTTACAATGTAGGTCCCCTGCCAAGACTTACAATGTAGGTCCCCTCTACTCCCTGCCAACCAAGACTTACAATGTAGGTCCCTTCTACTCCCTGCAAACCAAGACTTACAATGTAGGTCCCTTCTACTCCCTGCCAACCAAGACTTACAATGTAGGTCCCCTCTACTCCCTGCCAACCAAGACTTACAATGTAGGTCCCCTGCCAACCAAGACTTACAATGTAGGTCCCCTCTACTCCCTGCCAAGACTTACAATGTAGGTCCCCTGCCAACCAAGACTTACAATGTAGGTCCCCTCTACTCCCTGCCAAGACTTACAATGTAGGTCCCCTGCCAACCAAGACTTACAATGTAGGTCCCCTGCCAACCAAGACTTACAATGTAGGTCCCCTCTACTCCCTGCCAACCAAGACTTACAATGTAGGTCCCTTCTACTCCCTGCCAACCAAGACTTACAATGTAGGTCCCCTGCCAACCAAGACTTACAATGTAGGTCCCCTGCCCAGACTTACAATGTAGGTCCCCTCTACTCCCTGCTCCCTGCCAACCAAGACTTACAATGTAGGTCCCCTCTATTCCCTGCCAACCAAGACTTACAATGTAGGTCCCCTGCCCAGACTTACAATGTAGGTCCCCTCTACTCCCTACCAACCAAGACTTACAATGTAGGTCCCCTGCCAACCAAGACTTACAATGTAGGTCTCCTGCCAACCAAGACTTACAATGTAGGTCCCCTCTACTCCCTGCCAAGACTTACAATGTAGGTCCCTTCTACTCCCTGCTCCCTGCCAACCAAGACTTACAATGTAGGTCCCCTCTACTCCCTACCAACCAAGACTTACAATGTAGGTCCCCTGCCAACCAAGACTTACAATGTAGGTCTCCTGCCAACCAAGACTTACAATGTAGGTCCCCTCTACTCCCTACCAACCAAGACTTACAATGTAGGTCCCCTGCCAACCAAGACTTACAATGTAGGTCCCCTGCCAACCAAGACTTACAATGTAGGTCCCCTCTACTCCCTGCCAAGACTTACAATGTAGGTCCCCTGCCAACCAAGACTTACAATGTAGGTCCCCTCTACTCCCTGCCAACCAAAACTTACAATGTAGGTCCCCTGCCAACCAAGACTTTCAATGTAGGTCCCCTCTACTCCCTGCTCCCTGCCAACCAAAACTTACAATGTAGGTCCCCTGCCAACCAAGACTTACAATGTAGGTCCCCTCTACTCCCTGCTCCCTGCCAACCAAAACTTACAATGTAGGTCCCCTGCCAACCAAAACTTACAATGTAGGTCCCCTGCCAACCAAGACTTACAATGTAGGTCCCCTGCCAACCAAGACTTACAATGTAGGTCCCCTGCCAACCAAGACTTACAATGTAGGTCCCCTGCCAACCAAGACTTACAATGTAGGTCCCCTCTACTCCCTGCCAACCAAGACTTACAATGTAGGTCCCCTCTACTCCCTGCCAACCAAGACTTACAATGTAGGTCCCCTGCCAACCAAGACTTACAATGTAGGTCCCCTCTACTCCCTGCCAACCAAAACTTACAATGTAGGTCCCCTGCCAACCAAGACTTACAATGTAGGTCCCTTCTACTCCCTGCCAACCAAGACTTACAATGTAGGTCCCCTGCCAACCAAGACTTACAATGTAGGTCCCCTCTACTCCCTACCAAGACTTACAATGTAGGTCCCCTCTACTCCCGGCTCCCTGTCAACCAGCACCAGACTTGTTACACAGCTTAAGTGTTCAGTCAAGACTTACAATGTAGGTCCCCTGCCCAGACTTACAATGTAGGTCCCCTCTACTCCCTGCTCCCTGTCAACCAGCACCAGACTTGTTACACAGCTTAAGTGTTCAGTCAAGACTTACAATGTAGGTCCCCTGCCAACCAAGACTTACAATGTAGGTCCCCTCTATTCCCTGCCAACCAAGACTTACAATGTAGGTCCCCTCTATTCCCTGCCAACCAAGACTTACAATGTAGGTCCCCTGCCCAGACTTACAATGTAGGTCCCCTCTACTCCCGGCTCCCTGTCAACCAGCACCAGACTTGTTACACAGCTTAAGTGTTCAGTCAAGACGTACTTGAGGATAAAACCAGCCACACGATTGGTCACAGAGTCGTTGTCCTTGGGTAAAACATTGGATTCAGGTCAATTTAACAAAACATGTTGTAAAACAACATGAGTATAAAGTTTGTAAACTGGTGAAAATGTTTGTTTAAATACAGTTATTTCAAACCTAAGTAGTGAAACAACTTACGGTTGATAAAACAGAATTTTCTGGCAGCAGTGATGACTCTGTATCGAGGAGGACAGCATATTTTTTGGTTAAAATCTCAAGGTCGAGAGGCTTCATGCCTTGCAATACTTGTACAGCTGCTTCATCAAATCCCCACACATCTAAATGTCAACACACAGAATAATAGCTTCATCAAAACCCCACCCACACATCTAGATGTCAACACACAGAATAATAGCTTCATCAAAATATCAAGTCTCACATTTTAAAATGTAATTTAAAGTGCATATAGAAAAGTTACTTTGCAGGTATTCACAATTATCACTGACTTTTGACTTTATTAAAAAGTATTAGAGTTGAATCAGAAATGTAAAAATATTTGTACACCTCAAACAACAAAATGCCAACGACTTACAAACATTGCTGTTTTAAAATATTTGTGCACCACAAACAACAAAATGCCAACGACTTACAAACATTGCTGTTTTAAAATATTTGTGCACCACAAACAACAAAATGCCAACGACTTACAAACATTGCTGTTTTAAAATATTTGTACACTACAAACAACAAAATGCCAATGACTTACAAACATTGCTATCCTCTGAGGCTGCTATGACGTAGTCCAAACTCTCAACAAAAAGAATTTTTAAAATGGTTGTGTTTGGGTGCTTGTGAGATGAAATCTGGGGAGATCAAACAATCTCTTGCACACAAGCCAAACTAATTTTTTACACAAGCCAAACTAACATATGTGCACGAGGCAAACTAAGATTTGTATATGAACTAAAATACGAGCCAAATTAAGAATGGTACACAAGCCAAGCTAAGTTTTTACACAAGCCAAACTAAGATCTGTACACAAGGCAAGCAGTTTTTACACAAGCCAAAAATATTTTTTACACAAACCAAACTAGGTTTTTACATAAGCCAAACATATTTTAAATGCAGCTAAAATACGTAACCTACTGGTGGAATAGATGGTTTGTTGAAGGCGTAGTGACTTTGTGCCCTCTTGACCCCCCCATCTGACTGTGTGCTGGGTCGACTGAGCAGCTGGTTGTTGTACTCTTGTTCTAGCATCATCTCCCTTGTCTTGGTGCCAGCTCGTCTCTTCTTCTTGATCTTGGAATCACTCGGGGTGAAGACCTCTTTGCTGGCAAGTAGTGGTTGATTCAGTTAGACAATAATACAAATAACTGATTGTTATATTGTGTTAGACAACACTTTGTTTAATAGAATCTTTTGAAGCATTTACATTCACACTGTTTAAATTAATACTTTAAGATTTTGAATTTTTAACAGGAAATTTAAAATGTGACTAAGCATTTAAAACCAGAATAAGAAATATGAAAGATGTGTCTAAAAAACTTAGTCAAATCACTTATATTTAGAATACGCTGGCTGGATTAAATGTGTACCGTAAGATGAATTAATCTAAAGTAATGTGATTAACTTACCTGTAAATTCAAGTCACATACCTGTACATGAAATGGTTGGACTGCATCCTCTCCCACTTGATAATTGTCCCATCCATATCCCCACTGAATATTAAAAGTGGAACCTTTGATGCTGAAAATGTTTTTTAAAATGTTAACTGGAAAAGTAAATAAAACAGTACTCTAATATGTAAGTTAAAGAAAAAATTTAACAGAATCAAAAATAGTAAACTTAAATAGGTTAAAGTAAAAATTCACTTTTCTTGAGTGAACTCTTTGGTGTAGTTTAATTTTTGTACAATGGGATGATAATGGGCATGACTGCTAACCCTGAGTTCACCCAGCTCTGATGAGTACCTGACTCAAGTTAAAGAAAATAAAGGCAGCTGGGCATAGTGCTTAGCACCCACACTATCCCTTGATATGCAGAGTTTACATAAACAGGTGAACTCCACTTCACCTGCTCCATGCAACACCAGGTTCAAAATGGTAACTTAACGTTTTTAAAACATAATTTTGTACAGGGCACGGTGCCAGTAGGAAAACAATAACACAGGGCACGGTGCCAGTAGGAAAACAATAACACAGGGCATGGTGCCAGGAGGGAAACAACAACACAGGGCATGGTGCCAGGAGGGAAACAATAACACAGGGCACTGAATGGGGAGACAAAGACGTCATTGGATGGATGACATCAAGGATTTGACTGGGCTGCCTGTTGCAGAACTGCTCACAGTAGCAGAGGACTGAGAGAGATGATGGGAAATTTTGAGAAAATTAAGTGTGGACTGTGTTTACTTACTGTAACTAAGACTCCACACTGTATTTACTTACTGTAACTAAGACTCCCCACTGTATTTACTTGCTGTAACTAAGACTCCCAATTTGTTTACTTACTGTAACTAAGACTCCCCATTGTGTTTACTCACTGTAACTAAGACTTCCCATTGTGTTTACTTACTGTAACTAAGACTCTCCATTGTGTTTACTTACTGTAACTAAGACTCTCCAATGCTGCCTTACACTTGAGTGTGGTCATACACCCAGAAGAGTTGTACTTCCAGACTATCAGATGTCTTCTATTGCTGGAACCTTGGGATGGGAATAACTGACATTTTTAAAACCACAAGAGGTCAGAATTTATTAACATCATTATGATATTACTTTCTGTATGTTTAATATAAAGTAAAACCATCACTACCCTTAGTGTTGACACAATGTAACTGGGGTTTTTGTTGTGTCTCAGCACCTGAAATTACTTCCCCTTGTTATGTACAGAATATTTGTTCTATTTTAAGACATAAGTAACTTACCCACAACTTGATTGAATTCAGGAAAAAATTTCAGAATTTGTAAATGGTATTTTTCATCATCCTCTTGTTCAGCAAATGTCCCAATGAAATCAGACACCTAAAATTAAAAAGATGGAGAACTAAAACTTAGAAAACAAAATTCTAATTTATTACATTGTCTTATGTAGAAAGACAAAGATATGAAACGTAAACTTGAATGAACTCACATTGTCACCTGACTTGGGGTCATACATATTAGCGTGGTAGGTTCCTCCAGCTGCCCATATGGTCTTGTTCCTTGGGATGTAACAGATGCCACTGACCGTGGACAGGAAGCTGTCCAGCTTGTGGATCAGTTTGCCGTCAAGTGACCAGATCTTCATTGTTTTATCAAATGAGCCAGTGAGTAGCCTGATCCAAATTTCATGGAAGTATAGATTTTTTCAATACATAATGGCATTTTTTTTAATAAATCGCATCATGAAATTTTATAAATTCATGTACAATGCTATTGCAAGTTCTTGTAAAAACCATAATTAAAATATAATTTTAAAATTTAAAGTGTCTCTAGCGTCATCGATATTACAAAAGAAATATCAGTCATCATTAAAAAAAATTAGTAGTAAATCTATAAAATATAAATGAAGTTATTATGTGTTATTTTAATTATTTAGTCATAGAAGAATAAAATACAAAAGTAATTACCATATGAAATAAAAAAAATTACCATATATTATTTTCATTATCCTTGGCTAGAACCATGCAAGCAATGCCAGCATCGTGAATGACATTACTGCAGATTAAAATCATTGGACAGTTATCTCTCATGATGTGTATCTAAATTTTTTAACTGCTAACACAAAGTAAAATATTTTCAACAGTTAACAACATACTTAAAAACAGGTATAAGGCTGTTGTCCCCCGTGTATGAAGAGTCATATATTATTAGACGCTGATCATACCTGGAAGAGATGTTCTAGAGATTACTTTTATGTTCAGAATACAAACATCTTAAAGTGCGCATGACATTTATAACACAAGGGACATTACCCTGCTGAATATATTCTTGACTCATGGCATATAATGCAACGGACTATGTCTGTGTGCTCTTGAGCAAAATATAGAGGCTTCACATTAATATAGTGGCCTGACCCTGTTTCTGAAACAATTAAAGAAGTAGGTGTTTAAAAAAAAATGCTGCAATAATTTAAATTAAATTAGTTTTGTATGGCTAAGAAAATAGCCAAAATAAAACATCTAGAATACAACATGGGAATTATACACAGCCAACAAAGCTACAGTTTAGATGTAAAAAGTTGTAATATTTGTTAAATCTAACAAAAACTTTACCTTTTTTTTTAAATTTAACAAATGGCAATTTATTAAATACTGCTAAAACTACTGGCAAATCATATTGCTATACAACATACAGCCTATGTAAGACAACAAATGAGAAAGTTCTGAAAGTTTGTGAAAGCTGATAAATTTAGCCTGTTCATTTCTCTTTCCAAGCATTTGGTGATGACTAGGGTTCTCTGGATGTCAATTATTTATCGACCCAATGTATTTAAATGTCTTTAGATTGTGTCATCTTTGTCAAAATGTGTACAATTGGCCTTCTATAAGGTGTGTTCTGTCCCTTTAAAGGTGTCCATAATCTGTCTCTACTGGATATGTTTTAGGGAAGGGGTTATTAAACCCTTATCTATGATGCCTAATCCTGATTCATCTTTAATCATATACCTGACTCCAAAAATGATATTGGTAGATGAAAAGCACATTTTGTGTGGGTACAATTTTTAAATAGTAAAAAATGTAAACCTTCATATAGAGCATACACTCGTACACCTCCATTGATACCACAGACAAGCTGGCGTCTTCTGGGATTAACAGTCATGCAGTAAACAGGAACACCCATCTGGAGAACAACAAAGACTGAAGAATAATACAAGTGTGAAGTCAGTAAGGTGGGCAGTAAAAATATGTGTGATGTTAGACAGGTGGGCAGTAAAAATATGTGTGATGTCAGACAGGTGGGCAGTAAAAGTGTCAGACAGGTGGGCAGTAAAAATATGTGTGGTGTCAGACAGGTGGGCAGTAAAAATATGTGTGGTGTCAGACAGGTGGGCAGTAAAAATATGTGTGGTGTCAGACAGGTGGGCAGTAAAAATATGTGTAATGGTGGGCAGTAAAAATATGTGTGGTGTCAGACAGGTGGGCAGTAAAAATATGTGTGATGTTAGACAGGTGGGCAGTAAAAATACGTGTGGTGTCAGACAGGTGGACAGTAAAAATATGTGTGATGTCAGACAGGTGGGCAGTAAAAATATGTGTGGTGTAAGACAGGTGGGCAGTTAAAATATGTGTGGTGTAAGACAGGTGGGCAGTAAAAATATGTGTGGTGTCAGACAGGTGGGCAGTAAAAATATGTGTGATGTCAGACAGGTGGGCAGTAAAAATATGTGTGGTGTCAGACAGGTGGGCAGTAAAAATATGTGTGGTGTCAGACAGGTGGGCAGTAAAAATATGTGTGGTGTCAGACAGGGGGGCAGTAAAAATATGTGTGATGTTAGACAGGTGGGCAGTAAAAATATGTGTGGTGTCAGACAGGTGGGCAGTAAAAATATGTGTGATGTTAGACAGGTGGGCAGTAAAAATATGTGTGATGTTAGACAGGTGGGCAGTAAAAATATGTGTGGTGTAAGACAGGTGGGCAGTAAAAATATGTGTGGTGTAAGACAGGTGGGCAGTAAAAATATGTGTGGTGTCAGACAGGTGGGCAGTAAAAATATGTGTGGTGTAAGACAGGTGGGCAGTAAAAATATGTGTGGTGTCAGACAGGTGGGCAGTAAAAATATGTGTGATGTTAGACAGGTGGGCAGTAAAAATATGTGTGGTGTCAGACAGGTGGGCAGTAAAAATATGTGTGATGGTGGGCAGTAAAAATATGTGTGGTGTCAGACAGGTGGGCAGTAAAAAATATGTGTGATGTTAGACAGGTGGGCAGTAAAAATATGTGTGATGTCAGGCAGGTGGACAGTAAAAATATGTGTGGTGTAAGACAGGTGGGCAGTAAAAATATGTGTGGTGTCAGACAGGTGGACAGTAAAAATATGTGTGGTGTCAGACAGGTGGGCAGTAAAAATATGTGTGGTGTCAGACAGGTGGGCAGTAAAAATATGTGTGGTGTAAGACAGGTGGGCAGTAAAAATAAGTGTGGTGTAAGACACGTGGGCAGTAAAAATATGTGTGGTGGTGGGCAGTAAAAATATGTGTGATGGTGGGCAGTAAAAATATGTGTGATGTTAGACAGGTGGGCAGTAAAAATATGTGTGGTGTCAGACAGGTGGGCAGTAAAAATATGTGTGGTGTAAGACAGGTGGGCAGTAAAAATATGTGTGGTGTAAGACACGTGGGCAGTAAAAATATGTGTGGTGGTGGGCAGTAAAAATATGTGTGATGGTGGGCAGTAAAAATATGTGTGATGTCAGACAGGTGGGCAGTAAAAATATGTGTGGTGTAAGACAGGTGGGCAGTAAAAATATGTGTGGTGTAAGACAGGTGGGCAGTAAAAATATGTGTGGTGTAAGACACGTGGGCAGTAAAAATATGTGTGGTGGTGGGCAGTAAAAATATGTGTGGTGGTGGGCAGTAAAAATATGTGTGGAGTCAGAAAGGTGGGGTTTAATCAACAGAAACAAAATAATACAACTCTGAAAAAACAGTGAACCTACATTGACAGTTTCAACAGCTCCTCCCCCTGTTCCCCATACAACAATGTTTGCATCATTGGCTGAAGAAAATAAAAGTTTCTCATCATTCCTGAAAAAGAAAACAATGTGATGTAATTAAAAAAATGAAAATATTTGGCACAACCTCAACATAACCTATCACTTGACAATTACCCAAGCTCTAATTTTAATTCTAACCTCACAACTTATTCAGGATTTCCATCTTTTCCAAAAGTGCAAGTCTCCAACTGTGTGAGCCTACCAATTTATCTTGATATTTTAAACTACAAACAAGGTACATCTAGTACTTAAGATATACACACCAAAAAAAGAAGTCTGTCACCCATCCTTTGTGTTTATAAAATGTCTGTACTGGTTTACCACTTTCAGCTTCATAAGACTTGATAACACCATCTTCAAAATGTTTTTGATGGAGGAATATAGTTAGAATAATATTATTTTTATATAAAATATTTTCTTAAAATAATTTAAGCTTGAAAGCATCAATTTACAAACAGTAAATTACTATACAGTATACAACTGGTACTAATAGTATTAGCCAACATTCTAAAAATTAATCTAATTTAAAAAAAAAAGATTGTTTTGTGTGGCTTAGCTAGACAAATTGAAACTACTATTCAACTATTAGAAGGGTGGAGGCATACAGTAGTTTTTTTTAATTAGTTAATTAGTAGTCTGGCGCGTTGCTTAGATGGCTGGATTGACCTCTGACCCTGAAACGTCACGCGTCGTTTTTAGACGGTTTTTACGTTTATTTTAGGGGTCCTATCCACGACAAATGAAAAAACTGTTAATCTCGCAAATTCTCATCATTATTTTAATACAGAATGCTAATAAAATGGATAATATGCCTTAGAATGCCAGAAAAAATCGAGAGATTTGTTGTTGTAAATAATGAGAGGATTTCTAGTGGAGCGCTCTCCGTAAAAACTGAACTGCCGCTAAAAACGACCGACCTCCGGGGAAAACGGCCCGACCTCCTCTAAATTAATATATAATTGAGATATTTACCTTGTATATTTACATTATTATTGATTCTGGTTTCCAAAATCTTATCCCAAAATGAGGTACCCACGCTGACATTTCTATCCGCTATTTTTAGTATCATGACGTCATTGCTACGCTAGTTGCCAGACTGAAACAACTAGTTTTTGTTTTTTACGGAATGAACTGTTAAGTCTAGTATTTTAATTATAATTCAATTGTAGCATGTGTGGAAAAAGTAAAATTATGGACATTATTATTGTATTAGTAATTTTATTAGTATATTAATTTTTTTCTTCACTGTGGGCCGACAGTTGCTGCATTCGTGACCGGTGGTTAACCTCGTCAACGCTGCGTGGCCTATTCGTTTATATAATCAGTGATGCTCGTCCAGTGGCCTTTTTCAGAGCTAGGCCTAATTACGGGCGATTTTTAGACTTAATTGATCGGCCGTTAGCCCTTTTCATTGCTGCGTATTTTAAACAAATGCTCGTTCAGCTGCCTTTTTTTTTTTTGGCGCTAAATAATCTGTTTACGGGCATTTTAAGTGTTTATTTTTTTATTTTTTTAAGCTAGACGTAGATCTAGTTAAAAATTTTTTTTATACAGCTGGCTGTCTAGCATGCCTGATATGTGAACTTTTAAAAAAAATGACCGAACTTTAAAAAAAAATGACCAGAAGTAGGGAAGTAGGTCTGTTATTCAATTTGCTTGAAGAAGGCGGGGGGGGGGGGGGGGGGGGAGAAGAGAGAGAGAGAAAAGTGAAGACACCGACCATCTCGTGTACGCGTGGTCATTCTATGACGTGTACTATAGGTCACGGTGACCCCGCGACCGTGGTGGGATTTTTCATCCACAGGATAGTAAACATAATCAAGCAATCACGCGAGTGACGATGTTTGGAGATTTTATTTTTAAAAAAAAATCACATACGTCATGTTTTCAAGATGAAAAAAAATGTAATGTAAAAAAAAAAAAAGACACTAATACCATGTATGAACCTCAGCTGCCACACTGTTGACTCAATATAAAGTGATTGAGTGTAAAATGTATTTTTATTTATAAACTATCTTAACTATTACACTATCATATTATTTTATGCATATATTATTTAAAATTAGGATTTGAAATAAAAATATTTATTATGGTCATTTGATTTATGCAGGTGCTCATTATTTCATAAAATGGTATGAATAACATGTAGAGTAGAATTTAATAAATAATAAAATAACTAGATCTAGTTTTATTATCAACCAGTTGCTTTTTGTTCAGTTGCTTTTTGTTATTTTCCGGTGAGTAAATAACCTAAGCTGACGCAATTACCATGGCGGGAATTAATAGCTCGTGTATACACGTCCACGACGTAATGTTATGCCGGTCGAGGGGCTAAAACGCGGTTTTGTCTTTCATTTTCCAATATCGGAAAAATTTCAAATTCTCTCTTTTCTCGTCAACCGAGTAAGCTAGATATTCAAATGTGGTGTCAAATGTTCTCTTAAGGGGTAAGGAACTTAATGGTGTATTTGAAATAACAGAATATTTTATTTTAAAAAATCCAAAATTCAACCTATTAATTAGCAGTAGTGTGAAATTTAAACGTGATTTTACAACTTTTTTTTTATTTCAGTATTAATTGGCTAATAACATTATTTATTAATTTTATAATGTTTAGGCCTTATAATTAATAAATAGGCCTAATGTTTTTAATTAATTTCAATAATTAATAATTTTTAATTTGAGTTGGCCTACCTTCAAAACCTAGAAAGATTTCACGTCTGATCGGATTATGGCCAACTGCAGTAATTGATCGTGTATGCGTTTCTTTAACATCATACTGTTTTACCATAGCCATTTTAAATATTTATTTAAAATCGAAAAAAAATGAAACATAATATTAATAGTAATATCCACACATTCTTATAAAAAGACAAGAAATACTATCATTTTGCCGCCATCATAGTATTTCATAGCAACACTGTTTAAAAATGGGAATTCGATTCTTGTTGTGCGAAACAAAAACGAACTTTAAAAAACTTAGATCTAGCTATTTAAAGCAGTTCATGCTTCAAATCTGAAAATTATATTTTTAAATAGAAAAATGTAATATTACTATTAAAATGTGTGCGATTTATTGGACCCGAATATCTATTTTAATTTAAAGTGAGGGTGGTCCATGAATGACGCCACACTCGTATGAGAGAATCGTCAGCTAGTGTGACGTCACTCTTTTGAATTGTAAAAAAGTTATATTAGAAAACTAATTTTAGCCGTTATTTCGCGCTTTAGAAAACGGTTTCAATAATTTGTAATAGAAATTGATTAAAATACTCTACGACGTCGACCAGAATTTCTTCCAGGCATCGGGGAGGGGGGGGGGGCAGCGTCCCCCCCCCCGAAGAAAGTTTTCCGCCCCCCCCCCACCCCCAAAGAAATGGAATTTACATAGGAAATATATACTTATATATACCCCCCCCCCCGATAATTTCAAGTGCACCCCCGGAGAAAAATGTCTGGAATAAACACTGACGTCGACCGAGCTCAGTCAAGATTTTAGAAAAATCGATGTTTTAAGAAGAATGCAACTACTGTGTTAAGCCAATTAAGGGGGCTTGTAGGCTAAGATGTGACAGATGGGAGAGGGGGGGGGGAGGTAAAAATCGTCAAAACAAAAATCACATTACATCATTTATGGATGATCCCTAAGGCTACATTATCGTAAACCTTCTGTAGATAACCCTTCATAATCCACCCTAAAACTAACGTAGTCATAAGTGTGTGACATCAGGTCTAAAACCTTCATATAACACGTGTGTGACATCAGGTCTAAAACCTTCATATAACAAGTGTGTGACATCAGGTCTAAAACCTTCATATAACACGTGTGTGACATTAGACTAAAACCTTCATATAACAGTGTGTGACATCAGGTCTAAAACCTTCGTATAACAAGTGTGTGACATCAGGTCTAAAACCTTCGTATAACAAGTGTGTGACATCAGGTCTAAAACCTTCATATAACAAGTGTGTGACATCAGGTCTAAAACCTTAATATAACAAGTGTGTGACATCAGGTCTAAAACCTTCATATAACAAGTGTGTGTGACATCAGGTCTAAAACCTTCATATAACAATTGTGTGTGACATCAGGTCTAAAACCTTCATATAACAAGTGGGTGGCATCAGGTCTAAAACCTTCATATAACAAGTGTGTGACATCAGGTCTAAAACCTTCATATAACAAGTGTGTGACATCAGGTCTAAAACCTTCATATAACAAGTGTGTGACATCAGGTCTAAAACCTTCATATAACAAGTGTGTGACATCAGGTCTAAAACCTTCATATAACAAGTGTGTGACATCAGGTCTAAAACCTTCATATAACAAGTGTGTGACATCAGGTCTAAAACCTTCATATAACAAGTGTGTGACATCAGGTCTAAAACATTCATATAACAAGTGTGTGACATCAGGTCTAAAACCTTCGTATAACAAGTGTGTGACATCAGGTCTAAAACCTTCGTATAACAAGTGTGTGACATCAGGTCTAAATAACCGTCTAAAACCTTCGTATAACAAGTGTGTGACATCAGGTCTAAAACCTTCGTATAACAAGTGTGTGACATCAGGTCTAAATAACCGTCTAAAACCTTCGTATAACAAGTGTGTGACATCAGGTCTAAAACCTTCGTATAACAAGTGTGTGACATCAGGTCTAAAACCTTCGTATAACAAGTGTGTGACATCAGGTCTAAATAACCGTCTAAAACCTTCGTATAACAAGTGTGTGACATCAGGTCTAAAACATTCATATAACAAGTGTGTGACATCAGGTCTAAATAACTGTCTAAAACCTTCGTATAACAAGTGTGTGACATCAGGTCTAAATAACCGTCTAAAACCTTCGTATAACAAGTGTGTCACATCAGGTCTAAAACATTCATATAACAAGTGTGTGACATCAGGTCTAAATAACCGTCTAAAACCTTCGTATAACAAGTGTATGACATCAGGTCTAAAACCTTCGTATAACAAGTGTGTGACATCAGGTCTAAAACATTCATATAACAAGTGTGTGACATCAGGTCTAAAACCTTCATATAACAAGTGTGTGACATCAGGTCTAAAACATTCATATAACAAGTGGTGGCATCAGGTCTAAAACCTTCATATAACAAGTGTGTGACATCAGGTCTAAAACCTTCATATAACAAGTGTGTGACATCAGGTCTAAAACCTTCATATAACAAGTGTGTGACATCAGGTCTAAAACCTTCATATAACAAGTGTGTGACATCAGGTCTAAAACCTTCATATAACAAGTGTGTGACATCAGGTCTAAAACCTTCATATAACAAGTGTGTGACATCAGGTCTAAAACCTTCATATAACAAGTGTGTGACATCAGGTCTAAAACCTTCATATAACAAGTGTGTGACATCATGTCTAAAACCTTCATATAACAAGTGTGTGACATCAGGTCTAAAACCATATAACAAGTGTGTGACATCAGGTCTAAAATCTTCATATAACAAGTGTGTGACATCAGGTCTAAAACCATATAACAAGTGTGTGACATCAGGTCTAAAATCTTCATATAACAAGTGTGTGACATCAGGTCTAAAACCTTCATATAACAAGTGTGTGACATCAGGTCTAAAACCTTCATATAACAAGTGTGTGACATCAGGTCTAAAACCTTCATATAACAAGTGTGTGACATCAGATCTAAAACCTTCATATAACAGTGTGTGACATCAGGTCTAAAACCTTCATATAACAAGTGTGTGACATCAGGTCTAAAACCTTCATATAACAAGTGTGTGACATCAGGTCTAAAACCTTCATATAACAAGTGTGTGACATCAGGTCTAAAACGTTCATATAACAAGTGTGTGACATCAGGTCTAAAACCTTCATATAACAAGTGTGTGACATCAGGTCTAAAACCTTCATATAACAGTGTGTGACATCAGGTCCAAAACCTTCATATAACAAGTGTGTGACATCAGGTCTAAAACCTTCGTATAATAAGTGTGTGACATCAGGTCTAAAACCTTCATATAACAAGTGTGTGACATCAGGTCTAAAACCTTCATATAACAAGTGTGTGACATCAGGTCTAAAACCTTCATATAACAAGTGTGTGACATCAGGTCTAAAACCTTCATATAACAAGTGTGTGACATCAGGTCTAAAACCTTCATATAACAAGTGTGTGACATCAGGTCTAAAACCTTCAAATAACAAGTGTGTGACATCAGGTCTAAAACCTTCATATAACAGTGTGTGACATCAGGTCTAAAACCTTCATATAACAAGTGTGTGACATCAGGTCTAAAACCTTCATATAACAAGTGTGTGACATCAGGTCTAAAACCTTCATATAACAAGTGTGTGACATCAGGTCTAAAACCTTCATATAACAAGTGTGTGACATCAGGTCTAAAACCTTCATATAACAAGTGTGTGACATCATGTCTAAAACCTTCATATAACAAGTGTGTGACATCAGGTCTAAAACCATATAACAAGTGTGTGACATCAGGTCTAAAACCATATAACAAGTGTGTGACATCAGGTCTAAAACCTTCATATAACAGTGTGTGACTTCAGGTCTAAAACCTTCATATAACAAGTGTGTGACATCAGGTCTAAAACCTTCATATAACAAGTGTGTGACATCAGGTCTAAAACCTTCATATAACAAGTGTGTGACATCAGGTCTAAAACCTTCATATAACAAGTGTGTGACATCAGGTCTAAAACCTTCATATAACAAGTGTGTGACATCATGTCTAAAACCTTCATATAACAAGTGTGTGACATCAGGTCTAAAACCATATAACAAGTGTGTGACATCAGGTCTAAAATCTTCATATAACAAGTGTGTGACATCAGGTCTAAAACCATATAACAAGTGTGTGACATCAGGTCTAAAATCTTCATATAACAAGTGTGTGACATCAGGTCTAAAACCTTCATATAACAAGTGTGTGACATCAGGTCTAAAACCTTCATATAACAAGTGTGTGACATCAGGTCTAAAACCTTCATATAACAAGTGTGTGACATCAGATCTAAAACCTTTATATAACAGTGTGTGACATCAGGTCTAAAACCTTCATATAACAAGTGTGTGACATCAGGTCTAAAACCTTCATATAACAAGTGTGTGACATCAGGTCTAAAACCTTCATATAACAAGTGTGTGACATCAGGTCTAAAACGTTCATATAACAAGTGTGTGACATCAGGTCTAAAACCTTCATATAACAAGTGTGTGACATCAGGTCTAAAACCTTCATATAACAGTGTGTGACATCAGGTCCAAAACCTTCATATAACAAGTGTGTGACATCAGGTCTAAAACCTTCGTATAATAAGTGTGTGACATCAGGTCTAAAACCTTCATATAACAAGTGTGTGACATCAGGTCTAAAACCTTCATATAACAAGTGTGTGACATCAGGTCTAAAACCTTCATATAACAAGTGTGTGACATCAGGTCTAAAACCTTCATATAACAAGTGTGTGACATCAGGTCTAAAACCTTCATATAACAAGTGTGTGACATCAGGTCTAAAACCTTCATATAACAAGTGTGTGACATCAGGTCTAAAACCTTCATATAACAAGTGTGTGACATCAGGTCTAAAACCTTCATACAACAGTGTGTGACATCAGGTCTAAAACCTTCATATAACAAGTGTGTGACATCAGGTCTAAAACCTTCATATAACAAGTGTGTGACATCAGGTCTAAAACCTTCATATAACAAGTGTGTGACATCAGGTCTAAAACCTTCATATAACAAGTGTGTGACATCAGGTCTAAAACCTTCATATAACAAGTGTGTGACATCATGTCTAAAACCTTCATATAACAAGTGTGTGACATCAGGTCTAAAACCATATAACAAGTGTGTGACATCAGGTCTAAAACCATATAACAAGTGTGTGACATCAGGTCTAAAA